TCTTAAATGTAGCTCCACTCAGTACCAATGACTACATAGACAATCAAAGAACCTTATGGTTTGAGCTTTTAAAATGTACAGTTCAAGTTAGCTCCCTTGTTTGGAGATGGAAAAGACAAATGGTTCTGTGTTCATATTTCTCTTAACACTTTGAAGGCACAGCTGATTCTTTTACGATAGACTCACACCATGTCATTTCCTTTTTTATGTATAGCAGGATATCTTGCTAAAGCAATATCCCCTAATTTTATTAGGACATTGAAAAGAGTCAAATGAAAAGTTTAGATTTGACCCATTGATTACCTGTCACTGCAGGGAATGGAAACGCAGATCACAGAACATGTCAGCAGACAAGAAAATCATCATTTTGAAATTGTCTCAGAACACCAATAAAGCAAGAGCCTAACAGCACTGTACTGCCTACTAGTCTTTATCTTTATGCAAATGTGACCTCTAAGTACTTTGTTACCTCCGGCACTGCCAACGTGCCTGCCTGAAAACTGAGCGTCGACAAGCAAATATAGCTATGCTCAAGCTGAGAGACACTTGGATCACATTGACAGCAAACCTCCACATAAACTTCTCTAGATGCCCAACCAAGGCTCCCTGTACAACCAAACTCTAAAATGCTCATAGAGGTAGAGATGGAGATGATAAAGGACAAACTGCCCCTCAAATGTGCCTTTGTGTATCCCTGTCTTGGGACCAGGTTATGTTCCTCTCCTCATATTTCTCCTTAGGCCCCTCATTTACAAGCCACTTGTACCGGCACCTGAGAGCAGATTATTGTTTCGGAGACTGGCAGCAGAACGGGCAGAGAAAGTAGATCTCTTCTCCTCTCCTCTAATCTAATCAAATTTGATGTTTCCAAACACACAGCAGCTGGCTGAAGGCACAGTGATGATAACCCAGAAACAAAGCCCATGCTTGTTGTCGGAAACTTACCTAAGCTTCTCCAATTCCTACTTCAATTTAATATTCCCTCCCTAAAGCTTGGAGCTGGAACACAACAAGAAAGCAATTTAATGGCCTGACACTGCATGAGTGTGTGCTTGCACAAGTGCGCGTGGGCGCGCATTACCCTTAAAATGGTTCATGTTTGTTTGTAGGAGCAGGCGTCCTTTGTGGGCTGATGGGGGCAAGTCCTCCATGATCCAGTGTTTACTCTGTCGAGAAGCAGAGAGGGAAATTCAAACACCTGCAGACAGAGCAAACACAAACAACTCAGCACGCCCTTCAACAACACCCAGTCTTTTTTAAAGCTCCATCATATGATAAATGATTAGGTAAACAACATAACCATGTCCTTTTATTCTATTCTTTATTGGAATATATATATATATGTGTGTGTGTCTGTGTTTGTAGTTTGCAGTAATTATACAGTATAGTTAGCACATAGACTCTGTGGGTCAACCTGGGATGAAGTGGTCAATATATTACAAGCTTTAAGCTCTTGTCTATCATTAAAACATCAAAAGTCCTTTGTTTTTTACAGTGCATGTAATAATAGGAGAGAGGCCGACCCTTTTGATACACCACGTGTTCATCAAATGTGGAGGTCACTTCAGTGAGTACAGCATAGGTCCTTTCATCACTTTGACCGTCATTGCTTTCACTTTCATCTTACACTAACGAGGGGCTCATTAATTTCTAATCAAAGGAGCCTTATGCACAGCAGGACCATTGATAGTATTCAACCATCTATACAGGGAAAACTGATTGAATCATCACATTTGAAACAATACATCTGAGGGCCGGTGAGTGCTTCTATAAATGCACGAAGTGGCACCGAATCTGCCACAGGACACACTGACCCTCTTTTTGATACCATGTGCAAATGTCTGCACAGCTGAAAATGGGATGCAAGGTGGGAGAAAATGAATGGGATGAAGATTGCAAAGAGAACTGCTTTGTGTTGAAGCTAAAAGTCCACTCGCCACATCTGGAAAGAAGACACTATCTCACTGTTTGAGCGGGTCTGTGTGCACACGCACGCAGGAATGGCTGTTCCGCCACGTTCCAGATAATTCCACACTCAGACGGGGCCACACTCTACGCTTCCAGTCAAGCTCGGCTAACACCGGTGGGCACTTTGGTCTACTCGTGTGTGAAACAGTCCAGACTCAGAAACAGACGTCCGTGTCTCTTTGGGAAACGCTGGATAACAAGAAAGAGACTTAAGCTCTGCAGCTGCGGAGAGGCACAGCCCCGAGCCTGTCCAATAAATCTATCAATCAAATGTCTACCTAGGCCTATTGTAGAAGCAGAACATTAAGAGAAGGCTTATGAGAAATTGGATTACAGGATGGTATGATGATTTAATCTAAATCAGACATGGCCCTTTATTACTGGTAGCCAATCATCTTAGAATGTAGTCATGTGCTCTCGCTTGCTACGAGCATGAAATGAGAGAGAAAAATAGTTGAAAAGTACAGATGAGATTTACAGGATCATATGCGTATAGACATACAAGGCTGAAAAAAGACGACTCTTTTAACAAGCTAAATAAAAAGGAGCCCTATATTAATAAAATTATATGAAATAATATGCACAAAAATTTAGGTCAAGGGTTGATTCGCTCCATTGCTGAGACTTGATATCTCTGGATATAATTACCGGTATGTTACATTCAAGGGCATATAACAGAAAGCCTATTAAGAGTCTCTTCTACCTGAAAAACTTAACTGAAAAACTTCAAATAGTTTGTTGCTTAAACACACAAGCAAAAATATGAAAGATATGTGTCTGAGACAAAAGAAAGCAGGTTCGAGGCTCCCGCAGTTTACTGGTGCTGCAGTGCCCTCTAGCTTCAGAAGAAAGAAAGAAATTCCAAGTACCCTCTGCAATTGCTGAATCACAAACACTATTAATTTCTTACCTCTTGCAAAAAAAAAGTTAAAAGTTAAAAGCCATTAACCTGCGTATATAACTTTTGTATATTACGCACAACAATGACATGTTGTAGAAAGATTTAATAATTATTTGTGTAACACCGTCAGAGAGCATGGCTCTGTCCTACACTTTGTAGAATCTGGATGTCTGTATTGCATATAACAGCAAGTTTGGAGAGGATGTCTTTGTCTTATTTACTTGACATGCATGCTGTGTCATCTTGTGTTCACAGTATTAAATACAGGATAAGTTTTCCCACATATCCTGCTTGGACATCAGCAGATATGTATCATCTGGTTGACCTCGCTGTAGCTTATGGAGAATGTGTCAGAGGTGTAGTATATTAATCATTTTGCCGCTTGTGCTATTGTGCAGTTAATGATGAATGTGTACTCTATGACTAAAACTCTCTGAAGTTGAGAATGCACACTGCATTGTGAAAAGCTAAGAAGACAAGCCTTACGAGTGGACAGAGGTGCTTTGGATGTGACCGGCTACTTCAAATAAATGCTTGAGAGACTTGTTTTGCACTCAAATAGTGTTTGTTCATTTTGCTCATCGCTCCAACACATTTCCACATATTATGGGTAATAAACTTCTTATGTGTGAGAGGAAATAAAAGAGGCTATTTAATGTGTGTGATGGAGTGTGTGTGTGTGTTTACTCCGTACTGGCCTGTGACAGACAGACACGCTCTGTGCTTAAACACACACACAAGCTGTTTAGACGACCTGCCCCTGGAATGCACAGAATCCTGCTGCTATGGCAACGGAAACTTGCCAGTAAATCTGTTTAACATACTGTCCCTGTTTTTCTTTCTCCTATACAAACACACCTGACCTTCATACGAGTGTTCACATTACTTCATACCAGGGATTAAGTGCTACTATCACATCTCTTTTGATATTTGGCTTTCTATTTCTGTTCCATTCTGGTGTATCTTGTTGCATTTGAGATGGATTCTTTTGTGATCTATCATGGTTTTAAGACCCAATAAACCAATGAACCATGAACTAAAAGACATCATGCACAGCAGCTTAACGAAGAAATTAATATAGACCAAATTCAAATATTGACACAACCCTATATTGCAGATAATTTGATTAGTCAGAACAGGAAAAGCACAGGCGTTGCTAATAACATTAACAGTGGCCTTGCTCCTTGCTCTAACTGAGCCATGATAATGTGACTTACAGTGAGACACATGTACACACACATGGAGACTAATTTAACGGTCTGTGTAAATTTGTTTTCATAATCGAGAACAGAGCATTGTCTGTTTTCCACACATGTACAGGTCACGACCCTTGGAAACATGCATGATTAACCATATAATTTTCATATGTATCATATTTGATATTTGAGACCTTTGGCATCATTCAGTGATAAAAACTTTGCAAAAAACTGTTTTGCACATTCAGATATACCTGATGAAAGTAGGAAGACTACACAACAATAATTTGGATTTATCGCACAGTATTACAATTATGGATATCAAAATACTTTTGTTAAAGGGCCAAATAAAGACTTCAAACAAGAAAACCTTCTCTATATTATTTCTTGGATCAGACTTTGAATGGTTAAAAGGCCAATGATAAAACATGTTTTCTGTCAGTCAGTAAATTAACCTGATAAGCATGCTGTTCAGTTTTCACATCCCGGAGGTTCCTGATTTGATCTTTACTGCAATAATTAAAAAATAATAGGAACATATGATATGGTCATATCATGGATATCTAGCAGACCCTCTTCACATCATACTGTAATCTGACCTGTCAAGGACAGTTACATTTCCAATAAATATGATTGAAAACAGCAACAGCAAACTATCATGAACAAAAGAATAACCTCAGAGAGGTGAAGTAAAGCTTCAAGAAGTCAAGCTATTCCTGCTACTCAGTGTCACCAAATTATTATGAAAAGTCATATTAAAGGTGTATAACTGTACAATGATGACGTAAAGTAATATCTATTAACGAAAAGTTAAAATCTAATAAAAGCAAAATCTTGCCTACTTTTGTCATGACATGTTACGAACGTGTGCTACATCAATTATAAAATGCGAATAAAAATAAGATAAAAAACAGTGATGACAAAAGTGACGTATTTCCGTTCTGCGAACTTCCGCCTTTCACATGTGTTTACTAAAATGTGGACAACTTACCGGTAGCTCAACAGACATTCTTCGCTTTTTCTAACTAACGATTTTTTTAACCGATCAAAACATGGGCAAGCTGAATGTTGTGATACTGAGATACCTATCTCGAGATGACTTCCGTGTCCTAACCGCTGTAAGTAGCGAGCTAACCGGTCAGATCTGCACTAGCAGAGTTAGCTAATGCTAACCATGTTGTGTGATAATAACTAATGTTGCATCGTTACAAACAGCTGACAGCATTATCAGCAGCTTACTTTCTGGTGTTTAGCATCATGATAATAAAAATATATATTTTACTTAATTAATCCGTAATATTAATTACGGATTAATATAATCCGTAATTTTGTTTTTGAGGTGTTACATGTAATTATGACTAGTAAAACCTTATGAACAGAACCAAAACACCACCAACAGATGTCTCATTAAAAGTTATAGTAGATTTTCATTTTTTTTTTAAATTCTATAATTATATGTTTTCTTCAAAAGACAAATGTATCATTTATTAGCATTACCTATGTCGGGTTCTCTAACTTCATTATAGATGATGTGTCTGTGTTTCCCTTGTGAAATTGTGACTGGATACTATCTATAGTGCAAATACTCAAATGTGTTAAGTAGCAGTCAACACTTCTAAATCAGCCTGTCGTGGCTGAGCCATGTATGATGGTAACTTAAAAACGTTCAAAGGTTTTTTGTAGATTGCTTTCCAATTGTAGAAATCAACATTTTTATTGTGTCAAGCTGAGACAAGCAAAGAATTTGTTTTAGTTATGTGGACACATTTTGAGTTTTGATCCCTGAATTGTAGTACTACTGAAAGTATCTGTGTACTCACATTAGCAACTACAAAACAAAGAAGGATAAAGCAGAACGTGTGAATGTGTCACTGAACCTTTGTAGTCAATGTTCCATTTCTGTATGTCAAATTTGAACTCATGCAGGTGGAGATGGGAATGAAGAACCATGAGATTGTTCCTGTGAGTCTGCTGTCCTCCATTGCGAGCCTCAAACACGGCGGCTGCAACAAGATTCTCAGAGAACTTGTAAAACACAAACTTGTGGTCTATGAACGCACCAAGAGTAAGAAAATGTGGAGACATACCAACTTTCTCACAAGTTGTGATGCAGGCAGCCCATTATTCTGATGAGCTGTATGTGTTGATTTCAGCTGTGCAGGGCTACAGGTTGAACTATGGAGGATACGACTACTTGGCTCTAAAGACTTTATGCTCAAGAGAAGTGATATTGTCAGTCGGCAATCAGATGGGTGTTGGAAAGGAATCAGGTAAGAAAGAAAATACATTTTGTTTTCTATATATTTGCATCCTCAAAGTCACATTTTATATGATTACCGAGGTCATTTCAAGTTATCGACATAACATATTGTTTATAACTGATGAGTTACTACATTAATCGGTCTGAAAGTCATAGGAGCTATTTTGTTTTTAGCTTTTTTACTGTAATCATAAAACGCACTGAGAAAATATTTTATTTAAAATATGTAGAACAAAATTAAACAAAACATCACTGTTACGAAATTATAAAATTGTTCACCTAAATGAGACTATTTATCCAAACATATCTGTTTGTCTTTTGTGAAGATATATATATCGTTGCAAGTCCAAACGGGGAGCAGTATGCTCTGAAGCTGCACAGGCTTGGCCGGACCTCCTTCAGGAACCTAAAAAACAAAAGAGATTACCACAAACACAGGAAGAACATGTCCTGGCTTTACCTGTCCCGCCTCTCTGCCATGAAAGAGTTTGCCTATATGAAGGTAATGAGTTAGATTTAAAGATATTTGTGGGTTATGTGGAACATAACACGTCACCCTGAGTTTGGGAAATCTGAGAAGCATTAATTTAGTGTCTCCTCTTTCTCTCCAGGCACTGTATGACCGAGGCTTTCCTGTTCCCAAACCTGTGGACTATAACAGACACGCTGTGGTGATGGAGCTCATCAATGGATATCCTCTGTATGAAAAAACGGCACACGCCTAACACTCCACACACTCCACACAACAGGCATGGAAGTGTAATGCGGGCTCTTTGTGTGCACTGTGTGACCTTTTTCAGGTGTCAGGTGCATAAGTTGCAGGATCCACCGGCTCTGTACAGCGAGTTCATGGAGCTCATAGTCAAGCTAGCCAACCACGGCCTGATTCACGGAGACTTCAACGAGTTCAACCTCATGCTGGACGACCAGGACCACATAACCATGATCGACTTTCCTCAGATGGTGTCTACGTCGCACCTTAATGCTGAATGGTGCTTCTCTTTTCCATAAAGACTCCTGCTAACAGTTAAAATAGTGAACCTGAAAAGGTGTTTCATCTCTTCTCGTGTTCCAACTCTGCAGGTATTTTGACCGCGACGTCAGTTGCATCAGAAATTTCTTTGCAAAGAGGTTCAATTTTGAAAGCGAGCTCTTCCCAACCTTCAAGGACATCAGGTAAGTCTTTTTCTTTTTGTGTGTTGCTAAAAATGCATCTGTTCGCTTTGTACTTTTAATGAGAGCGTGAGCAGGTCACACTCTGCGTTGTCCGGGTTGCTCAAAGTGCTTTTTGTTGCTACAGACGGGCTCATTCTGTAGACGTAGAGGTTTCAGCCAGCGGCTTCACTAAAGATCTGCAGAATGATGGTGACTTACTGCACCCGGCTGGACCTGAGGAGGATAGTGATGAGGAGGAGGAGGAGGACGACGAAGAGGAGGATGAGGAGGACGACGACGACGAAGAGGAGGAGGACGAAGAGCCAACGGACAAGGAGGACGAAAAAGAGGAGACCCGTGTGGACATGGAGGAATACAGACATGCGATGCTGGAACTGGAGGGATTGAAAGTCAGCGAAACGCATGCAGACACACAAGATGAGGGGGAAGAAAAGACTGAGGTGGCTCTCACAGATGGAGGCGATGACAAAACAGAGGAGCTAGAAGAAGAGCTGAGGGAGGCAGAGGAAGAGTGCCCAGAGCTGACGGATATCTCTGCCGCCAACAAAGAGTTCAAACCTTTCAGGTAGACGTCCCCATAAGGCCTCTAAGAGCCTCTGATGTGAAGACTTTAGCGTAAAATGAGCCGCTTGGGATTGTGTTCCCCGGAAGAGTAAAAGAGACACTGGGGACACAGTGCATAACTAAAGCAGCCTTTTCTACCCCCGTAATAACTTGTGCTTCTCTTCGGCAGAAACTCAGACAGCCTTCAGCACGTTGCAGAACACAGGAGGAGGAGGACAGACAGCGAGGCCACCACGGGTAGCACAGCGAGCTTCTCCACCGTAAGTCTGCCTCTCTCCTGTCTGCGTGTAGAGCCAGAGGGCTGTTTTCAGGGAACCACAACAAGCACCGCTGATTGGATTTGTTTGTTTTTTAAAAAGATGTTATTTGCCATTGCAAAAATGGTTGTTATGGTATTACTTTTCTTGGAAAAAACAGAGTATCCTGTAGGTGTTGCTAAAGAGTCTCAATATGTGTGACACACTTTACTAAAGAGTTGGATATCGCTGATGACCAGCCCCTCATCGTGTGGGTGGCTAACGGGCAGACGCACGTCGGGAGTCCATTCATCTGTTCTAATCTGATGTGTTGTGTGTGCTGCAGGAGGAAGTCCGTCAGAAAGTGCGGACGCAGCTCACCAAACAGCAGAAGGCAGCACAGAGGAGACGTCTGCAGAAGGGGGAGGCCAATTTGGTGACCAAATCCAGGAGGGAAAACCAAAATAACATCAAGTCCAGCATGGAGAGCGCCAACTTCTGGGGATGAAAAGACTTTTTGTTGGCTTAAAGGTGTTCTTTTGTAATTCCTCTGCATCTTTGTCCAGAGATGGCAATAAAACATGTAACGATGGATGAAAGAAAAAAACTACCAACTGAGTCTCACGGAACAATTGTTTTTTTCCAATGTGATAAAAATGAAAATCGAATTATTGTCTTTTACATTTTATTTCTCCTGAAACATCTCTTGAAAATAAATGGAGATGTCACATTCTTTTATTTAGCCTGAACATGATCCTGTACATGGAGTCTAAATACAGACCATTCAGTCAATGAGGTGGTGTGTCGAACAATAACGGTAAAAGTAAAAAAGTGTAAGACAAAAGTTTGAGACATACAGTAGCCTTAAGGGTGCTGACACTTGCTGTGGTCAGTTTGGGTGTCAAGGTCGCAAAGTTGATATGCAGAGCTTTAATTAAGTTAAACTAGGCCAGTTCAAAGGACCAAACTCTCTGGACCTTTTAAGTGCAGAGAGAAGCATTCCACAGGAAAACCTAAAGGCAACACGTTTTCCTATATGGCTAATTTATGTGTAAGCAGCTTTTCGAGGGGGAGTGAATTCAGACTTGAACAATAGCCATTCATGCTGAAGATTTTGAATGGAACTCAGACCCAGGACTGAGAGAGTTCAAATTTGAGAGCAAAGTAAAAAAATACCCCATCCCCCACACACCCCAGCTTCACATGATGGATGCAGAGGTTTTTAAGATGCCAAATAACGACATGTAGGAAGCATCAGGTGGTGCTCTCATGTGTTTTTCTTCTCTTCAACCTATCAGTTGTGCAGTCTGGTTAACTTGGCAACTTTGTGCAGGTCTTAAACTGTCCTGCTCTGTTTGGGGATTAGCCAGCTGCACAGCCAGAGAGGAGGGGCGCAGCATTCCTGCTCTGCACCTCTGTGTGTGTGCCTGTGAAAAGAGAACGAGGGGCCCTCACAGCTAATTGGCAGGGAGAGTGACAAAGGTGGTCCCCTTCAAAAGAGAAACCCCACAGATATGTTAACACAGGAGTGGAGGAGGAGGGGAGTGAGGACCTTCAGGGGTGTTGAAGCCTGCAAAAGACTTTGAGTTTTCTTTTTAAAAGTTCTATGCTGAGCTAGGGTGACAGTGGTGGCTGCTGATTTTTAGTGTTGGCTGACTTTGTAAATGAGGAAATGTGAATCGGGTGTTTTTGAGGCAGCAGACGAACCACAAACTGGATGAAGATGAATTATACGACAGGGAACGAGAGCATCATGTCATACCTTTTACAGTGTGAGACTGACACCAGCCCGAAAGACTGTGAGTAACTTTTCAGGAGAGTTAGTTTTAATATGGAAAAGAGACATTGTTATTTTACTAGTGATGCACCCTTATTGCACCAGGAGAACTTTGTTATTTTCAGGCCTGTGTGCTTTCAGAGGGGTCAGTTAAGCTGTTACCTACATGTCACAAAATAAAGGGCAATGAAAGAAATAAACCAGCTTCAGGGTCAGAACAAGCTTAAAATGTTTCAAACTGAAGGTCTGAGGGAAGGGGTCTTTGCCTTTAATTCTTAATCAGGCAAACAAAATCAATGTCGGGGAATGCAGCAATGCCCAGCCTTGAGGAATTAATTACATCATACAAAGTCTGCTGATTTTTTCTTATTCAAAATTGGTTAATTTTAAATAATCATACAAAAAACATGCATTATTAATGTAAACCTTTGAATTTAATCCCAAATGTGATCATCAGTATCAGCTCTGTGGCATGCATGTGTGTGCAGTGAACGTGGTGGCCGTTCTTCATTCATTCTGGGAGCAGAAGCAGATGGCTCACCTGAATGATAAATCCAGTGAATCAGATGCTTTTGGTGGGCAGTCGGCCAGGCAGGCAGAGCCCGTGCTGCTGTACGAGTCTGCAGCTACTCCCGGACCCCCGTACGTCTGCTACGTCACGCTTCCAGGAGGCAGCTGCTTTGGGAACTATAAGGTAATGCTGTTGTCATCACAGCTGTCTGTCTGCAGTACATGACAAGCACTCACAAGTGATCATGGGTGGGAAAAGTATTTTCAGAACAGAGTATGGCAAAAAGCTTTTTGCCTTTTGAATATCATCAATGAAAATGAAAGGAATGATTGAAAACCACTGTATATTGTGAAACTTTGACTTAATATAAAGGATTGCTTGTAAGTGTTTTTGTACAGAATGACATCTCAAGCTCGTTAAATTTTAGAGATGGGTCAAATTTCTTTCTTAGACAAAGTATCAATAGATCTCACCAGTGCATTCTTTTTATGGAGGTCATCAACCAATAAATGAAAACATAAAATCCATGGGATTAGTCTGAGCTAGCTGATGAGACATAAACAACTCTAACAATTTATATTTTTTAGATGGAATACAGTTGGACACACATTCGCAGTTGCTTTGCTTTCTTATTGTTCACTTTAAACCTGATGCTGCTTATTAGTGGGTTTGTCATGACCAAGACAGCTCAGAGAAGATCATGTGATAGGTTGACTGTGAATGCCTCTGTATCCTGCCCTCAATGGTGATTTGAGGTTTGATCCCATGACCAGCTGTACTGAAGTGTAAAATCATCCAAAAATGTGGGAGTAAGTGCTCACCCAAATCCGCTGACCCTGAGGTTTTCTCTTTGAAGTGACAAAGCTTTTCACTATTCTCCCTTGCTGTTTTTACTGGGACATTTCAACCTCCCGTCCATGTTCTCAGGTGTGTGACACCCAAGCAGAAGCTCGCAGGGATGCAGCTCGCGTGGCTCTCATGAACTCGCTCGTGAACGAGCTTCCATGTCGACGCATCAACCCAGAGTTCATCACACAAAGCCTGCAACAGGCAGCCAGAGAAAGTGCCGTAAGTGTAAGCCAGCACAAGTAAACTGCATCATTATTATTGTCAAGATAACTATTGACGTGCACTCTTTTCTGTGTAAAGGTGTCTGTGGACAATGCGTCTGATTCAAGTACCAGTTTAGGAACCTACAGTCTCCTGCTGAACTCCTACATGGGAAAGACTATGCTTGAGTTCCAGGTATAACAGGAAGCCATTGTGCAAAATTATATTTTTCTTCAGCTGAGCTCATAAATCATGGGGTGTCATGTTGTAAATGTATGAAAGATCAAATAACTTAAAAGGATTCAGGCTCTCTAAAGCATAACTTTGAGATACGACATTTTAAAGATTCTCTCAGCAAAATCAGACTCAAAATTTAAGTGTTTTAATTTTACTTAATGAGTCATTATTAAGGCAAACATTGGGTGGTAATTTTGCCTTTCATTGGAGTCATTTAATCTCCAGTCTGTTTTCACCTTCAGTAAATAGCTATAATCTAGAATTCTGGCAGTGTGTCGAGGTACACCTAAAATTACTAGTTAAATAAACCCATGTCTGCAGACAGGGAGTTATTAGTTGCAGGAAGTGGGTTCATTATCATTCCTGCTACACCCCAGATCATTGACATGACGAGCCTTGGAGCAATACACACACCATACAAGACATTCATTTTCACACAAAAAATAAAGAACTATATATATATGGCACCAAGCATAAATTACACACCCTGAAATAGTTTTAATTCATGCAGTTAGTGCAGGAGGTGCCACATAGTCTCTGGCAGTTCCACAAAGTGAGGCACAGGCAACAGAGTAAACAGGAGAGCTAGTCCAAAGTGAACTTCATGCCAGACAGCCTATGTATCATTTTCCACCAGTGTCTCGTTAGATCTGTTTGAGTTCATGTATACATTCTCATTGTTTAACTCTAATGTCACTTGCCCCTAACACATGGCAGCTGCTGGGCCAGTGGTTGTTATGAATCAGGGTGAAAACTGCACTAACTCTTAAATGTGTGACACGTTGTTGAAACAATCAGCTGCAGTTTAGGCTTGGCTTAAAGAGATTTACTAATGTTTTCTTTGTCAAACTAACAATTTCTGGTCTGGAACTGTTAGTTTGTCTTTCAAGTCTCACTCTCTTTTTTCTGTAGGAGATGATGACAATTTTCCAGCTGCTGCACTGGAACGGGACACTGAAGGCCCTAAGGGAAAGACAGTGCTCTCGACAAGTACGACAAGTTTTACCAGCCAGATATAACACTAAGTAACAGAAAACTTTGATACAGCAGCCGAATGTCTGCTAATGGATGATGATGACAGCCTCTTTTCTTTCCTCCATTAGAGTGTGATTGCCTATTACTCACAGCGGGGGCTTGATGAGTATATGCGAAGCAGCATGGCTCTGGATTGGCTCGCACTAGAGCAGAGGTCACCGGGGCTTCTTGGAGCAGAGCTGCAGGTGGCACAGAGGAAGCTGGTGTTGGCCCGCCGTCGAGGCATAGAACTACGCTTCTACAAGGAAAAGACAGAGATCCTGAGCTTGGCTCTGAGTCAAGCATACATTCACCACTCACCAGAAGTCTCTAGCCAGGCACCAAGTCACACATGCCAGCAAGAGCAACTCCCTTTAAACACATTGTTTACCCAGGAAACAGACAACCAGACATACCCCCTTTGTAGCTTTTCACCGACCTTCTATGACAGCACAACACTGAGTTTTAGTACAGACATACCGAACAGCCCCTCATCAAGTTCACAGCAGTTTTATATGCCTTCAGATTACTGAATTAACTGAAGAGCAGACCTTGGACGTCACAAATCTCTCTCAATCAATATTTTCCTGAATTATCAGGTCTATTACGGATGTAAGAACTGATTAAACATATTCTCGTGTTTTCCGTAAATATCATAGCGTTCTATAGTCACACAGGCTATATCATTATTGCCATGTTATAGTTGTATTAACATTCTAATATTCTGCCTGGCGAGAGGTTATGAAGAAAACTAAATATGAATTTCAGTGCATGTTGGTGTAGCTTATACCAGTGAGTCAAGTATTTAAAGAAATATATTCTTGACAATACCTTACCGTTTTTTGTGTGAAGGGCGCACTCGTTTAATGTCTTTTATATGGGCACAATCCTTTTGTCGATTTCAAAGTACTTGATATTTATAGCTCATGTAGTAGTAATCATTAACCTTATAGACTTTTTTCTTATCAAGTCAAGTATTTCTTTGCTAGAAATGTTCCTCATGGAAAGATAAAAAGTATGATTGATTACTTGACATGTTTGTGAATGTGTACACTGCTCTTGATAAATGTCAGAAAGCAAAATCTATTTTTGCTTATGGGTTGTGGTATGTGTTGTGAAGCAAGTCAACATTTACACAATTAGGTGTCAAAAAAACCAAGTGCATTGTCTTAGGCTTGCTTATGAAGAAGAAGTATCATAAAGGGAAAATGTAAGTTAATGTAATCAATAATAAAGGTTTTTGGGGTCACTGTTTATCCAAATCAATCAGTACATTTATGTTTGTACAGACCTGTTTTTTTTTTTTTCTTTAGATCGATTTATTCAGTGAGCCTCAAATACAATTGACTCAAAAATAGTTATGTTAAGGTTTTAAAAGTTCTGCAGAAGATTGATCTTTTAGGAAAGAACAGCAATAACAAAAAATATTGCTTGTCCACTCTCGGATCCCGTAGAGAGGTGGAGTGGTCATGTGACCATGGATTGCGATCGCGCAGTTCCTGGAAAAAACAAAACAAAAACAAATGACAGCCGACTAGCGGAGAGGGGAGGGTGCATATTGTCGCATGACATCCGCTTCAACGTGTTGAAATCTGATTTTGGTCATGTGAACAGCAACAATTAGAATCATGAACGGCAGGAAAAACAAAGGAAGACAATGCAGCTAAACGGGCGAACAGCTAAGTGTTAGCGTGGCTTAGCTAAACTGAGTCTGCTCAACTGAAACTGGTTTCGTTTTTCCATAAATGTAATCCCGGATGCATGGTTTATGTTTTTAAACGTGTCCGTTGTTGCTTTGGCATCCAACGTCATTGAGTTTTCGTCACAGGAAATAGAAGAATGTAATGTTTTAGTGACAGTGACTATCTATTTTTATCTTGACAGCACAGGCAGCTTCCAGTTGCTTATCACAGACAGAACCCAGCTAGCTGTTTTAGCTTCTGGCTGTTGTTTATCCAGAGCACATAGGATGACGTATAGTTGTCAAGTGGGTTTGGAGTTGATCGTTTCAGCCACTGGACTCTTCAGTGTGACACAGTGATCCAGGCTGTGTGTGGTCTGATGTGAACAGGCTCTTAAAATGGAGGCTGTGCGACCAAAGAAGACTAAAACAAAAACCAGCGGAAAGTCACAGGTGACAAATAACACTTATTGTGCAACCACTCGCTCCTCCTTCAGTTACGGGTTAAATTGAGCCCAAATAATATGAAAAATACATTATAAACTAAAATAATATTAAACGGAAGGCTCTACAAAACATTGAAGTTTAACATCAAGATCGTTGGAAATTTGGTAATCGGTGATGATCTGTTCCCAGACCTTCACATTTTGGGAAAACAATTAGTTTCCTTCCTTCCCTGGAATCTTCATAACACAGTTGGCTTGTCCGCATGTTTTTCTTCATATGTAGATATGTAATAAAAATTAAATTTGCTTGTAAAATTTAGAAAGTACAAGTTACTCTTGATTTTTGTATAGTGACTTGTAATTGTCATAAATTCATTATTATTAGGAATAATACATCTTTGCGATAAAAATGTGAAAGTGTAAGTATTCTAAGTAACTTAAACCTGACATATAATTTAAGTTGATGCATAAACTGTGCCACAATAGTATGTTCTTGTTTCATAAGACTAATCATATGTCAAGCGCACTTAATCATATGTGTTATCATTCACTTGTTTACAGCTGGTCAGGAAGCCGAAGCATTCAGAAGAGGACAAAAAAACCACAGTTCCCTCAGATGTCTGTGATGAAGCCTCCAGCTCTTGTTTCATGGACATCCCCCTCAGCCTGCCTGATGTTCCTCCTCCGGCTGCCAAGGACAAGGAGCAGAGTCCCAGTCAGGCCACAGAGACCACAGCACAACCAACACAACTGGCCTCTGTTAAGCAACAGACTCCCTCAGCACAGACCCCGTCTGCATTAGATTTAACTCAGACTCTCGAGTCTAGTCTGAATTTGGCAGCGGTTGCACCACAGTTGGCTGCCAGTCTAACACAATCGAACAATGAGGAAGAGGAGGATGGTGGTGTTAAAGCTCAAGGGATGGAACTTAAAGTTGCACCACAGGTTAACACTGATCTGCAGTTATGGAATCAGCCTATTGTTGCACCTCAGTTTGAGAGACCGACTGCCCCTGCATTGTACCCATCTCTCCCTACACTGGAGGAGTGCAGCGTGATACAGTTATGTGATGAAGGGGTGAAAAGTTGTGAAAAGGAACCTGCAGTGTTGGCACTTCCTGAGCAGGAATCTTCTCCCCCAAGTCTGCAGCCTCTGGAGTCAATAGCTGAGCTGTCAAGAAGCAAATTGTACCCAGAATTACCCAAAACAGCTCCAGAGATGCAGGTGATTTCATGCGATATGTCACTGATATGATGACAATTTTCTGTATACTGACATTTCTGGTTGCTGCAGTTGTGTGGTGGTCAGCACCTTTAACTCACACTGAAGGAATTTGTAGTTTAAATCTCGGATTGAAGTGCATGCTGATTAGTGTTTGTAAACGGAGCCTAAAAGTGAGCATGTATAGTTGTTTAGTCTTTGTGTGGCCCTGTAATGTACCTCCTGCCCAATGACTGCTTAGGCTCCACCCTCAACCCACTCATTCATTCATTTTTGGTATAGAAAATGAATGGATAAGCATTTGTCTCATTAGTAGGCCCTTACATGTGCTGTATGTATGTATTGCTTATGTTTTTTTCTCTGCAGGCATTCTCACTGGAGCAGCTGAGTGTTTGGGAGCCAGGCGGAGGGCTGCGGGCATGGCTGGAAGGTGTTGAGATGTGTGGCGCCCAGTTTTGTGCTCTTGCCAGGCAGGAGAACCATGAACTTACGGAACTGCTGCAGAACTACTGGCGCTGCCGCCGACAGCTGACCCAGTCACACACGCAGCTGCGCACGCAGTCCTCTGACTGCAAAAGCACACAGAATCGCCTCTGGAGCTTCAGAGATGAACAGCTCACACTTCAGGTGTGGGCTGTTTTTGTTTTGTCCAGGGATTGTTTATGATGATTAATGGCCGGTGTGGTGATGTTTTTCCTCTCTGTCCGACAGGGAGTGTGTGCGGACCAGTCAAAGGTTTGTGGATACCACCGTTTCCAGCAGGCGGAGTTTAATGACGCTGTTCTGGCTGAACTGAGGCGAATGCTTGAAGCGTGCAGTGAGCTTCTCCATCAGAAAGTGGTGCTGCATGCCTACACTGCTCTGCTGTCACGCCTGCAGGTGGAGTCATACCTATATCGATTACTTAAAGGTGAGAGCTGTTGAAAGTACGCCTACTTCAAAGTTGCTCTACATGTCAAGAAATTCACATTTATTCTCACCCATCCTGTGCACATATGTACATTTATTTTATTTATTTCTTTATTTTCCAGATTACTCTGGTAGACACACGCAACCCTGTTCTCTCCAACCTCTGAAGGAGGCCATAAGTGTCCTTTTTAGCTTCACACGTAGAGTCCTGGATGACACACAGTTCCAGACAGACATCCATCAATGGCTGGAGAGACTGGTAAAGACGAATCTGAACCACTTTTTAAACTCCTCCTCATATTTGTTTATTGTTCACATTTTCCCATTCTACCCTCCACCAGGTGGCTGTCTTGCTTCATGCTGGAGGGTCTGAGGAACACGTTTACCTGCTCTGCCATCTTTTATGTTGTCCTGCTGGGGTGGGAAAGTGGGCTGCACCCTTCATCCAGGTACGGTAGAGAAACATATCTTTAGTTTTTTAATTGCCTTTTCCTGTGAATACAGTTGACTAATGTTTTGTTTAATCTACGCCAGATTCAAGTTTTGGGAAACACTTACGGAGTTCAACATTTCATGAAGGCACTGGCAATTTTAATGTCTCCTGCCAGGTAAAAAAAGAACAATGCATAGCAGTATTTAACCCCTGTGAATGTTTCTTTCTCTCTATATATATATGCCTATGTTAGCCATTCAGACCCATTTCATTTTTTTAGTTTCTAATAACTGCCCTTTAACCTCTGGCTCCTCTGTTGTCACCCAGACACCGTGCAGAGTTTCTGGGTCACATGAAGCCATGTGAGAGCCAGAGCTCAACAGCATCTGGACCTGATTCTGGGAATTGGACCCTTGTTGATGAAGGAGGGGAAGAGGTAAGTGAAGGGAGGGGAAAAAATGATCAATTCAATGTGCGGATCAGGGTCAATTGTATTTAAAATGAAGAACTACTACTAATGGATTATCTGACAATATTTAACAGAACATTCATATCTGTAACAATTGTATAAATTATTTTTCGTAAAAGTTACTTCCAGCTATTTTTTTCTCTTATATTTCGAAACATTTGAAGGGGAGAGGGAGAGAAAAGCTTTCCAATATAACTTTCCAGTGAAAGTAATGCTCAGTGAACTTTGACTGCACTCCTTTGTTCTGTGTTCAGGATGAGGACCCAGAAAGCAGCTGGCTGCTGCTCTATGAGGAAGATCTCATCTCCCTGCTGACTCAGTTCCCATTCCAGCAGCTCTACTCGCACATGCTGGGGATGAGTAAGCTGGGTGAGACAGTTTATCCTATCTGCCTGTTTTGTACTGGTGTCATTCATCACGCCGGCTGACCGAAGGTTCTTTTTCCCAGGTGTATATGAGCCGCAGGCCTGCTCCAGTCAGAAGATGATGCGCGTGTTTGGTTTCGCTTCCTCTCTCATTGAAATTCTCGCTGTTGGTCTTCAAACCTATAACAGAGCACGATATAGGCAGCTGGTCAAACGAATAGGACACATCATACGGTCAGTGAGCAAGTTGTATGAGCAAAATGGCCGCATATGTTCACTCTTCCCTTTTCCTGGTCAAATAGACAGAAAATGCATTGATCTCCTGTCCTGTTCCTCAGAGTAACCGTGTGTTATGTCAGTGATCACTGGGCCCAGTATGTGAGTGTAACCGGTGGGTCCAACTCTCATGTACACTCTCTGTCTCTGGACAAGCTGCAGCTGGAATACGATCATCTCTTTCTCAGAGCTGTTTTACATGTTCTCAGAAACAAACGGTAAATAATTGACCTCCGGTTTACATGTCAGTTTAAAGGATTTTACATTCAGGTTTTTATATTTACTTGATGTGTCCCTACACCCTCAGGTTGGGCATTTGGTTGTTCATGTCCGAGATGCCATATGGAACTTTGTCCAGCTCTATGCTGTGGAAGGTCCTTTATGTTATGCAGTGTGCAGAGACAGCAGGGCTGGAAACGCTCAGCACTGCCGGTGACACTCAATCCTGCATTCAAGCTCTAAGGGGTATCACTATACACGCTTACTTTCATATGTATAATTTCATTGGCGCATTTTATTAATGCTGAGATGAAGCCAAGCAGTTTGTTTTATTGAACACTGTCCAATGCATTTGATAACTGAACATCATTTGGATTCTAAAGTTAGGAATAGATAGTATTTCACTGTTTAATTTATCTGTCTGGAGGTGTCAGCACATTTTTTTTCCTCTCTGTTACAGATCCAAAGCATCAGGAGAGATTTGAGCAGTGGCTGTGTGAGGTGAACAGCTCTGACGGCATCTCCCTCCTCACAGCACTAGCACACATGGCAACACCCACTCAGCACTCTGACCCTGCATTCATCACCACCATAACTCTTCTGATTTACCAGGTTTGTTGAAAAAACACATAGAGGGAAGTGCAGTAATGATTCCAAGAAAAAAAAAAGAAACGTATACACTGTAAATGGTGGTTTTGTATACAGTTAGTATTAAAATACATAGTCCAATTACAATACTCAAGAACAGTCTGTGTGTGTTGGAAACACCATACTGGTAACTACATTGTAACTACATTGGGTTTATTTTCCTACAGTATGAGCTGCATTGTCCTGGTTCATGATGACATTTCGACTCTTTATTTCTATTAATTATGTTTTTTTTCCACAGGTGTCTTATGTGAGTGTTTCCACCAGAGAAACCTATTCCAAGGTGGGGAGAGAGTTGCTGGCTGCCATAGCTACAGCTCATCCGTATGTCATCTCTGTGCTCATTGAGAGAGTCAGAGAGACCATAAAGTGTGTAGGAATGGTTGGTAAACCTATTTTAAATTTTTAGTAAGTGTACAAGTGTTACATTTGAAAAATGCCATAATTTGAGTTCCTATTTCTGTCAGGTTGCACTGTACCTGTGTAAAGAACTTCCTTTGAGTCTGTGGCAGCCAAGGACAGAGGAAATATGTGTGATCGGAGCCTGGTTGCTCCTGCATCCCTTGTCTGCAGTGGAGAACCGATTAGCCTGTGTTATCCTGGAGGGCCTGAACTGGGGTTACACACAGGTACCTGGAGCTGCATTTGGAGTTTTTTCAGACTCAGCACATCTGCGGGTTTTTAAATGTCTGCCCTGTTATCTTTGGCAGGAGGGCTCTTTGGTCCTGTCATCGTTGCTGCACCGTGAGGTGGCTCTCCTGGTGGCTGAAGCCTATCAGAAGTACCTTACAGATAAACCGTACAGTGGCCTCATATCAGAGGGAATCAAACAGGTCAAACATTCCCATATCTTTCATATGTTTGTGAACTAACTTTCATAATTTGATTTAATATCAATTCAAATGTAGTTTAATCTTTTTCTATCTTTCTCCCACTTTAGGTGTCTTACCTTGCCAGTGTCCTTCGTTTGGGTGTGTCTCCTGAAGCATCTTTCAGTCAGTGGGCGTGGCAACTGTTGCTAAGGCTAAAGCTCCATGGAAATGCTCAAAACCCCAAAGGAGCCTGGGTGGTGCCCACCATGGCGTCCAACCCCCCACCAGAGTTGACACATGCACCTAGCATGCATTCTGTGCTCAGGGCTGTAAAAGCAGGCATCCCTATTGGATGCTACCTCTCCATTGCCATGACCACAGTGGGACACAGGTTTGTGATCACAGAGATAATCTAAAAAGTGATTTCTCTACATAATTTTAATCAAGTTTTTTTTTTTCCAGTCTGGAAAACTTTTGTACTGAGGGGGTTGGGCTGTTAAAAAGTCTGATTCAGGCCCGCCACCTGAGAGCTGCGGTCCATCTGCTGGATAATATCCTACCACCCACCTACCCCCTAACCTTTTACTTGGTCAACAACTCTCAGTAAGATTAAACTTCATGTATCATCCCGTAACTGTACCTTATGACTATACTTACCTAACATGTGACCTTATGCCGTTGTTTCTGCCAGGTTTGTCAGTTGTGTCCAGTTATTCTTACAGTGTGACAGCGTTTGTCCTCAAGGGGTGGCACAGCAGGTCACACATCGAGTAGCTCCACTCCTGACTGGAACCAGTTATGGAGACAATGTGCGTCTGCTGAACAGCATGATTCAGGTATACCATTTCAACTTTGACATAAAATAACTTATATCTATAACTTTAACTATCATGTCCTCAGATTTTCTGGAATGAGAGATATAGTGTGGACGAAATGCAGATCAGGTTGTTAACAATTCACTTTATGTCTTGATTAACTTCACCCAGCATTAGTAATAAAACGTAAACTGTTCACAGATTGTGAAGGAGTTAGGATGTGGGATTTACATCATCAACATTTTATGGCCCATATTAAAAAATTAAACAGGTGTTTTGAGATTTAAGTAGAATGATTGATTAATCTCTACATCATCTAAAAGAAAAGGATGTAACCACGTTTCTATTTTATTTTTAAGAGCCACATCGTGGAAAGTTCTTGGACTGGTCGCGTAGGAGCTGCCGCAGTGCTGGAGTTTTGGGTGGGAATTCTGACTCAGCAGAACTTGTGGTACCGAGACAAAACAGTCCTGTTCCTCATGGATCAGATTTGCTGTGCTGCCTTCACCCAGCACCAGGAAGAATGTGTGCAGAAGCTCCTGTACCAGCAGCATAAGGTGTTTACACAATGTTTGGATTGGTTTGAATGATTTAGCTTCAATTTAGCTACTCTTTAATGTACAAATCCCAGATGCTTTCATATTTGTGCAGAACGCCCTGGGTTACCATGGAGATCGGGGCCTGATCTCTTCTCTGGTTGGCTGGATTGCTGGAAATGCGACACCGTCCTTCATAGAGGGCCAGTCTCTTAGTGCAGAAGTAAGGGTCCCTAAAGCACCAACAATGTGACCAAATGCTTTTGATGAGACTCGCTGGTTGTTAGTCCTAACAGACCTGCTTTTGTTTGTGTCGCCTTTAGGTTTGGTTTGCGTGGCTGGTGCTGAATATGGAGGGAACGTTTGAGGAAGATTCTCAGCTGAGACGTTGTATGGAGAACGAGCTACTTTCAGACTCTAACATGACACCAGATCAAGCCTTAAAGGTAGAGAAAAAAACACTTTCATCATCAAGTATTGAGTATATTTACTGGGATAAAAATGATTTACTCCCAATCTTTTATTCAATATCTCAGCATTACTTTAGAGTGAGGAATTACAACTTATTTCACAATAACATTTTGAGATGACACATGGAAGATTCAGTTTATTGTTGCACTTTGTGAGGTTTCAGTCAATATTAATAACGACTGTTTGCAATAGTCTGTGTAAAGGCTGGTGTTACAGAGAGATTGATAAAAGGTGTCTGTGGTTCTGAGTCAGAAGGTGCAGCAGAGGCTGAAATTGCCGGTAGCCCCATCTCTGCAGCGACTGCAGGTGTATCGCTGGGCAAGTCAGGCCATAGCCACACCACCCGACCACCCCCTCCTTCCCCTCATTTGGCAGAAGTTCCTGCAGCTTTACCTTAGACAGCCTGGACCAGAGTACGGGTAAGATGCACAGTCATCACTGTGCCTAGCCAGAGAAAACAGAAAAAAAGCCAAAATACTAATTTTTCAAACATTACTCTGTTTTGCCCAAAAGACTTGCGGCAGCAGGGTGCATCGGCCGAAGGTTTTTCCAAACCTCTTCTCAGACTGCTTTACTTAAGGACCTCAGGCAGAGAATACAAGAGGTGTCCGACTTCCACCACGCTGCCAGCCAGGCTCTCAGGGTGCCCCCTCTGCACACACCCACATCAGACACCCAGGGTGATGAGAGTCCCGACAACTCCAGACCACCTTACCTCACCTCTCCTCAGCTGCACACAGAGATGGTCAGGTAGGTCATTGGTACCACAGATGTCCATAGAAAGTCACTACTTTTTGTTATTGAAAAGTTTAATTGCATTTTTTTGTAAAATGTAATGTGTACAGAGCACGTTAAAGAAAGTCAGTACAAAAGTGACACAAACATGCAAAATTGTAAAAAGGACGATCATTTAAACTCAAAGATGCAAAGCAGGTGTAAAAATGAGAAAATATAACAAGAGACTTCACAAGGTCTTAGCGAATAGATAAAACTGGATGGATGAAAGAATAAACAATTCAGGTTGCACAGGTGTTAGAATAAGTCGCAGTCTTGATGTTTCTTTGAGATGAGACTTGAAGGTGAAGTTTTCTGCCGCTGGCTTGTCTGCAGGTTGTTTGGTGTGTTTGCTTTGTGGCTGGATGATGAGACTCTACAGAGGCAGGAAGTCTATCTTCCTTCTCTTCCTCCAGAATATGAAGCTCACAGATTGGCACAGGTCATGCAGCAGCAGAAGGTCAACATATCTTGATGTTTTTTATTTGTGTGTGTGTTTGAAATAAGAACATTGTGGACATGTGAGTGGAATATTATAACAAATGCATTGTGACATATTCTATGTCCTTAAATATTCTGCTGCAGGAACTATGGCTGGAGTATGTAGACCAGGAACGTCTGCGGTATGATGAAATGGAGGTTTTGTCTCTGTGGGAAAAGGTGCAGAGTGAGCCAACATTCCTGCTGACCCAGAGCATGGATTTCACTGACAACACCAGTCTGAACAATGGTAGAGAGAATAAGTAATGTCTTTAGTATCTGAATAATAACCAGATGTACATACTGATTTGATTTAAGAAATGTATGAATAGAATGGTGCATATTTTGCTGAGGAGGCTCAGTTCCTATCTTGCTGATATACGTTGGGTCCCTCCGGTTTCGACTATGCTGACTCAGAAGATAAAAAATAGGATATATAAAATACACTAACAGAATTGTAATACATTTGCAATTGTGAAAATAGTTCAGACTAAAATCTGCTGTTTGTGTTAGTTTTTTGTTTTTTAGCAATGTTCTGTTTTAGACAGCAGATATTGTACTTTTTCCTGAAAAGAAAACTCAGACAAAGCAAAGTTGTCGGGTTTAAATATGATTATGAGCCTACACAGTAAATGGGAACAAAATAACTTCTATATAATTTTGCATGTTCATCCAATTACTCACAAACTGATTAATTGTTTAGAGCACATTTGTAATCTGTATAATGTTGCTTATTAATTTTGTATTTATTTATGGTCAGCACGAGAACGAATCCTGTCCAACCTCCAGAAACATCCAATTCCTCATCCACCTCCTGAGCTACAGGAGCTGAAGGTTCCAGTGGCTGAGGTCCCCTCCGCCTGTCTCACAGATGCTAAAGCTGCAGCTCAACTGCTACAGCAGGATCTCAGCATTTTGCAAGAGCAGGCCAGGTAGATGAAGCAGAATACACCTGCTCCTATACACTTTATAAGAACTGCAGAGGCCCAGTATGCATAATTACAATTCTTCTGATCTCTGTGCACATGTCAGGATTGCAGTTGCACGTGAAGCCCAGCAGGTGGCAATGGAGCAGGAGCTGCTGGAGAGCCTTCCTTTGCTGTTTAAGAATCGACCGGAGCAAGTCAGCATGGCCCTGGAGTGTAAAGGAAAGGGAGGGCAGCCGTGTCAGGGGCCCGCCAACATCACAGTCACAGTACGATGACCCACACAGCATGTGAGCCCCATTTTAGAGTACCGTTTTGGCATGGTTTGTTAATCAGTCTTTGTGTTTGCGTTTTGTGTATCTACATAGTGTGAGCGCGTCCAGAGGCAGGACTCAGTGCACAACCAGATAACGTCTCTGCGCAGGGACCTGAAGAAGCTTCAGACTGATTCTATGGCTCCTCCACCTCAAAGCCTGGCGGAGGCTGCTGTCCACACTGAGAACTTTATCACGTTAGTCCTTACACACGTTACCATTCCAACACAGAAGAGCCACTATGCATATCACAAATAGACTATCTCTGAATTAGACAGTGTTGTTTTAACTCTTGCCTCGTTTTTGTATTTGCAGGGCTCTTGTAAATCTGTACAAAGCTCAGAAATCTCTGGGGGTGCAGCAAGTTGGAGTGTCCGTTTTTTACCAGGTGGTGTCTTTTGTGTGCGAGGACACACTGCGACATCCCCCTACGCGGCAGTATCTCTCATCATGTGTGGAGATTCTGGGACAGGTGTGCACACTCCTCCCAAAGAGACAAACTCACACACACAGAACAGAAATGTATTTTAGGCACAAATTCAAATCCAATTTTCTAAGCGCTTCTACGGACCTTGAACAAAGTCGATTGCCCAAGAATGTAAAGTACATTCATATTAATGCCATGATAACCTCAGATTGACATTATTTTTAAAAAACCTAACCCTAACGCATCAAAACTCTGATAGACAGGGGGGGAAAGTGAGAAATTCTGCGCATAAACCATGATGGATTTAGAAAAAACAGTGTTTGTTTGTAGGTGTTTATTCAGGGAAATGCAGAGGAGTGTGGTCGTGTCCTGAAGACCATCCTGGAGCAGAGGCGACTTTGTCCTCTGGTCTCCCCCTTCTTCACGCCCAACGCAGCACCCGATCAGCTCGTCTTCCTTTACCAGGACGTGGTGACATCCCTACACCTTGACAGCGCTGATGTCATTTTCATGCTGCTCACCAAAGTTAGTCAGATGGAAATGCGTTGAAGTAGCCCGAGGATTTAGACCCCAGAGCCTCAGTTACAGCAGCTGTCTTTTACTGTCTTCCCTTCCAGTTCGATTTGTCTCTGTGGCTGAATGAGGCCCATCCGGTCTTTTCAGAGAGAACTCGCTTGCTAGAGTTGGTACATGGCGCCCTCTGCGTCTGTGGCCGAGATCCTGAGCCTGAACTTCTCACACCTTTCCACCTTTTCACAAAGCACTGGACCATGCTTGTAAGGAACCATTTCCCAGACCATTACAGCGACTGCCTACGTCTGCTCATGAACAGTAAGTTAGCCTGCCATTAGTCATTCACTCAAATCAGGAAAGGCTGTTTCTGTATTTCTTTGTATTTTTTACAGCAGACTGATGTTGTCAGACTCATATATAACCCACTGTATAAATTTAATTGTTGAAGAATCTTTGTTTCTTGGATTTACAGGTTGTGTGTTTTGAATCATGAAAACAATCATGAAAGCTGGTTATTTTGTTAAGATAGGCCTAATTTTATGGTCCCAAGAAATGTACTTTGCAAAGCAAGATCTTTTATGTCCTTTAGGTCTTCTTGTTCATCATTAATAGATAACATATTCATTCCTCTGACAGAAAGATTTAAGGAAATAATTAACAAGATCAAATTCAAGGGAAACTCTCATTCTCCATCACTACTTTGCCTCTTCCTCTTTTGATAAAAGAGGTTCTGCCTGTATGCTGCTTTGATTAAAAAAAGAATTCTTCAGAATGACTTGATAGGCGGCTTCTTCAGCAAAGTCCTTCTTTTACTCTTGGCAGGTTCATCAAATCAGCTACTGAATCCAGAGTGCTGGAAAGTGACCCTGCGAGTGCTCGGCTGCCTACCTCCATCTCGCAGCTCCAAGAGCAAAGCTGAACAATCCATCAGCTCAGCAGCCGGACCCCCAGCCTCTTCTCACAGAGCCCCCATAAGCCTCTCTCCACAGCAGGTAGCTGTCAGTGATGCTCATGGGGAAAACCTGCCCCTCTGAGAACTGTTGTGCTGTCTATCTTACGCTGATTCACTTTTAAATCAGCACTGTTGTCTTATGTTGCAGGTGGATGAAACAATTGACTGGCTGAGTGACTTCTTCTTGAAGAGTCGTCTCAGTAAGCCAGACCTCCGCAGTTTTGGCCTCTACTCTGCTTGGACTCCATACATCGATCACGTTGTTTCTTTCTGGGAACATTTGATTGGTTGCCTAATCAATGCACAGTTCAACGGTTGCGCAAGAGAGCCAGTTGGCAGCAGCAAAATAATGAAAGGTAACCATTGACTGGCAGAGTTTGTAAGAGTTTAACCTTTGGTTTCCTGTAAACCCTTTGTTATTTGTTATTGTTGAGGGAAATGTGTCTTTTCCTCTCGCAGCTCTGCAGAACTTACACGGCAAACTATTGAAGCTATTTAAGCCATGGATCTTTCCTCTGGATACAAATGAAGGGGGGTGAGTGTGGCGCTACCTGTCCCCAAACAACAGACCCTTGAGAAGGCAGCACATTATAGAAGGACAACCTACAATTTCTTTTGATTTTTTTTTCTTTTTTTATAAATACAGACTTAAAGGAATAAAGTATTTCTGTTAACTTAATTGATCCGATTTCTAAAGTGCATTATATATCACACCGCAGGGCTCGTATAGAAAAATCTTACAGTGAAAAGATGTAAGCAATCAAATATGACATGTGAACATCTGTCTTTTTGTGTCTCGGCAACAGCAAGTGCTACCCATGGCTGGAGACAGACGCCAGTGCTGCGGGACGTCTCGTTGGTCTTTACACTCAGCTTACTGACACTCTACATCACAAATTCAGAGGTAAGTTGTCAACCCTCTTTATACTAAACAACACCTCCAGAGAGAATATGCACTTGTAACTCCACTTGTCCCTGTCGCAGACCGTCTGCTGCCTGGTCAGAGGGGTGCTCTCTGGCTGTGTATGATGCAATACTGCGAAAGCTGCACCTCTCCCCGCACACCCGAGTACCTGCTGTACCTGTACCACACACATCTGCACAGCCTCCCCTGGAGACATCTACACCCAGACACTCAGGTCATGGAGCAGCTCTTCAATGTAAGATACTCCGCTTTGTAGCTCGCTCTGCTCTGGACACGCAAGGCTCAGGGGAGCTTGTTAATCTGAGACCTTTTTCCAAGCTTTCATTTTAAAGCAAGGTTTTCCATAATGATCATCTTAGTCTCAACAAACTGGAAGAAAGTCTTCTTTCAAGACGGATAAAAATTAATACATTCTATCATGTAGAATCAGAACAAGTTGAAGCACCTGAGGATGATCAGGCTGCACCCTCTGCTGTAAATCTACCAGTAGTTGTACTTCAGATGGAGTCAAAATATTGAGGAGAGTCTATTGACACCAAAGATGTTAGTTTTTTTGTTTTGACATTGATTTTTATTTGACTTATTTTCCTCCAGGTAGAGAGAGGGAGTCCCAAGAGCTGCTTTCTGTTTATGGGAGAACTGTTGTGTGACGTTAACTGGGTTAGCGTCCTGAGTGACCACTTACAGACACCCCCCAGCTCTGCCACCTATCCAGCTCTACCAGACAGATGTTCACAGAAGGAGGTGCACGCCATGCTGGTCTATCTGCTGTACATGCTTGTTTTTTTGGCAAAGGAGGAGCAGCTTCTGAGTAAACAGGTGAGCCCTGTCTTCCAGAGTCACGTCAGGGTCAGAGTTCTGGTCGCTTCATTTATTCATTTCTTGCCCCCTCAGGACTCCCCTCTGCTCAGTCTGCTGGTTCAGTCCACCTCCCTGGCCTGGCACCAACTGGACCTGTCTTCATACCAGGGCATTCTGGGATATGTCAGCACCCATTACCCCCCCTCTCTGCTGCTCAGCGCTGATTCGGCCCCTCAGCTGCTGTTGAAATCCCTCCGTGGTGCGGCGGGACTGCAGCCCCGCCCCAGTGAGGCTCCACACCAGGTGCCACGCTGCTCTGCCGATGGTTTTTCACATTAGAATGTCTCTGCTGCCTTGCTGGATAATTTACATAACAAATGTGACCATGTGACAGTTGTTTAAAAATCACATCAGGTGGTAAAACGTTGTAAAACATAGTATTTGATTCATTTCTGCATTTCTGGCACCCCGGCAGCCTCACCCTGTGTGAAAGCAGAAGACTTGGAATATCCATTCTAAATTCTTATATTCTCTGAATTTTTGCCAGGCTTTTATCACTTTGTAAAATCATGTTCACACTTAAATATCTGTGTTTTTAGTTGTACTCTGTAACCTTAATTCTTCTTTGGAGAAATCAGTTTTGTAAGGCACAGCTTTATAAGTCAGGTATAAATGATTAAATGATATTATTTAAGGTGAATACATGACCATTTTGCATGTATTTATGATTTTATCTTCATTAGTACTGAGTCAAAAACTGAACTAATGTATATTAAATATGAACCTTATGTCATCCTTCCACTATCAGGAGGAGACGCTGAAGGCTGGAGCCTACGTGAGCTGGTGTGTGCAATGTCTGGTGACACTGGAACAAGGAGGTGGCATCAACCTCAGCGGCCTGGAAGCTCAGCTGGAAATGCTCCTGGAGAGCGTTGTTACTTTCAACCCACCAGGTAAACTGCGCTTGTGACCTTCCTCTTCGGCGTTTTCAGCCAAAAGTAATGGATTCATCTCTCACCTCCGTCGTCCCACCTTCTCCTTTTCCCGCTGCAGAGGTGGGTTTGGAGCAGAGGCACATGGCCTTCTGCAGTCTCTTCAGCGACACGCTGGCGTTGCTCAACGGAGTGGGCGTGTCCACCGGTGAGGCGCTGGCCGCTCATGTCATCACCTGGCTGGACAGAAAGGGGAGGGGCTTTCCGATTCTGCCCCTCCTCACCGCCTGCTCCCGCTGCCTCGCCTCTGTCCGACACATGACGCGTATTATGGAGGCATGCATCACAGCACACTTCAACCATGGTGAGCAACCCGTTTCCTACCCGTTCTGTCTAATTTAGTGCTGTTCATGAGCTTCTGCTGCCTCAAATTTGGCCTCTTTCATTTTCAGCTTACATCTTTCAGCGTGAAACATATTAGCTCTGGAAATGTCCTCTGTTTGAGCAGAGCTTCAATGTAACATTAAGGATTCTTTATCTGTTCACTTCAGCTGAGGAGGAGACTGTAGGTTGGGGTCCTGTGTTGGCATCCCTCCAGGTGCCTGAGCTCACAGTGGACGACTTCCTCTCCGAGAGCCAGTCAGGAGGGAGCTTCTTGACACTCTATGCCTTCATCTTGCAACGCCTCAACACCGAATACACAGCGGCTAATGAGAGGAGGACTTTGGGCCTCATTAATACATGGACTACACAGGTGTTCCCCAGGTTTGATCCTCTTTGTGTTTGTCAGCCTGTGTGATGGAACGGCTTTAGGTATTTCATGCGCGTTAATGCAAAGGTTTCTGCTTGTGTTTGTGCTCAGTGGTCCAGGGGATGAAGCTAAACTGTTTCTCTGGTGGCACAAAGCGCTCAGTCTCTCTGTGGAGCAGCTGCAGCCACAGGCAGGCCAGAGCGAAGTGTCGGGAGTGGTCATGGGTCTGGTGAGGTTGCAAACCAGGCTGCTCCAGCTGGGAGAAGAAAGACTGAACTCCGGGCTCCTGGGAGCTATAGGTCTTGGGAAGAGATCTCCCGTTTCTAATAGGTGTGCATTTGCGGTTTTTATTTACAAATCTAAATATTTTGTTTCTGGGCTAGAGTACAAAAGGGATTTGCCACAGTTAACAAACCAGCTGTTTATGCAATAACATTTAGGTTCAGGGTGGTGGTTCGGAGTCTGGCCGCTTTCTTGTCCATCCAAGTGCCATCAGAGACCGAGCTTCGACTCCAACCCACATCTGACTTGCAGCTCTCTGCAAAAGCACAACAAGTACATTAGAAAAGAAAACTGTAATGTTTCCAGTTTCTAGTCTACAATTATTTTCTAAGAATAACTTTTTTTCTCTTTTTGGATGCAGATGTTGGGGATGTTGGAGGCCATGCCCAGCAGCAAGCAGTATGCTGATTTAGAGGATACTGTGAATAAAGCTGTCCAGTTCATCCGTTACCCAGGACACTGTCTCAAAGATGGACCTCGGCTGCTGGCCCTGCTAATCAACTTTCTATACCCAGACCTCAGATACCTGCAGGTCATTCGTTAACTTTGATTTTAAAGGCCAAATGTCAGCAATTAGAAGGACCTTTCACTCTGCTGGCAGATACAGAGGCGGTAAACACAGGAAACAAAAACTACTGGAGTAAAACATTTTCCACTCGTGACACAGAAACTCTTGTCTCTATGGAGATTCCATCCACGAGGGCTTTGCATGACAGAGATGGACATTGTGAAAAATATGGATCCTGAAATCAAATCAATCACATGATCTAATCTCTCTCTTTTAGCACTTTATTTTCTTCTTGTTCGTTTAGGCCTTGTTGCTTTTAAATACGTTGCCTGTTGGTTTTCAGCTCCACATATCCTAGTCATGATTAGAAAGATGGTTATTATATTTATTGAAGCAGAATTCATGAATCAGAACTCATCACTTCAGGTCTGAGTTTGCCACCTGCATGTGGAATCTAACAGGAAAAAGATGAAGGGTTCACAGACTATTTGAAAGAAGCTGAAGGACAGATCTAATAGTAGTATCTTCTTACAATGAGGTGGGCAGCATACCAGGAAAACCGGTAGACAGTGTTAATTAAGTAATATAATTATCTCGCCAGCATAAAGCTAGAGTCTGAAATATCTCCATTCTTGGTACTGTGCACATACACAACAACACAGCAAATGACTGAGTGAAGTGATCTTGTTTGGTTAGAGAGCATTTGAAATTATCGTTTATATTAATCCAAAAATGCTGTTCTTGTGTCTGCCAAAGATGTTATTTTCATCTGCTCCATTACTTTCTTAAACCACATACACCACAGGCTCTAGCTGACTCATTTGATTCTGTTGTGTCCATGAAGTGCAGTGTGGGAAAGCGCACACACACACTATGATACACCAGGTACACAGTGTGCCACACCATTTGCTTTCCTTATAAAGTGCTATGTGCAGGCTAAGTCAGATGTCTAATGTTGCTGGAATTTCTCAGAGAGGGAGGCGTGATGCTGTTGCAGCTTGTGTAAAAGAGGACTTTTATGAACTTGTTTAAGGATAAATGCAGATTTTAGCCTGGATGCACCACACATCCTAGGCAGTTTTCATATTTGTTTCCTGTTCAACACTTCTGTTGCTTTGTGCCATCTTAGTAATAACGGAGCTGCACTTCAGCAGCCCTGGAGCTTGCCTTATTGCTGGTGTTGCGTAAGAGCCGTAAACGTCAAAAGCTTTTCTTTTTTCTTTATTTTTTTTTAAACAAACAACTGGTCTGGAATGGCTCTTTATGGCTGGTGCAGGAGAGGAGGTACAGAGCAAAGTAAATAAAGTAGACTGAAAGTTTCCCCTCTGGTCTTTTATCGGTTTATTGCAATGTTGTGAGAACTGTTTACATGCAGCCCCTGTGACTGATCTTCGCTCCCAGGACAAGTCAGCTGGAGACACACGAGTGTTAGATTGATTTGGTTGAATGGAGCTTGTTAGGACATCAATGACACGATGCGCTTCAGCCTCAACAACAGAACTAACTGGTGTTACAATCGGATTTGGGGGTTAATGTGACATTGCTGTTCGAGAAAGGTGTACTGACAATCATTATTTTGGATTAACATTGATTTGCATCGACACCCTGCTGTTGCAAAACAAGAAACACGTGATAAGATGAGATAAGATGCTTTCTCAGAAGCGCTTGGGAGGGGGTTCTCAAAATCCAATTATGTGCTTTTGTCTGCATTTTTATATTCCGCTGCCTCATTTGACACCAACACGTCTGCCAGGGAGAAACCTCTCCTCTGGCAACGGTGGTCTCTATGGTTACAGGATGGATGAGAGAAAGGAGGTGCAAAGGGTGGTGTGATCTGAAGCTGTGAGACAGGGGTAGTGGGACATGCTTACAGACATTAATCCCTGCCTCCTCTTCGCTCTTAAAAACGGCTTTAGTCTTTTCCTCGAGCAGCTGCCTCTTGCTGATCAATCAACCTTCCTTCGTCTGTCGGTTCGGCTAGAAACCCTCCCAAGTGTTCTGTGTCCATGAAAGAGTTTGCTCTCAGATATTAACTTCACAGGCAGAAGCATCCCGTGGTGCACGCTGTGTACATATGCGTGTGCGCAGAGTATCGGCTGCAGACTGTACTCCTGGCAGGCAAATGGCTGTCTGACAGATCCCTGTGTCACCATGGAAACCCAGCATCAAGTCAGGAATAGTTGTTCCAGGACCGTTTCAATGCACGCTCGGCATCAAAGTGGCACGTGGACGACCAGTCATCGCGGGCGATCGGGACGCAGACAGAAACTGCAGAGGTGTGATCACATTGTCTGGAGGATGACCGGTTATGCAAGATTCCCTGCCGGTGACGAGTTCAGATACGTGACTGCAGCGTTTGTGCGTTGGTAAAGCACAGACCGGGCACCACAGAGCTCATCAGTCACTGCGTCTCAGCGTGTTTTAGTGTCCCTCCCGGGCCGAGCTGAGGGTCCTGCGTGCATTAAGGTCCAGCTGCTTTTCTACGACAGCTGCATTGGTCAAAAGCCCCTCCTGTATGCCAAAACACAGACCCTCACGCTGGACATGGAGGAATGTCTCTTAACATTCCTGGTCCGGCCTCGGCTAAACGATGCAGCGACTCCTCCACGCACTTGCATTGTTGATGCTGAATGACAACAACTGTGCGTGGTATGTCTGTGTGTGTCAGACGACTCCGCCATCAAGACACCCACTTTTCTCACACCTCCCTGCCAGTCCGATGACTCAAACTTGAAAGTCTGAATTTCTCTCGCTCATTCTCTTTCTTGCACTGACCATGAGCATAACTGCTTCACCCTGCGGGGTGTAGCTTCCTTAGCACTTAACAGTAAAAGTCATCTTCAGTGACTCAAATCTGGTGGCTATGTTTTTGTGAAACTCCGGAGGGTGCTTGTTTATCTGTTCTAGACCCAGAAGAGTGATGAAGTAAAGGAGGAATGATTGCACTTTAACAAAGAGTGTGTACAAGGTTGGACAAAGAGCCAATTCTCCATAGAGGAAACCAAAAAAGGAATATCTAAATGCTCTCAAAAATGACTTTGTTAGGGTACATGTTGTGTGCTTGTATTGGATCATTTCTAGTTTGATGACTTAGGATTCAGGGCCAAGAATGTAAGGCGGCTTTATGGACAGTGTTAGACTGGGGTGTCGTTTTTATCTAAAATTAGAGGCAGAGTAAGGCTGAATTGACAGCTGTCAAAGAATTCAGGAGGCCAATAGATCTGTTTGTTCTCAATGTACTCACATTGTTTCTGTAAGCACACACTAAGATTATTCTGTTAGGAACATCCATTTAAAGTGTAAGTACAGAGAAATTATGTAAGAATGATCACATATGTGTTCTTAAGGTGGCAAAAATAGTTGTACTTGATCCTGGGAAATGTTAACCAGGATTTTTAGATAATGACATTACAACAGAGAAGATATAGACAAGAATGGAACAGCATCCCCTCACTATGGTCCAGCTGCTATACCCACTTGACAGATGTTCATAGACTGTCGATTAAAAAAATCTGAAATCTAATAGAGGTAAATAAAAAAGTGTATTTAGTAAAGTGCAGCTAAGTAAACAATTATTTTCTGCCACAAATTGTTGCTGAGAAACTCTTTAACAGCATACATAAGGACTGCAGGGCTAAGAGTGAGTGTTGTTCTCTGCCTGTTAACATGTGATGTACATTTAATAAAGTTTTGTTTTATTTTGAGTGTGCATGCTGTATTTATTGAATATTCCTAAGGTGATATGGTCTCAGCAAAGGATGCATTGGCACATTGATGTCCCTCTGGCATGTTTGAGCCAATGTTTGGGGGTTATTTTGGTTGAACCACCTAAAGTTGGGCTTTTTTGGGGGGGGGGGGGGTTCATGAGGAGGTCACCTAAGGCATCCCAGGTTATTGTTGGCCACAAATTTGTGGTGAGGTCCACGACTCAAGGCTTTAAACCAAGGTCAGTGTTAAAGAGCGGGAAGTGTGGAGGGTGGGGGGGTGTTTTAAGTGTCAGAGGTAGGTAAACGTGGTGGCCTGGTGCTGGATTTATCAGACATGATTCTGTGCTGTGTCTTTACAAAGATAGAAGCCGGGGTGTGTGGAGTCACCATATGACTCAGCGGTGTTTAAACAGACCCGATCCAGGCACGACTGTGTGATAACGCGCATGAACACACAACATCCACACCTCGTTTTCTCAAATCAGGCGTTTAATCCGCCGAACACGCGTCTGAGCCCCCCCACCCTAACCCTAACCCCCCCACTCCTGGAGCGTCTGACCCGGACTGGACGGTGCAATGTGCAGGACAATGCCCCTGAAGCAAAAAGCCGTTCGGCTGCACTTGATCCTGAAGGTGTGATTTGGAGCAGATCTTGAACAAAGAGCTCTGCTGGCTGCTGGCTGGCTGGGGTTTGGGGGGTGGGGGGGGGGCTGAGTCTGTGCTGGGTCTGCTCAGAAAGCCGTTTCCAGGCGCAGGTCCAGGAGCAGCCCGGCTCGGTAAGGAAACGTTTCATGCAAATTTCCTGAGAGAAAGAATTCCTTTTAAAGTAGTTGTACATCTTCAAGTTTGGAGAACGAGCCGAGTGAGATCGATCACTGTTCCTGGGAATAATAATTGGTGCTCACGTGCTCCAGTCAGCTGAGGTCATAATATGTTTTTTTTTTGTGTGTGTATTCTGTCGTTATTGACCGTATAGGTTCTCTCTCACACAATGAACACTTGTGGGGATATAGGTTTAGATTTGGGACTGAGGGAGGCTGCGTGTGTCCGAGGTTTTCCAGTCAAACGTCAGACGGGGTCCGGTGTTTGATCAGCGGTTATTTCAGAGCCAGTGATCCTCCCGGAGTCCTGACGTCAATTTATAAGGAGCCAGCAGAGCCGGGGAGGCAGGCAGACAGCGGGGCCGAGGGGAAGGAAGACACAGAAAAGGCAGGAGGGAGAAAGAAAAGCGGACCATGTTGATCTGAATCCTCCTTCGTTATTGAGCTTTCCGGTAGGACTCTCTCCCTCTTTCAATCCCTCTTTTCCACTTCTTATCCCGTCCCCTCGTTTGCTTATCATCGAGCCTCTCTGTGCATGGCATGTATCCGTCGAGAAAACCAGCTGGTTGGTGTTAATGGCTGGGTAGAAATTTGCAGGCTGAAGGGTTTATTTTTGGCTGTACAGGGAGCTGGGTCTCTTTGTACCAACAGCAGCTTTATTACAGTGTTATAGACGGTGCCGGGCAAACCTTTCCCCATCACTGAGCTTTGCTGGTCAAACTGGAGATCACTGAGTCCTGTCCAAAGGCACCTGAGAGCCACAGTTAAAGGATCTGTCTGTGCCAAGGAAAGACATTTATCAGTGTAATTCACAATCATTCAAAGCTGTTTCTCTTAGTGTGGATTGCAAAAAAAAACATTTAAAGATGAACGTGTTGAAGATCAGAGAAAAGCTAGGTTTGAAAAGGAGAAAGCAGATGTAGGGAAATCCTTTACTCTCCTACTCAGGCTACCTCAGCAGTGCAACCACATCCCCATAGCAACAGTTAGTAAAGCCGGCACTCGGTGTTCCAAACGTATCACTAAATAGACTTCGCAGTAAAACCCCAAAGGCGAGCTCTTCGTTATACATGACACCTTTGCCAGGTCATATATATAGGCTCTTCGTCTGGACGGTGTCTGTCTCAGAGGACTATTACAGGAGTCTTACTTGTATCCCACCAGTGACGCGCCGCAGCCCGAGCTGAAGAGAGGGGGGACCCGAGTCCTAAGACAGCAGGAATGGGTAAGGACTACTACAAGATCTTGGGAATCCCCAAGGGTTCCAACGAGGAGGAGATCAAGAAGGCGTACCGGCGCATGGCCCTCCGCTTCCACCCCGACAAGAACAAGGATGCCAACGCGGAGGAGAAGTTCAAAGAGATCGCAGAGGCCTACGAGGTTCTCAGTGACCCCAAGAAGAGAGTCGTCTATGATCAGCTGGGAGAAGAAGGTGAGTTTCAGCCTGTCTGGTTAATTAAGGGAATGTTTTCAGAGGGCTGGCCCAGGGATCTCTGTCAGAGAGCAGGCGTAATGATGGATTAAGCTGCTGCTGAGAAAGCTCAGGAACAGATCTAATATCACAGAGGGCAACCCTGGTGGCTCTCTGCCACCAAAGTAATATCCCTGCCTCTTCTATGTGTATGTGTTTGTGTCCAGAACTGTGTGGGTGTTTTAGATATTTCCTCTAATACCCGAGTCTACGTCAGCTGCGTGCGCGGTAGTGTGTCTGACTAGGTGTGCGTTATGTGTTGAGCCACGAATAGCAGCAACTGCTTTAGTTTGCATTTGGGGGTGTTTTCTGCGTGTGTGTCTCAGTGTGAGTTTGTTGGATGGAGTGACCTGGTATTCGTGAGCTCCTCCACAATCAGAGGCGTTGGGATATCGGTGATGCTGTGGGAGTTTTCCCGCCCACGTGGCCTTCACTCATCTCTCTGCTGCTAGCCAAACGGTGTTTTCCGGACAGGGTCCTGCGTCTGGTCTACCAGTTTGTGCCGCCCTGTGTCTGAAACAGGTGGGTGTGCGACCGTGCTCACGTGCTCTCTTCTCTCCTTTCTCTTGTAGGCCTGAAGACAGGAGGTAGTAGCTCCTCAGGCGCTCCCGGCAGCTCAACGTATCACTACACTTTCCACGGAGACCCCCATGCCACCTTCGCTTCCTTCTTTGGCGGCTCCAACCCCTTCGACATGTTTTTTGGCTCCAACCGCAGCCACAGCCGCTCCAACGGTTTCTCCTTCCACAACGACCACAGCAACGACCCGGAGCAGGACGTGGAAATGGACGAGGAGGACCCCTTTGCCCATTTCGGGAGACAGTTTGGCTTTCCGGGAGGGATGAATAACGGCTTCCCCGGGGAGGGCCGCCGGAGGAGAGGGGGCCCGTCGGAGCGCTTGGGGGCCAGCCGAAAGCACCAGGACCCCCCGGTGGTCCATGAGCTCAGGGTCTCGCTGGAGGAGATCTTCCACGGCTGCACCAAGCGCATGAAGATCACCCGCCGGAGGCTGAACCCAGACGGCCGCAGCATGAGGACGGAGGACAAGATTCTCAACATCGTCATCAAGAAGGGCTGGAAAGAGGGCACCAAGATCACTTTTCCAAAAGAGGGAGACGAGACCCCCGAGAACATTCCCGCCGACATAGCCTTTGTGCTTAAAGACAAAGGACATGCCCACTTCAAGAGAGATGGTTCCAATATCATTTATAACTGCAAGATCAGCCTGAAAGAGGTGCGCATCTCTCTTTTGATCCAAACTTTGTTTGCTCTCTGTCGCTGTGATTGTAATTGCTAGAATTGCTGCTTTTGGGGTTGGGTGTTAGACTCCCAGAGGAGCTGGCAGGCAGAAAGTTGATGCATTAATTAGCATGAGTTTTTGGAAAACATATCCCAGAATGGCTCATTTTGTATTTCTTTGATTCACATCGTTCTCAAATTCTCAAAGGTACGGCTATAGCTTGAGGGTACGATCATGCAGTGCTGGGCTGTTGAGGGTGGGCATTCATGTGGCTGCTGCTGGAAGGCAGGATCAGTGGAAGCACAGTCCTCTCTGCCACGCTGGTGTGAGAGAGGCAGCAGGAATGTGGTGTCCTCGTGTGACAGACACACAACTATCATCCATACTTGTTTGGTGCTGCAGTATGAAATCATATACATAAACACTCGATCCAGCACAAAGCATCAAGCTCTACACAGCCATAAACACGCTTACAAGATCACACATCTGCACCTTCAGGCATATTGGCAAACACTGTCAGTCCAAGATAGATTGTACTGTAACAGTGGTGACAATCCAGGCGGCTATTATTGTGATTGTCATGATATTTAATTAGCTGCTCTGACAGTACGAGGGCAATGGGTGCAGAGCCGCTTTCGGGTTTCCAACAACATTGCCAATCGCTGGCTAGAAAGCTTTAGGTTGGTCAAAGTGTTAGAAAAGTAAGCGGAGATGTTTCAAATGGTTTCGAACTTGCACAAACTTGCTCAAAAGGCTTGTGTGGAAAAGCTGTGCGGACTCTGGCGAAAGCACCAGAGATTAAATGCACCGGGAAACTAACTTCCCCGTGCACACAAACGCTTTGGAGAAAAGAGTCGTTTAGAGTATGTGGAGTCACACTAAGCAGGACATTGTACCTAACCGAACCTGCACAGCGATTAAGTTGGAACTGCACAAGTCCCACAGCTAAAACCCTCTGCTCTAACCTCAGACAGATAAGAGAGTTTAAGTCTGATGCAGCTGAAGACGGAACGGGGGGAGAGAGGGAGAGATGTGTCCAGGGTGGAGTGGATATCTGGGGAGTGTTCGGGAAGTGGGTCAGATGATTTTGTTTCCAAAGCAAATAGGATCTCGTGTTGCGCTGCCTCTTTCTGCTTTGCTTTCTCTGATGCTGTGATGCTAAACGCTGCCATAAAAACCTGTCACATTAGACACACCACCACATACTGGAGAGTATGGCATGCGTACCAACAACAAGAACCTTCCCAAGAGAGTCAGTCTGTCCGTTAGCAAAAACTTCAGCTAAAACAAAGACTATTTTGTTATATTTTCACTGTGGGATGTTTCCCAAGAGATGCGTTGGCTCAGTTGTTTTCTGCCTGAATTGGGTTCCAGTGAGCACTTAGTAAAGCCAGAACTGTTTGGCCGTGTTAAAAAACTTCTGGATGACTTTTCTCAGTGTCTCAGCTCATCCGCAAAACCGCATCCAAAGACATGGATGCGGCCATAAAGGCGAATCTCGCACCTTAAAGGCAAAAACGCCTTTATGCAGAGGTTCAAGTCCCAGGATCTTTGAATTTTGGGGTAACTTTTGCCTTGAAAAAAACAATTGAAAACTTTTAGGTTAAGCCAGACAGCAGTTACAGTCACCCGTTAAGATACAGACAGGAATAAAGTGTAGATCTGGAGAAGTTTCTTGCAAATATAGCAAAAAGCAATAGTTTGTTTGCAGCAGTCTCTATGGTGTTGGTGTCTGAGCTGAGGCTTATGCAATCATGGGCTCTCCGATCAGCTGGCAGTGTGTGTCCAGTGTCATGGCAACCCGTCTCAGTGTGTGAGACTTGGTTTAGTCAATGGAACTGTTCATAACACGAGGATGAGCCAGTAGCCTCGAACACCGTTGCAGGCTGAGTCACATCGTCATGGATGCGGTGGGTAAAAGGACACTGATGTCACGGCCAGAAAACCCCACCTGCCCCGTGAGGCAGCTGCTCTGCTCGCCTGAAGTTTAACGATCAACATTTACGTCACAGTTTGTTTGAAAGGTCCTCCAGACCAGACGAGAAAATCCACCGACAGGCTCACAGAACCCTTTCCAAAGTGCTGGATGGGTGAGGTCTCAGAGGTTAAGCATGTGTAAACGCCGGCAAAAACTAATGAAATGAATCCCATTAGGAGCTATTTGGTTCTGGAAAAACTGATGCACCTTTATTTATCACAAACGCCGCCTCAAGTATTATGAAGCTTAAGGAATTTGATCCTAGACATGGCTAAGCTCACAGATTATCAACAAGAAGGCCGTCCGCAATATAATACGTACAAGCAAATCTTTTTTTGACTCAGTGGAGTCTTGGTATTAAACCGGTTTTCTTCTTATCCACTGGTTGCATATAAGAGGTAGTACCCCAAGAGTTACTGCCTCAAATTATTATTTACCCCCCAAAAATACTACCTCAGAGGTCCATTCTTGCATATTTTCATTTAATCACTTGGTTATTTTCTGAGTTTCTAGTTTGAATTCCTCTTTTTCTTTCACTCCCTTGACCTAAACCTCTCCATACGGTGACCATGTGGTCCTCCATAACATTTTCCATGTGTTTCCCTGAACACCTTTATATTATTTACTCACTGACATCATTCTTTGTTTGAAATAGATGGCCCAAGGCACTCAATAAGAAAAGTCAGCTTTTTTCAAGAATATTCATTTACCGAGGTGTTTGTATTGCGTGCAAATGTGGAGCCAGATTCTCCGTGGGAAAGCCACAGGCCTCTGTAGTTTAGTTTTCTCCACACCGACTGGATTCATGGGGCATTGTGATAAGGAGGCGAGTGTGTGTGAGTGTGTGTGGATCTGACAAGCCCTCCAACTATTTACGAGCTCAGCCGATTTCTGCCTCCCTTCATTAGCCTCAGATATGAGACCCTTGCTAAAATTAGTCCCCTGTGCAATGCTGACACACTTACACACACTTACACACACTTACACACGTACACACAAAGACCAGGAAACTTTTCCACTGCCAAGTCATGTTCCCCTAACGTTCCTGTTCCAGAGGCTGCTCTCCTGATCCCGCCGTGCCGTAGCCAAAGCTAAATGATTTGTCGGGGAATACGTTCTTTTTAATTTTGTCAGACATATTAACACACAGAAAAAGTCAGAAAACGCAGCAACGACTGCTCTATCATGATATACTGGAGGGAAGATAAACTCCAGCTTTACTTCATGGAAACATTAAGTCACTGAGATATTCATGGCTTTGGCATTTCATCCCCTCTAAAGATATTAACCCTTCGTGTGTCCTCTCCTCTCCAGGCGTTGTGTGGCTGCACGGTTAGTATTCCCACGCTGGAAAACCGAGTCATCTCGCTCCCCTGTCATGACATCATCAAGCCAGGAACGGTGAAGCGACTCAGAGGGGAGGGCCTGCCTTTCCCAAAGAACCCCACACAGCGCGGTGACCTCATTGTGGAGTTTTTTGTCCGTTTTCCCGACAGGATCCCCCCACAGTCCAGAGAGATTATCAGACAGCACCTCCCTCAGTCGTAGGAAGACGCGCATTCGCTCTTCCCAACGCCACACGCTCCGGACAGAACTCAGAAAATCTATCAGGATTTTTTATTTATTCACGTTTGTCTGTTGGTCCAAGCACACACACAAGCACCTGAGTGTGTGCAGCGCTCAGCACAACTGTGTCTTTTACTTCTCGGACTTTTTTAATGGATTTGTCAGTGGATTTCTAAGCCGTCCATGTCACCGATTCTGCTCATTCTGTGATAGGATCAAATATTAAGCTTTGTTTTTTAAAGGACACCCCCCCTCAGAATCTTCTCCTGCAAACGTTTTAGGATAAGATTCTTTGTTTTTACCTTGAGTGTACCAGCAGTTTTAGAGTGTTCACTTCAAATCCTGGTTTTAGCTAAACTCCCCCGTTACTGCTCTGGGCCTGATTAAGTATTCTGTTTGAAGTCCATAGACTGTTTAGTAGGATCTGTGTCACCCAAAATAAGTTGACTTGTTTAAGGCCACAGTTCAATTACAGTGCAGTCTTACACAGGATTACATTAGAATCCAATTTAGCTGCATTGGAAAATCTGAAGATGACAATCGCATATTGTAAGAGCAACGTAAGCTTCAGTGTCAACATCTGTATGTAAAATGGGTGCTTTTCCCCTCCGAGCTGCCTGGCTGCTCCGCACAGAAAAGCCTTGCTCCTTATCTGAGGGACGTATAGGTGCCTTAACCCAGTGACATACCACATATGTGAATGCGTGCACAGGGCACACTGTCATAAATCCAAACAGCCATGGTAAGTGCACAGCAGAAAAATGCCCTAAACTGTGTTAGACATTATCATCAGCACTTGGTAATTTCAGATAAACACCACCAGTGAACAGTTTAAAGATGATGCAAAATTGTACGCAAGCGAGAATGTTTTTAAGATAAGATTTGATACAAGGTAGAAGCGTTTTCTAATTTTACCTGTGCGAAGTACCAAACTATTTCAGGTTGGATTTCCCAGGAAGAATATAAGCATGGCTTTATTCTTTAAAAATCAATGTTCCTCTGTCAGACCCAGCTGTTTTGTGAACACTCTGCTTTCTCTTTCCGTACTAAGGGCCATGTCTCGGTGCTAATGTGCGCAGTGCCAAAAACCCATCACACTGGTGTCTGCTTCTGGGTTTCATAGGATCTATGTGGTTTGAAAACTGCTTCTGGCCTCTCTTAACACTCGTACCTTGAGCTTTACATATGTGCAGCTCAGAGAAAAACCCTGTTTGGGAAACAGGTTGTGTAATATTGCAGCTGTGTCTCAGCCGCAGGGGGTCTGAAACCTCAGTTCTTCCTACTGTAATTTACATCATTATAACATGTGTGTATGAGCGCCGTAGGTCATATATTAAGTTTGTATGAAAAAAACGACAACATTTGAATGCATCATGGTTGACAAATGCACTTTTTTTGTTGTACAAAGTACTGACAACACTGAGAGGGTGGGCGAGCCTCGACAGAAGTGTGTGTGTTACTGTCCGCGTTGCCTCTTCAGGCCCCAGAGGACACCGAGATGAGGCTGCTGCCCAGAGACTCACTGTTACTGCTTATCCGCATTTTACAATACTCAAATAGTATTTATTAACTTTTGAAATGGAATAAATAAGCCAACTGTGTGAAATAAGGTTTGTGTTATTTGCATTACTTACGGAGGAGCTATCAGCTACCCACTAAACATGATGTTGGTATCATTTGCTCCTCAAACTTTATTCTGAGTGTCCTTTACATGGACCTCGGTAACAAGGCTTAAAGTCGGGATTATAGTGTAACGACTGCATAAAAATGGTGAACCGGGTCATTTCTGTCACCACGTAACTGATCAAAGAAGCCTCGGGCCTTCGATTTGATACAGATGTTTTATTTGTGATTTCTCCTCTCTGTTTTCCAGATTTGAGAGAATCAGGACCATTTAACAGATCTGGGTTCCATTTCCTCCCACCTCATTAACGACTTATATTTTTGCCCACTGATTTTTATGACATTAAACAACTATTTTAAGTATATCTTTTCAGAATATGCAACAGATGAGAGAATTTCTATTTTTGTTTTTTATTCACTTCATGATAATTGTTTTTAGCACAATTAAAAGACTTTGACCTGGGAACAGTTTTGAATTAAATAAAGCCTCAACTGACTTTGATTCAATTTCCCCCTGGGTGTCGCTGGAATGTGTGTGTAACTATGAGCACAGTGACGTTTGGAGGGTTCCATTACTGTGCGTTACAGGTAAACAAACGGAGACAGACTTTGACCTCAACTTGCCAAATTTCCAAAGGACACACGGCTGGCCGTTCGCTGCTTACTGGAGCGTCCATCCCAGCGGCCGCAGGTACGAACATGAATTCACACCTTTTTTTCCTTCTTTGTTAAATGCTGACCGTGTTGGAGGATGAGAGAATTGCAGGTCGTGGGCTGCAGCTGTGTCAGGAGGCGGTCGGGTCAGGTGGTGTGTGTTAAGAGGCTCCCATCATGTGACCATGTGTGCTTCATGAACAAAAGTGTAAACCGCATGGTGAGCATAAGTGAAATCGGGGAAGCGGAGATCTGCTCCAGCAACAGTGACTGTGACTAATAACACACGGTTCTATCAGCCGCTTCTAGCAGGAAGGCTGGGTTCAAACTGGGTTTAATACCTTCACCGAAAAGTTGTGCTCATAAAGCAACTCACAACAACTGGGTCACTCACGGCCGGTTTAATGCTGCTGTGGTGGAAGGCCGCTGTTATAAGAAAAGCTCGTTGCACACGTCAACTAACAACAAACTGTGGGCACAAACGACCCCTTCTGTAGAACAGAGTTAATGAATCCCGTCGAGACATAATCAGTGACAGAGCATTAAGACTTAGTCACCATGACTGGACATCCACTGCGCCCACTTCCACAGGAGTTGACGAGTGGACACTTCTCTCTCATTGCCAGGTCCTCAGAGGTGAGACATGAGCGCTTTTGTGACTCTGTCGTCAGGGCAGAGGATGCCAGTGATCGGGCTCGGCACATGGAAGAGTGCTCCAGGACAGGTAGAGCCACCCGTCCTCCCACAGGTTCACTGGACTGAGCCGTAGCTTGTTTTCTAGATGCTGTTGATGTGTGCTGTGTTTTTTTTTCAGGTGAAGCAGGCCGTGCTGGCTGCTTTAGACTGCGGCTACAGACACATCGACTGTGCGGCGGCATATGGAAATGAACGGGAGGTTGGAGAGGCTCTGGCTGTCTGGGTCGGTCCAGGGAAGGTGAGGAACCACTTCATTAATGAGCAGTTCTCATGGTTTGATCCTGTCTCCTCTCAAAATCCATTCAGAAATGTTTTTCTCATTATGAGACGAAAGCAAGCAACCCATAATCAACGCACAATTACCTGTTTGTTTCATATCTTTGAAGCTCTGCTCTGATTGATTAACACAGTGGATGTCAGAAATGAATCAGCTGGATCTGGTGGCTGACAAAATAGTCAATAATAAAATGATCTTCAAATCAATCCATCCATTTGCTGTAGTGCTTATAGAGATAAGCAACCACACACACTTGTGGGCAGTTTATCAATAAATCTAACAGGAATGTTTTTGGAGGTGTGAGATAGCCAGAGGGCCTGGAGGATAAACCCACGCCTGCACAGGCCTCCTGTGTCCGGCAGAGCGAGTCCACTCCAGGCCCCTGGGAAACTGTGAGGCCACGGTGCTTCCCGCCACACGGCCCCTCAAGTCCACCTAGATAGTCACACTTTAATTCTTTGGCTAACAGCTGAATAGGACATGTCAGGGGAGGTTTTAGATTAACACAAGGGTAAAGGTTGGGTTCAGAGGGAAGCAGCGGTATGTGACAGCGCTGTCACAACTGGCTGGCTTCAGCTTTCCTGTCCATCCATCCATTCTCTACACAGTGGCCACACAAAGACACAAGCAACCACACACACTCGTGTTCCCCCCCATGGCCAGTTTAGAATCATCGTCAAACATAACGCAGGTTTTTGGACTATGGGAGCTTTACACAGTGTTCATCTCAGCCCCCTGGACCCCCTCCTGCTGTGAGGTGACAGCGCTAACTCCCTGTGCTCAGCTTTTGAGCCTGATCATTCAGATTTCCCTCCTGTATGGACATCTGCTGCTCTCTCCACTCCAGGCTCTGCGCCGTGAGGAGGTGTTTGTGACTTCCAAACTGTGGAACACCAAGCACGACCCCGGGGATGTCGAAGAGGCATGCAGAACCAGTCTGGCCCACCTGGGCCTCTCCTACCTGGATCTGTACCTGATGCACTGGCCCATGGCCTTTCAGTGAGTGGCCGCACACAGAGCGCTGTTATGGAGGGACTTACGGTCAGAGCCGAGGAGAGAATGACGAATCATGTTTGTTGGTGTTTCAGACGGGGTACGGAGCTGATGCCTAAACGAGAGGATGGAAGCATTTGCTACTCCAACACACACTACAGAGACACCTGGATGGCCATGGAGAGCCTCGTGGATAAAGGTCTCGTCAAAGCCATAGGACTGTCCAACTTCAATGCCAGGCAGACCGATGACATCATCAGCATTGCAAGACACAAGCCTGTGGTGAACCAGGTACATTCATCAGTCGGTCAAATCGATGCTTACAGCGAAATAGGATTATGAAATGTGTGACTTTTAATCATGTCCTGCTGCAGGTGGAATGTCACCCTTACTTGTCTCAAACAGAGATCCTGTCACACTGCCGGTCAGTGTGATCACAGTTGACTATAAATATGCTATAAATAAAGCACTTTTTTAAACTCAGTGATCATGCTCACACTTCTGAATCAGGTCTGCAGCAGTTTGTGTGACAGCCTACAGTCCTCTGGGCAGTGGAGACAGACCCTGGGCAACTTCTGATGAGCCGAGACTTCTGGAGGACCCACGACTGGGGGCCATCGCCCAGAGATACCAGAAATCCCCCGCCCAGGTGATCCTCAGGTAAACCCCCCTGACCAAACCAGAGCTCTCCCCCCTTACGCAGCCGGCTCTACTGCGAGTGGAATCTCAGCGTCTTGTACCACAGGTGGCACGTTCAGAGGGGTGTGGTGAGCATCCCCAAAAGCGTCACCCCCTCCAGGATCCAGCAGAACCTGGAGGTGTTTGACTTTTCCTTATCCCCGGAGGACATCGACCTGATCGAGTCCTTCAACCGCAACACGCGCTTCATAGTTCCAACGGTTGAGGTGAGCCAGCGGATCTGGGAATCCTCGCAAAGCCTCTCCTCTTCCTGACTGTTGAGCTTCATTTTGTTATAATAAAAAAAAAAAAACCCACTGGAGTCAGAAAAACCAGACAGGTCTCAGTAGATCTCTGATACGGTTACCCAGTGTCTTGATATGTGATATTTAATCAGTGATCTGCAAGCTTGTGTAACCTGTTTTTTTCCCCACTTTACAGAGAGAAGGCAAGAGAGTGTGGAGAGATGCAGAGCATCCCCATTTCCCCTTCAACGATCCTTACTGAGTCTACAGCAACTTTTAGACAGTCGTCACAGAGGAAAAATAAAAAATGTCATGGATTTGAAATAAACTCCAACCGATTGTATTTCTGAAAGTCTCAAACAGGATATTTTACAACCATTTATTATCTAACTTGATTGGTCAAGGTTGCTTCCAAAGGGCTACACATTTCCTATCTGTGTGTGCATGTGGAGCGCTGCCAAAATTTTACAAAAGAATGACTTCTTGAAAAAAAGAAAAACTAGAACAAACAATGTTTACTCCATTTGGTGAGATTTTATTTTGAACAACATAACCTTGACAAATTTGTATTACATTATATGCTACTGTTTATCTTAAAAAAGAAAAAAAAAAGAACTCTTCAGCAATGTTTTTCTGTCTAGCATACAAACCAGTCGATATAGCCATTCATGTTTGAGATATACTGAGAACGAGGCCACTCAAAAAAATGCCACCCCCCCGTCCCTTCACGGGAAAGAACTATTTGCATCCGTCACTCACCTTCTATTCCCATCACATGACCCCACCCACATTTAAGTCAGGGCAAACCAGGTGGCTACATGCTTTCTCCAAGGGAAAAAAAAAAAGAAAAGAAAAAAAATACAAAAAGAAAAAAGAAAAACACATGAAAGAAGCACAAAGTCCTAAAAATGTGGAATCTGGTGTGTATTTGTACAGATGTGATCCCAGAACTGACCACTGTGGGGCAGAGTACTTTTATCCATAAAGATCATCATCATTATCCTCGTTGAACACTGGACCACCGCCGGTTCCACCTGAGCCATGACTTGGACCGCTGCCACCCGCAGTACTGGAGGGAAACCTGAACAGGAAGCAAAGACAATTATTGACCTTTTCCATTACTCCATAAACAATCTGGCTCCCACCCCCCCACAGTCATGTTAAATGTCATTGTGTACCTGAAGCTGCCAAAGCCACGGCTTTGCTGCAGAGTCTGAGCAAACATCTCATATTTGCGGATATCATTGTCACTGACGGAGCGACGAGCAAATCGCATTGCCTCCTCAAAGTGGTCCTTCCTGATCTCTGGCACAGGATCGTCCTCCTCCACCTCCTGTAAAGAATCACCAACATGCTCAAGTTAGATTTATGGGCACAATGAGCGAAGGCGATCATCTGGATGGTAAGAGGGGAACGGGACAGGAAGGGTACCGACCATGGCGGAAGGATTGGTCTGCCTCTCCCGCTCTCTGCGGATCTCGTTCTCAATACTTTCTCTGATGGCCAGTTTACACGCCCGCTGGCAGATCTCTGTGAGATCAGCTCCAGAGAAGCCATTGGTCATCTTAGCCAGGAAATCCAAGTCCACATCCTTTCAAAAAAAGAAAAAAATATTTATAGGTTTCTTAGAACAACACTTTCTGTGAAAGAATTTAGCTGTTATAGAACCGTTAAGTGTGAACTTCAGATACAGCACATGTCAAGTACTAAGATGGAGAATAAAAGACACTTTGATATTTGAGAAGAATCAAATACAAGTGCATCAGTCTGAAATCCTCTGAAGAAAGAAATGGGCACCTTGCTGATGGGACTCTTGCGGAGATTGGCTTTCAGGATGCTCATCCTGCTCTTCTCGTCAGGCAGTGGGATGTAAATGAGCTGATCCAGACGGCCAGGTCTCAGGATGGCAGGGTCAATGATATCTGGTCTGTTTGTGGCTCCGATGATGAAAACATTCTTCTTGCTCGACATTCCATCCATCTCAGTCAGGATCTGGTTGATGACACGATCAGCAGCGCCACCGCCATCCCCAACGTTACCGCCACGGGCTTTGGCTATGGAGTCCAGCTCATCGAAGAAGAGAACACATGGGGCAGCCTGCCGAGCCTGAAAACGCAAAACACAAAGAGATCTTAAGAAATGATGGGAGAAAAAAACTAAACAAAAACCCTTCTTCTGCTAAATAGCCATGTATAAAACTTTAAAGCTGCTTTAGCTCCATCACATTGAGATGGGAGTCTTTTCTGTCTCAGGAACCTGAACAACGCCATTACCTTGTCAAAGATCTCTCTGACGTTGGCCTCAGATTCTCCAAACCACATGGTGAGCAGCTCAGGTCCTTTGATGGAGATGAAGTTTGCCTGGCACTCATTGGCAATGGCTTTGGCCAGCAGAGTCTTACCACAACCAGGGGGACCGTAGAAAAGCACACCCTTGGATGGGGTCATGCCAAACTTGAGGAACTTGTCTGGGTGCTCCACAGGGTACTGAAGTTGGGAAAAGAGAACGATGACGCCACAGTAAGAGACAGCAGACAAAAACATGTAGCTCAACAGCATGCCGACTGGTCGGGACAATGTAAGAATTTGTTCCAGACCATACAAGTGAGGAGCAACTCCTTCCCAGCATCACTTAAGTTTATCAAGATTGACAAAAAGATATTTCCCATTTCATAAACTTAAGTACTGGAACAGGAATTCCAGGATTTCCTGAACCTTTGTAAAGCAGAGCAACAGAAAAATGATTTGGAACTCCTCTGCTAATGCACACCTGGTTATTATATCATTCCCAAAGCCACAGCTTTGCTGCAGAGTCTGAGAAAACATATCATATTTGCAGATATCAAAGCAACCAATGCCTACCAAATGTAGTAACATAAATAAAGAGCCCTGCAAAAATTAAAAGGGTACTGAGCCTGTACCAAGTTTCCACTCATACCTGCACCAACTCCTGCAATTCCCTCTTCACATCCTCCAGGCCTCCGATATCATCCCAGGTGATGTTGGGAACCTCAACAACCGTCTCCCTCAGAGCTGATGGGTTGCTCTGGCTCAGAGCCCACTGCAATATAGCATCAATCGTGTTAGTATTGACTCAGAATGCGTTGCCAGCTATCAGATACCAGTCACCCTCGCTGGCTTTCAGAGGATCAGGTTTCAGGTTTACCTTGAAGTCATCCATGGTAACGGCAAGAGAGTTCATGACTTCAGCATCAATTGTCTCATCCTCCAGGTCTATCAGGTCCATCTTCTTCCTAATGGCCTGGAGAGCAGCCTCAGAGCAGAGGGCAGCCAGATCGGCCCCCACGTGTCCATGGGTCTCATTGGCTACCTAAAATTAAAGGATAAAAATGTTAAAAGTCCAAAACCGTTTATGCAAAGCATTTCAGCTGAGTGATGAGATGAGAGTTGAAAGAGATGTGAAAGGTCCAACAGTCAAAATCAGTCAATCAAAAGGCATTTGACTTATATAGCTGCAGGTCTCAACCTTTGACTGAGGGAAGAAATGTAGACGCACACACCTGTTCCAGATCAACATCTTCAGCCAGTTTCATGTTCTTGGTGTGAATCTGGAGGATTTCCAGCCTGCCAGTTGCATCGGGGATGCCGATATCAACTTCCCTATCAAAGCGGCCTGGAAGAGGGAAAATCAAACACAGGTTCATCCGTTTCAGTGAGGTATGCAAAGTTTTTTTTTTTTGTTATTAAAGTAATACTGTTCATCGGTATCTGAATTTTAGGAGTAGACTATATACAATCCCTGAGAGATTTTTGTTACTCAATGAATCTATGAAAACAAAACATGTTTTAAAAAGATAGTTTACCAAATCTCCTGAGGGCTGGATCAATGCTGTTGGGTCTATTGGTGGCGGCCATGACGATGACATGAGCTCTCTGTTTCAGGCCATCCATGAGTGTCAGCAGCTGAGAGACTATGCGCCTCTCCACCTCTCCATGGGTCTGTGGAAAGAAAAAATAATGAAAAACACATGTAGACCCACACTTCAGTTTTGTCTGTGCAATCAGACTGCAAGCTTCTCCGAGGGATAACAGAGTTAAAAGAAAAAAATATATGCACAAAAGCCTGCATCTTTCCATCTTTTGTGGCAACATTCTTAAAAGATTAACAAAACAAACAAACAAACACCAGCTGATAGTCACCGTGCTCTCTTTACACTGCCCATCGTTGCACTTACCTTCTCTCTCTTTGGAGCAATTGCATCAAGTTCATCGATGAAGATGATGGCTGGAGCATTTTTTTCAGCTTCCTCAAAGGCCTTTCTCAGATTACTCTCACTCTCTCCTGCCAGCTTGCTCATAATTTCAGGGCCTGAAACACACAATCATTTAGATTTCAGAGGAACTAATTCTTTCACATTTCAGTAATAATTGGTGGGTTTTCCATGAGTGAGAACTTAAATGCTCTCATTCCTACAAGTTGATACTGAGGGTAAGCCTGTTTGGCCATCAGATGAGAATGCATAAAAAGATCAATTGTTGGTTCACACCATTAATTAGGAAGAAGAAAGCTCCCGTTTCATTGGCCACAGCTCTGGCAATCAAAGTTTTTCCAGTTCCAGGGGGTCCATAGAGAAGGATTCCACGTGGGGGCTGAAGAAATAAAATATCAAAATTAAAAATGTGCCAAATATCAAATATCATAAACTAGCCAAAGACTAAAAAAAAGCTACCCAAAATTGCAAGTGACACAATCTCAATAATTTAAGACGGGTTATTTTTACTCAGTGTGGTTACAAAAGAAGCCATCGAAGGTTTTCAGAAGGAATTGTTTAGACTGCAGTTCTTGCGTTGTATAACCTAGTCTACCTCCAAGGTCATTTTAGAATCCAAAACTGAAAGTAAAAACGAGGTTTTCCCCAACATGTTACACAGGAAAGCTCACCTTGACTCCTATGGCCTTAAACAGTGCAGGGTGTCTGAGAGGCAGCTCCACCATCTCCTTAATCTGAGCCAACTGCTTCCTTACTCCTCCGATATCATCGTAACCCACCTCATTCAAGGACTCTTCCTCATCCTGCATGATGAAACATAAAACATTTAGAATTTCTTCACTAATTATTTTATGTTAGTGTTAGGCAATGGATGGCAGCATTCACATACTGACCTCTCTCCTGATTGGCTCACCCTCACAGTGAATGACTGTGTCAGGAGCAACAATGCAGTAAGGGGAAGGGTCGGTCTCGACCACCTTGAACTCCACAGCACGCATGCCTCCTCTGACCAGAAAAATGTCACCTTCACATAAAAGAAAAAAGTTCATTTGTTAGTCCATTGCCACTTTGATTTAATCAGACAAGGTTCAATGTAACATGCTTTGTCCGAACCTTTGCGGATTGGCCTGTAAGCCTCGAGGAAGTAGGGCTTCAGGTAGACCTCAAACAGGTTGCCAGTGATTCCTTCCACTGTGTCATCTATTGGAAGAACATGGATCCTCTTGCCATACTTCACATCAGGACATGGCTGAATGCTGTGGGATACATTATTTAAAACATTGCACAACCAAAGAAGTTATGTTTGGTATGTGGAGGAAACTACAACAGGGTTTTGTTTTTGTTTTGCATTTTCCTTCGCCTACCTGATGACATCACCGAGACGGACCCTCAGATTGTTGCGGACCACCCTGTTCATGCGAACCTTTTCATCAGAGCAGGTGTCATCAGACAGGACGATGCACACAGTCTCCCGCCTCTTTTTACCCTTCATCAGCACTGTGTCTCCACGGAAGAGCTGCAGCTCATCCATCTTGGTCTTGAGGTGAATTAAATATTTTTTTTTAAAAATTGAAAAAGAGAGAAACTCGGTTATTAAATAACTCTTGATGAAATTATTTCAATTGTATTTACCCAACTATGGCAATAAAAGTATCCATGCTTACCTGAGAGAGAGAGACAACGCTGTTATCCTCATTGATGGATTCATCTACCACCAGTCTGTTGGGTCTGTTCTTCTGTTTCAGAATGGCAGTTGCTAGATCATCATTTTTGGATCTATGAGTGTAAGAAGACAGCAAAATCTTTAGTGATATCTGGCTATAAATAGCAAGCATCTTTTAAGAGATAAATTGCCACATATCTGCATTCTTCTATACATATTTCTTATGTCATAGGTGCAATGAAACAATATTGTTTATTGCTAATCGATTTCAAACGGGATTTTAACTGTAGTTTATTTAAGGAGAGTTATCTTTAATAAAAGTTGGTCCAAGTATTTCTTTTTCCAGGTGAAATAAAGATGAGTAAAGTTTAACTGTCATCATCTGTCATCCTGTTGAAATCAGTCAACTGCTGCTTTTTAAAAATAAATAAAAATTGCCATTTGACCATATCTACAACAGTTAGCATCTCCGAAAAACTACCGTAATCTTAGAAACTCTTCATGAAACCTACAAAGAGTTTCTGACCAAGTCTCAAGGGGAGATCTACTGAGAAACCAGAATAACCCTTTGTTCTGGCTGTTTGAGAAATGTCTTTCTATTATCAGGGGGGCTAATGTGGCAAACGTCTTAAACCCTCGGTCCAGATATAAATCGAAATAGGTTTCTATTTACAATCTATAAGTAAACACTAGTTGCCTTTATGTCTTTGTCAAGAGCACACAGTGAGTTTGAAACTAGAATTCGGTCTTCAAATGTTTATCAACAGCGTTTTGCGAAAACTTAACGTTTACTTTATGGATAGCCTATACCCATAATTCGAATTTATATTAGAGGTGAACTTGTTCTATGGTTCTTTGTGTTCTTATCTAAAATCCTACAACATTTTTACAAACGAACTGACCGGCGTAAACAGGTTTACACAACTCGTTCATGACGGTCTAATAGGTGGAAATTTAACAAAATCCTTCGTGTAGTTAAAGAACTACAGGCAGTAACGAACGAACCATTTATTACTTCCGAGAAAATTGATGGACTATTTAGTGGTTTCTGTTATTTGACAGCATGCCAATGTTAGCTTTAGGCTAACCGGCTAGCATGCAAGGGAACCCAGATGACACAGCAAAAGAATCTAGGGGGAAAAAAAGAAACTTTGTTAGCTAGCTAGGTCGCTCGTTTGTCAATTATCGTTAATATCGCTGTGTACCTTTTCAAATATCATCACAAACGTTAGGTACACATTCAAGTGTACCGTTTGAAAATGTTTACTCTTAGAAAATCTGTCCCGTGTTGACTGCCGATCATTTGGTGAGTCGTCAACCCTGTTAGCTTGTATAGGATAGCCGTAGACTGCGGAGGTGATCATGATATTGCCAACCGTTTACTTTTGTACAACCGCTGGTCTGCGAGTCAGTTACTTGCCATTTGTTACTAGATTAAATTAACTTTTGTATTTATATACTGACGTGTAAGGTAGGGGAAGAAACAGGAGATAGGCCAATTTTTCAGTGACATGGTGGATGGCCTCGGCCTTGACACTCTTGCTAAGCTAACGTTAGCATTGAAGCACGACTGCGATGACTGCGCTTTGTCAAGTCGCTGTCACACAGCTGCATAACTCAGTACCGTTATCAGGACAACGACAACTTTGTGGAGACAGCACGTTAAAACAAATCGTCGGAAAAAATATAATTTACTCGTCGTTATCCAACCACTGGATTTATGTGCGGAGGTTGAATTAGCTGACCCCATTAGCTATACTGCTAGCAAACTCGCGATGTATTAGCATTTGAGCTAACTTAATAAACTAATGGATTCCGAACTAACGTTACGTATTTTAGGGGCATTAATTGAAAGACGCTGGTTAAACATTATACAATTTACTGAATCTATAAAAGATGTATACTTACTCCCCTCCCGAAGCCATGGTGATCCACCTGGATTGGTAGCAATAAATAAAGAAATCCTAGCTAAATGTTTAAAAAGGCTTAACCGGTTTTCGTTACACTACGTTCTCAGTGATATCACACGAAAGAGCAGCAGTTTCCGTACCATCTGTACGCTTATACTATGAGTTAGACGAATACCCTAATCTGATTGGCTGGCCATTGTCCGTCAACCACGAGAACCAATCCCATATCTGTATTCTGGAATTTTGGCCAGTTACAAATATGGGGGAGGTCATATTTTGTCAACAGTTTTCTTATTGGCCTTTAAACAAATCCCAATCAACCAATTACAGTTTACCGCGTTGATAAGAGAGAATCGTAAAAACATCAACTAGTTTGTTACTCATAGTAACAGTGAGCATAACCTGGTTCAGTGCCAACCTATATGCGGGAAAAGGTGATCATTAACTCCTTGTTTTTTTATCTAACTTGAATGGCTATGGTATCAACAGTACATTCTAAACAATAATTTTGTTTTATTATTAATATAACTATTTATCACATTGAAAAGCATGCCTAATTACACAGTAACACTTCACATCCAAGCCATATCGACAAACTCATACGTTTCCAAAAATGGATTTTATTATGTTGTTCCAGTGCTGTAGCCTCACATAAAAGATTAAAGAATCTTTAATACATGAAACAAATGTAAAGCTTAACACTTAACACTTGTAATGTCAGTCTCTGAAACACTGTTTTCCTTTAAAATATGCTTTATTTTACTGCCCCAACTGATTAAAGGTTGTTGTTGCAATTAGTTTCTTTTTACAAGATAGTTCTCTTGAATACACAGCAGGGCATTCTTTCTTTGTCTCCAGGTTGACTACAAAGGATCAAGTTCCTGTATTTTGTGACGCAGTTCTGTGGAATCCAACGTAGGGCTCCACTGTTCTTCTCGCACATACAAAGGAAGATTCCTGCAACATGAAATATACACCAGCACAGAGAAACATCAGAGTATTATCAAACTGTTCATTACAAGAGACTGTGCAGTCATTATTTCATATACAGAATTTCTAATATATTAATAAAAACCTTTAAAAGTCTGAACTACAATTAAATTAGCTATATTTTACTAGAATCAATTTTAAGCTAATTTTGAGCATCCTCCAAGCCTACTAGCTTGTAATAGCGTACAAATTCAACATACAACCTTTACAACAGGCTAAAAAAAATGTTTGAATCAAGTAAAAGTTCTTTTGTACATCACATTTTAAAAGAAAAAAAATCACAATTGACCTTGTAGCAATACAAGACACTAAAACCAACAAATGAGTCAAATATAAATACCCCCTTCTTTTTGAGCCCTGATCTTGGAATATCCAAGAGTAATTGGTCGGTAAATGGACAGATATATGGGCCTAAACGCAAAGAAAAACTTTTCTGTCAGATAGAACTGTAAACATTTAAGATATAAATCGAAGGCACCCAAGTATAATCAGAAAAAAGAAATAGCTCAAATGTCTCTTAAAGTACCCCATAAGTATTATTTTATAAATATTATTTATAATGCTTAATTATAGTTAATGCTTAACACTTAAATAAATATACCTGCAATCATTTCTCTTTAAACAATATTCAGTACAAAGAGCCCTTTACCCACATCCCATGACCACTTGGTTTGGTCACATGCAATGTTTACTGTGGAATTATGTGTTAATATTGTGTACGTGTTACTCCAAAGAAAATGGTGACAGGAATGGGTACAGCCTCTTACTCTGGTAAGGATTGTTTAGGGAGGCTCCAGGTCTTTTTCCAACAAGCTGCTGCCTCGTGCCGCCTGCCAAGCTTCCATAGCACCTCACCACACCACAGTCCTGCACCCACACCCTCTGAAACAGAACACAGTGACAATCAACACTCCTAATACAAAATGACTTTATGAGCCGATGGCTCATATGTTTGGGACCTTCAAGAATTAATAAAATAGTTTTAAAAATCTATCCATAAACACACAGGAAGCCTATGCAGAGAGCACCGGATGCACTTGTGTGATATTAAAAAAGAAAAGAAAAAACGCTGCGTGCTATGCTTTTATTGTGAGATCTAAAATTAAAAAAATAAAATAAAATTTAAATGGGCTGAGAATTTTTTTTTTTCTGATTAGTTAAAAGAGAATGATCTGTTTTAAAAACAGTTCTTATCTGTGTACTTCAGGACGGACGACCAAAACTTCAGTTTTTCTTGGCTGTTAAGCTGTAAAAGTTTTCCTGCCATCCATGTCCTGATATCTAAAAACACAGCTAAAAAGGTAATCTATAAGTCAAGTGTCATACTGCGACATCAAGCTGTGTGTCATCAGCAAAACTGGAAATTTATGCCAACTGTGTCAATCACAACTAAGCAACCACTAGGCTTTAACCCTATACACTGATCTTGCCCTTTATATTTGTTCTGAAAAGTCTGTAGGAAGAATAAAATACATTAATAATACAGAGAATTACAGGTTGAAGTTTTAAGACTAACTGATGAGAGGAAATCATTTGTCAAAAACATCCTTAAACTTAGAAGCACACATCCCAAAATTACTGCTGCTGTGGGCATACCTGGGAGCACCTGTGAACTGAGCTGTAGGTCTCTCAGGGCCTCTTTCATGTGATCCATCTGGGTAAAGCTAATGCCCCTTCCAGCTAATGACAGCCCTTTCAGTCTCTGAACAATCCACTGTTCCATTCCCCACTTGACATCCGTGTGTGGACTGAGACTTTGTGGTTGGAAACATGTAACTGCAAAAAACAAGTTTATGGCTAAAAACATCTCAGAGGCTGGATGTGACATAAGGGGAGATTTATAAATTTTATCATGATGCTTCTTACCTTTCTTTTTAAAGAGCACCTTCACGAGCAAGTTAATGCACCTTGTGTAGTGGGTGACAGCTTGTTTCCACTCCCTCGTGTGGGTGTAGCAGTGAGCCTGCAGGAGGTAGGCAGCAGCAACCCAGAGCACCACTGCCACTCTGTCCTGACCTTCATCTCCCTCATCCTCGGTCTCAGCCCCACCGCTCTCCTCTGGCTCCTCCAGCACCACTCTGTCAGGCAGCAGCTCTAGTGTCGTGCTGATGACTTCACTACAGAGCGCCATACAATCTGTGGGCTGCTGGGCCATGAGCAAGGCAGTGCCTGCTTCCAGGTAGAGCTTGGGTAATTTTGGGAGGGTGGAAACGTCAGCGTATACCTTAGAGAGCATTCAAGAGATGCAAGATGTTTAACATAGACAACATTCGGTCTGAGAGTTAAAACATTAGAGATGATGACTAGATGTTGTCCGTCTCGGCTTTCAATCTTACTCCTTGTTGGTCTTCTGAGTGAAGAGCAGCCAGCAGGTCCAGATAATGTTGGACACCCTCTGACACTCTGCAGAAACATTTTGGAGTCATTTTTCAGCTTTGGTTGAAGGTTTTAACAGAGGTGAGAATGGAAGAGCTAAACAGAGAAGCTCACAGTCTATGCTACACCTCACACCTGCCATAGAGCACACACTTCAGGGCCAGACTGTGAAGGACACTGAGGGCAGACGGGACTGAGAGCAGGCTGCTCAGTGATTGGCTGCGCAGGAGTAAGGATGGAGAGAGATGGATACCAGTCACAGATGGCTCTGCAGTAGAGGGTAACAACAATGTCTGTGGGACAAACAAAGGTTTCATGTTTCAGTTTCATGGCCAAAACTGAGTATGAGATGAGAGCAATTCAGCAGAAAAAAAACACATAAACAAAAACTATCATTTTAAAAGACAAATGATCTATTGACATCGATTATATAAATCGATAGATTAACAGAAATTTTAAGCCTTTGTCTCTGCAAAAGTACTCTCTTCGCTGCTACTCACAGAATGCAGTATACGGAGGGCCTGTATCTCAGCCTGTGTGTTTCCCAGCTGCCTGTAGACCAGTGTGCTCTGATACAGAGCACACACACATCTGGAGTCTGTCTCCAGTGCCTGTCTGTAACACTGCAATGCCATCTGAGGGCGGTTCTGGAGACACATCCAAACGCATTGTTACCTACTGCATACAAATGAAGCCCTGTCTGCTGCTTCTTTGTTGTATAAATAATGCCAGTGTGTACCATATGGGCGAGGCAGGAGCCTGAGAGGAGGTGTGTGTATGATATCAGAGCTCGGGGGGCTGGCATGTCAGAGGCTTCCCGGAGGACAGGGAGCACCTCTGAACCTTGACCCTCATTCAGCTTTTCTGCACCTTAATCAAACAGAAAACAGCAAACAGTGGGATTATACCTCAAAATCACTTTTGATAAAGACAAACACGTGTTGGGGATGTTTTAAAGTCACATTTAAAGTCAGATCTACATTTGAGTGATGCAAAAGCTGCTGCTTCTCTATCAAACAAACTTAGACTTTAACAGATCTGCTGTCCTGTGGTTCACAGAAACCTTCTGTCCTGCTTCCAACTCATCTGGGCGGACCGAGTTTCAGAACTCTTAAGAAAATCAAAAAGTGGAGGTATTTGTATTTACTTAAACTCCCGTTGCACTGATAATGGCACAGTACTGGAGAAGATGTGCAGTCCCAACATAGAGACTCTATTTAAGACAGCTCCAGGTCCTGACAGCTGGTCTTGAATTGGAAACGCTCCACCATCATCCCAGTTCCCAAAAAACCTCCATCCCTGGATTAAATGAATACCGGCCAGTCGTCCTGACGCCTGTGGTCATAACAGGCTTTGAAAGACTGGTACTGAGCCACCTGAAGGACATAACTGGACCGCTGCTTGACCCACTGCAGTCTGCCGAGAGGGCGAGCATCTCATTAAAGACCTGGACAATTGGCACCGGTGCTCTCTCCTCACTACTCTTCTAACTTCACACGTATTACAGCACCTCAAAGTGAAGGCAAAAGGTTTAGGTAAAGATAGCATGAAGTAAAGAGTTTGACTATTTGACTGGACATTTAGTCTGAACTTGTACTTGCTTCTCCTCTCAAATACCCCAGCACATATGTCTGACTTTAGATAAATTTCCTTTCCTGAGTACTATTTTCGAGCCAATACGAGATCATTTTACAGCAAGACAAAAAGTACCCATATCATCTGTCTATATTACATAACCCCTTACCAGAAATCCAGATAGTAAGTCTGATAACTTTCGGGAAGATAACTTTTATGATGCTATGAGAGAATCTCACTCACCTTCAGCAATGGCAGTGGAGATCTGCAATAATTCAACAAGTCTTCTAGGATCCATTACTAGTTTTGGAACGTTAGAGGACTTTTCCTTTTCCTGATTCAGTGATTCCTTTTCCTGATTTAGTGTCTCTAACAAAGAAGAAATCTCCTTCTGCATAACAGAAAGCACACAGTCATTTTGAGGACTTGCTCACAGCCTTTCACAAGTTAAACTGAGTTTAGAACACATTAAAGCTAAACTGTATCTAACAGACCCATCATTTAATGGTATAAAAGACAATGTTGTGGTCACAGCAGAGGGTAACAGCCATCTCACCATTCTAAGCTGGACTGAGGAACTGTCAGAAGCAGGTTTTTTACACACACAAAGTGAGGTCGGAACCCAAAAAGCTTAACATTACCTGAAACTCCTTCATAGTTTTAAACTGGCAGTTGGCAAGCCATATTGCCCACTGTACACAGAGGAGGCGCAGTACAAACGGATACAATGCTGTGTTTTCCACATATTTGAGAGCTGATCTCCAAAGCTGTACAGGGACTGACATACGACTGTCACCTTCTGTCATCTGTTGAACTAGACAGAACAAAAGTAAAAAGGGCTGAAAAATCAATCTAAATAAGAATAAAATTATTGTACTGGTTTCTTTATTGTCTATATCTATAACTGTGCCATGATTTCAGATAGTGGCTCACCTCTCTCTATAGCTTGTTTGAGGAGTAATTCTGCCTCTGTGAACTGAGACTGAGAAACAAAGCACATGCAGACATTATACACAACCGAAAGCTCCAGCTGGGCATAATCTGCATGTGGAGGGGTGCCTGCAGAGGAGAGCGGGAGGGAGGTGGGATAAGGCAGAAAGTAAATTATAGTATTCAAGGGTCTGTCAGTCCTAACAAATAAATGATTTGTATTAAAATGGTGCACCTACCTTGTATTTTCCTTGCAAGTTTGTGAAACTCAGAGGAACACCATCTCAAACCGGTGTGGTTTTGGTCTGGGCACAGAGCATTTTGTCTTTCTTGCTAAAATGAATTGAAACAAACAAACATCATGAACAGAGTGAAACATAAATGGCATCGTTTTCACAGTTAGACCTCTTGTAGGTTCAGAAGTGATTTTAGTGTTTTATTGAACTATATACTCAAGTCATGTTTAAACAGAGTTTCTGGGTGGCGTTGTTAACTCAGATCACACTGTTTAAGTAAATACAGTCATTTCTATCTGTATCTCTACTCTGAGTAATAAATGCAGTTGAAGTATAGACAGATGAAGAGCCTGCAGGATAACGTCACTTACCTTACATTTTACTGTCAGCTCGTTTATTAATGTCACTTACCTTACATTTTACTGTCAGCTCATCGTTCTCTTGTGTCCATCTATCTAACAATGATACCGGAAGGAACATTTTCTCAGCCATATCATCTCTACTTTGTGAGATAAAAAAGCGACACTTGTTTGACTTTCCCTCGTTTCTCAAAGGTGGACAACACAGGAAGTAAACATCGGCGGGTGAGTAGCAGTGGGGCTCTGCTGCCCCCTATGGACAGACCCATCAACTACACGGCCGTCATGCAGAGTGGCCGGCAGATGGCGCTGTAGATGGTACAAATTTAGGTGTTCTTCTAGAAATTTCACTCAGTCGATTCCTAACATCATTTAAACTGTTCTGAGCCACTATTTACCGGTAGCAAATAACCTTCAGGAATCACATAAAGTTAATCGTACTGCATAAAGTACCAAGATGGATTAATCATCATGAATGTCTCCCTTGAGAATATCCCACCACCGTGGCATGCGACCAAAGTACCATGCATACATATGGAAACGCCCTTCCACACACACACCTACACACACAAGTGTGGTAGCAATATACACGTTCCCATGGCTTAATAGTATTACAGCTGAGTCATCCCTGTTATTGCCAGGACAGCCATTTTTCTAGATGCCCCTTTCAAGGTGACTTCTACATTTCTCATCTAGGTTTAGCCCTCTTTTATCCCTGTCTGTCTGTTGTCATCCCTCCATTACAGAATCAGCCTGCTCTGTAATATTTGCAATGTTCACTGTTGACTTCCATGCTCCTCTTTTTCTTTCAGGATCTCAAATCACTGAAAGGTCTAAATATATCCTGATGGAAAAAGGGGAAGTTCCTGACAGCCACAGATCCATAGCATGCACCTTCAGCACCTGCCTCTGCAAAGGGGCGCATGCACACAAAAGATCTTTATCCTGTGACTGAGTTTCTGTGACAATTTCAATGTAAGAAGTGGGTTTTTTGCAGGTATTTTACCTTTCTTTCAGAAACAAAGTTTAAAAAGAATATCCTTACACTAAAACCTCTTATTTTCAGTTTTATCAAATATTTAACTATGATTATGTCAACCACAAAAAGTGCATTAGAACAGACGACGTTCACAATAATTATTTTAATAAAGTGTTGCTGTATTCAGTGTTGTGTTAGTATTTTAATTTCTTACCATGTCCAAGTATTCCAAATAGGGCTGTTTTTTAATTAAAAAATTATATTCACCTGATATTCATCTTTATTTATTAAGATAAAATCTTAAAAACTATGAAAGAGCCTTGAATAAAAAACCTATTATCATCAAACACAGCACAATCTGTTTACACTCTTTTTTTTATCTTTATTCATTACTCTTCCTAGAATTAGAAAATGTGCATGTTATTTATATCTTGCATGCCCCTCAGATCTCAAAAGATGTGACGTTGTGCATATCACACAAGAACTGTCTGTGTATTTGCAGAAAAAATGATCAGACTGTATTAGTTTCTATCTGTGAGATTTTTTAAAGGAATTTCATCATACAAAACTCCAATCTTATTGGAAACACTCTGGGCTTAGATGTCCCACGGTCACATGGGTGTCACTGCAAAGAAAAACACATCACCGACAGATGTGAAGAATGGCTGATGAAGAGAAATAACCATGCGCTGATTAGTCTATTCTTTACCATACATCTCAAGAGAACCGTGAATAGACCATTTTCCAACTCTGTTAAGGTATGCAGCGTAAACTCAGTCACCCTGAGTCTGAGTAATCAATAGGTGCTGTACATGCTCTTCAGACCAGGCTCTCTTTTCAGAGGAGACATCCCTTTACATCAGCAGAGATAGCTTAGATTTTGTGTTTGTGCTGTATCATTGTAGCGCAAGTGACATCTCCATGTGTATATTCTGTAAACCTGCTCTTAGTAGTGCAGCAGTAGTTGGGTTTGACATCATTGTGGTGTGTCTGATATGCCTGACCTGAAATAACATATGAACATCTGCAAATGGATTATACCTCAGCAATCTGAAAAAGGCTAAATGGAAAAAAAATCAAAGAGAATGTAGCTATTTTTTTTTCATTTTAAAGAGAAAATGTAAAACTTTGAGCCTCTTCGTGTTTGTAGAAGGAAAGGGAGTTGTCAGTGGCCCAGCAATTGAGGTGAGCCCCAGGAGGGATGATCTGCAAACTCACACTGCAGCAGCGAAGCTACAGAAAGCATCAGCAGAACTCTGAACACCCACATAATCAGTTTACAATGACTGAATCCACCAAACTCTCAAAAATACATCAACACATTTTTATAACAGTGGAAAATAACTCATTGGACATTTTCATATAAAGAGAGTAAGCAAATAGTCCAAAACTGATGTCCAAACCATTCTGGGTTTATGGAATCCCGGGTATTTTTTTAATGTGTTAAACAGGTGATGCATGAGATGCAAAATGTATATAAAGCTATGTACAATCAATACTGGATTAGTTGTGTCAGTAAATCAAGCCACCTCCGAAACACCTTAAGTTAAAACACAATTCAGCTTTCCCTCCGCACGCAGGAGTTTTCTGAGGAAAAGATGTGTCTTTAAAGAGAGTGTGTGCTGACTCGTGAGCTATCTCTCCCTCCTATATAAAGCCGGCGCTTCCCCTTCTGCTGCAGTCACTTCTCCCTCCGGCACAGCCAGCATGAGTTTCACAGTGGACCACCACTTCATGGGCCCGGGCTCGTACCGCAAGGCTCGGCCGGCGTCGGTGTCCTCCAGCGGCTTCCACTCCCAGCGCCGCCGCCTCGCCTACAGCCAGCCGTCCTCCCTGGACGGCCTGGAGACCTTCGGCGGCGACATGACGCGGAGGAGCGAGAAGGAGATCCTGCAGGCTCTCAACGACCGCTTCGCCGGCTACATCGACAAGGTGCGCAACCTGGAGATGCACAACCGCAACCTGGAGGCGGAAGCCGCGGCGCTGCGCCAGAGCCAGGCCGGCCGCAGCTCCGTGGGGGAGCACTACGAGCGCGAACTGAACGACCTGAGGGGTCTCCTGCAGCAGCTGACCGGGGAGAAGACCCGCGCGGCTCTCGAGCACGAACACCTGGAGGAAGACATCCAGCACCTGCGCGTCCGGATGGAGGACGAGGCGCGGAACCGGGAGGAGCTGGAGGCGGCGACCCGAGCCATGAAAAAGTACGCCGAGGAGTGCCGGCTGGCGCGGATGGAGCTGGACAAGAAGCTCAGCGCCCTGGAGGAGGAGGCCGCTTTCCTCAAGAAGAACCACGAGGAAGAGGTGTCCGAGCTCCTGGTGCAGATTCAGGGCGCACAGGTGAGCTTCGACATGAGAGACATGCTCAAGGCGGACGTCACCAGCGCGCTGCGAGAGATCCGCTCTCAGCTGGACAGCCACGCGTCAAAGAGCGCAACGCACGCGGAGGAATGGTTTAAAGGTGAGTTTGGGACGAGGAGTTGGGTTGCGCACTCGTCACACTGGTTCACTGTCCAAGGTGCTGAAGTCTAACGCCCTTTACGACGGGTTGGCACCATCATTTCTGCAAGTAATTAAACATGATAGTATTTTAATTATACCACCCAAAGACTGCCAGATCTTTGGGATACAGTAAAAAAAAATCTGAGATTGTTTAGATCAATTTGAAAACACACTCAAAAGAGACTCAGAAGAAGTTTTACCTTTAAACTCAGACAGATAGAATTCCCTATATATCTTATTCTCATCCTATGCCCTTACAGTTTAGATGCTGACACTTCTCTTTTCTGCCACAAACTGGTCAATTTGTATTTATTAGTTCGAACTGAAGCACTGCAGGGATTGTGTGATGGCAGACAGCTTGGGTAATAAGACTAATTAGCACTTAGGCAGGGGGTGACAGTGGTGTGTGTGTGTCTTTGCGCCCCTGTTTGTGTGCATTCCGCTGTTATGTTAGTGGATTTAACTTTGAGCCAGCATACACAGAACAGCTCTTTTCAAGGACACTGCGTGGTGCACAGAATGGTCATACTGTAAAAGTAGCCACACAGTCAAAGATGATGTTTCTTTTTCTGCTTATAGAAAATATGGTCTCACTGAAAAAAGACAAATAACAAATACATCAGCCTAATGCTCCAGTCAGAATGAGATGCAGAAGTGCCTCTGACCTTTATGGAGCAATACAAATGCATGACAGACAACTTCGGGGGCTAAAAAGGTGTGGTGTGTGCTATACTTTAAAAGCCCATTGAAGGAATTAATGGTCTGCGCACCAAATTTTGCAGTGCCTTTACATACTAATCGGATGCAGGATGAGAAGGGAGCAAACTGAATGACCTTCTCAGTATCTAGCTGACTGCAGCAGCGGCTCATTCAGGATTGGAAGAGAGAAGAAGCTGAGTCAGACTGACTGACAGATGGACAGTCAAGGTTACTCAGACTCCTAGTGGGACTGTCTGCTTTTTAAGACAAGAGTGGTCAAAATCCCTAATATTGAAAAAAGTCTAATCTGTGTCCATGGATCCTTGAATTGTCTTTGCATTTGCTTTGCTCTGCGTGTGATAGCTCCGAAAGTTGTGTGGTACTGCAACAGATCCAACATTAGAAGTGATTTCTGAATCTTAAAGGGGCTTTTCTTGTCTTTTTCTGCAGTGCGCATGGAGCGCCTGTCTGATGCAGCAAAGTCTAACCAGGATGCCATCCGCGGGACCCAGGAAGAGATTGGAGAGTACCGCCGTCAGCTCCAGAGCCGCACAATTGAACTGGAGACTCTTCGGGGAACCAAGGATTCACTGGAGAGACAGCGAATGGAGAGTGAAGACAGACATCAAGATGACCTCAGCTCACTACAGGCAGGACATCACCAGAGACATGCAAAAATTCAGAGATGCACACTCATTACCGCATATCCTCCTAAACCCTCAGCATGCTATCTGATGTGCAAAGTTGTGTTTTCATATTACAGGAGACCATCAACCAACTTGATAACGAGCTGAAAACCACCAAATGGGAGATGGCCGGACAGCTGAGGGACTACCAGGACCTGCTGAATGTAAAGATGGCCCTTGACATTGAGATCGCTGCTTACAGGTTAGCCAAAAACAATTTAAATTGATGATCGTGTCCTGTCTACCATTCCTAAACTGTGCATTGTGTGCATGTCTGAAACAGGAAGTTACTGGAGGGTGAGGAGAATCGCTTCGTGTCTGGTGGCACTTCCTACTCCTACATGGAGAGCAGAATCTCCACCCACATTAAGGTGAAAGCTGAGGAGATCTCAGATACAGTCATTGTGGAGGAACAGACCGACGAGACACAGGTGACCGAAGTCACAGAGGAGGCAGATGAGGAGGAAGAAGAGGACAAAAAAGAAGAAGCAGGAGAGGAAGAAGAGGAGGGTGATGACGCCAAAGAGGAGGAGGGTGAAGATGAAGAGGAGAAACAAGAAGAAGAGGGAGAGGAAGAAAAGGAGGAAGAAGATGAGGAGGAGGGAGAAAAAGCTGAGGAAGAAAAGGAGGAGGAACAGGAAAAAGGAGAAGATGGTGAAGAAGAAAAAGGTGAGTCCCCTCAGTCCAAATCTCCCGCTGTTAAGTCACCAGAACCCAAATCTCCACAAAAGTCTCCAGAATCCAAATCACCAGCAGCTAAATCCCCAATGCCCAAGTCTCCTGCTAAGACCCCTGAAGTCAAATCTCCTGCAGGAGATGAGTCCAAATCACCGGAGTCAAAGTCCCCACCCAGTAAATCCCCCGAATCTAAATCTCCTCCCCCCAAGACCCCTGAGCAAAAGTCTCCAGAGAAAGAGAAGGCCACGCCTGTTGATGCCAAAGACACCCACAAAGAGGAGAAAAAGGAGGAGAAACCTCAGCCTGTCAAGGAGGAAAAGAAGGAGAAAGAACAGCCTGTAAAGGAAGAGAAGAAACAGGAGCCCAAAGACAAAGAGCCAGAGAAGACAGACAAGCCTGACCCAAAGAAAGAGAGTAAGGTGGATGAAGCACCAAAAAAGGAGGAAGCTTCCAAACCTGAAACTCCCAGCAAGCCCTCCGAGGACAAACCTACCTCCAAACCTGAGCCTAAAGAGAGTGCTCCCCCAGCTAAAGAGCAGAAGGCGTCTGCTCCACCATCAGAGAAGGCCGAGGCCGAAGCAAAGGCCGCTCCCAAAGCAGCTCCTGAGAAAGCAGAGAGCAAGAAGGAAGACAAGAAGCCAGAAGAAAAGCCTGTGCCCAAGGTAGAGCCCGAGAAGACAGAGAGCAAGAAAGAGGAAAAGAAGCCAGAGGACAAAAAGGAGACAAGTAAAGAAGAGAGTAAAGACGCAAAAGAGGGAGCAAAAATGGAGAAAGCTGAGAAATCCGCTGTCACTGAATCCAAGGACAGCAAGGAGGAGAAGGCCAAGAAGTAAAACTTAAACGCGGTGTTCAAGCACCAGAGCAGTGGAGGAGGAGATGCCAAAGAACTGTGAGGGAGGGAGGCAAATGCTTGAGACAGACGGAGAGCAGGAAAAAGGAGCTGGACGTATCCAGCTGTTAAGACGGGCGCTTTAATGCCCAGAACAAAGCAGGCAACAGTATGTAAGCAATATTGATTTCTGTAGCAAATAATCCCCTGCTCCCTGTGTATGGCCATTACCTATCCCCAAAGCTTTTCATGTATGACTGTAATGAATGCAGAATGCTTTAAACACTTTATCTGAATGTGACAACTGCCCTCAATGAATAACAAGTGCATTTAAACGGAATCCTGATGAGGGCAGTAGGGTTCCGCTGTGCCCACATAAGCCTTCATGGGTAGAGATGTCAAAACAATATCACGCTGAAGATTGTAACAAATAATGAATACAAAAAAATATATATATATACATATATATTCAAGGAAAAGATATGTCTATGTTATATTTGCAGATACGGTAGTAAGAAAGACTTGAATTTTGCTTATTGTGCACCTTAATCCAGCTTCTCCTGACAGGTGAACTGTGGTGTCTCACTCTTCCAGTCTGCAATGCTAGGACAAAGATGACTGTGCTATGTAAAAACTGCTGAGATTATGCAACATGAAACAGTAAATAAAAATTGAAAACTCAAAGAGGCTTTGTGTCATGTTCCTAAAGTGTTTACACGGCAAAAATCTGTGGGACCAAAACCTTTAGAGTGAATTAGAAAGCATCAGTGATGCTCATGGAAGGTGTGAGGGCCAAAAGGTAAATGCTGCGAGTTACTGCACTGCATTGCGGTTAAGGAGAGAGGGAGCTGTGCCCACCACCAAGGCTCAGCAGCCACCACCTCCCTTTCTTACATCCAACAAATCACATTCATGCAGGGATCTGAGGCTTCAACAAGTGCTTGCAGAATTTGTACTGAATTTGCCTCACTTCTCAAAATTATCACTATCATCTTCCTGTATGAGAACTATTAATGCTCCCTGTTATTTTCAGTCATGACTCACAGATGTGCCAAATTAATTGCGACTTTCAGGGATTTTTGCTTTCTTTCAGAGAAGCATGTTTTTAATAGGTGGGAACAAAAGTAATAAATCCAAACAGTTAATGGATTCCAGATTCTTGAATCCTTGGAAACAGAGAACGTAATTTTAATGACTCCACAGAGCTTTAAATTGCTATAGAAAATGGGTGCAATTGTTCCATTTTTCAAAATCTAAATCCTGAAAGAGTCTTAAGACATATTCTTTAGTCAGCATGAAAATGAAAGATCTTTGCAGCCGTGCCTGGATGTATGTTTGACCTTTCGTTATATGCAAACACTGGACACACATTTTGGCTGACATTTGGCTGAGTTTTTATTGCCATGACATCATTAAAGTTCAAACTCACTGCATTACAGGGACGTTTTTGTGACAAAGCTGCATCAAAGCAGACCAACCTAAAGTCAAACAGATACCAAACACTTTAATATACATCAGATTGACAATACTGCCTTCCCCGCCCCCAGTTCTTCATCCCTACTTTTTTCATAAGCCTCTCCCACAAGACCATGGTTATTTGCATGCTTGATACATGCTAAAAATAGACCAGCATTGAAGGCACTGAAGCCCCACTCCCATCAGTATTGTCCCTTTAACCCTTTCCTCGACCACATCCTACAGCCTATATTACCTCAGACACACTCTTAGCGCTCATGACCACGCAAGATCACCTCCAAACACCAGCTGCATTTCCTAAAGCCAACAAACCACACTAAAAGGAGAACCCGACCTCACCTGAGACCTTGTGAATTGCAATATAAAGAAGGTTTCTGGTATTTGTACTCAGAGATCCAGGAAAATTAGTACAGCATCCAGCTTAACCGGGATCAGCAACTCGGTTACAGGCTGCTAATTCAAAAGCTAATTTGAAGCTGCTGTCTTTTTGTCATTTGGGGCAGTTTCCCCCCCTCTTTTCAGGGGCCATTTTGTCATGTAGCTTCTCCAGTGTCCAAAATCCCGTTTTTCGCTTTGGAGCATCTAAAATGACTTCCAAACAGTGCTCAATCCTTAGTACAGCAGCATCAGGAAACCTCCCCAGAGAGTTAGTTTTCAGGAATGAATACTTGATAGTTCAAAGACAGACTGACTCCTAAGGACACACTGTTCAATGATTATAAGTAAAAAAGCATATAATATACATAAATGTGCTTTAACTGGGAGTTCCGGAGAGGTCAAAGGCTAACTGCTCACAGCCTGCAAAATACTGCCCACCACTCTCTGTAGAAATGACTCAGCTTATTCCTGCTCAGAACCCCCGTAGCATAATAATCAACTAGCCCTGACAACACCTATAAATAGAGTGTCACATTCAGAGATCGGGGTAAAGAGGACATAACAGGAGCAAACAGAAAAAGCTAAAGTTTGCATGCAGCAAAAAGATCAAGACACAATTACTGAAGAAAATTCACATCTTTATTCTCCAAAAATTGTTTGAAAAGACACTTTGCCTGTTAAAGAGTCACAAAAGTATGTTTAAAAATGGCTAATTTAAAGTACGAAGGGATAATGACACATCCAGCTTTAACGGTGACTGAAGAAGCCCTGAGGATGGTTGTACTTGAATGGCTTCAGGCGATTTGGACCCCTAAATTAAAAGAGAGAAGGCCTGTTATGCAGTGGGACTATTATGCCGGTGTATGATAAATGTGCTCATTTTGTGGTTAACGGCGTACCTGACAGTGCGCAGGCACATTTTCTCTCGTGGGAACTCGCGAGGTCCTTCCACACTGTCGTCCTGTACCTCTGTCTCCAGATACACATCCAGGCACACGCACAGGCGCTGCAGCTGATTGGTCAGCAGCTGGTGTCCTGGACGTGGCCCTTGCAGTTCGCTTTTGAACACGTTCACCTCACTCTCAATAGCCTAGAGACAGTGCATGCTAAATTAAAGCATGAAAAAAACAATGAAACAAAAGCAACAACCATTAGCACACTTTCATACCCTGAGGTTGTTATCGGTGCGTCCGCTGCTGTCTCCCTTCCAGCTGAGGGAGAGCGAGAACAGGGGGGCGATCTCCGGGTACCGGGGATTCAGCACCACTGCAGCAGTGAGACGAGCTGAGAGCCAAACGTAGATTTTGGTCATCAAAACAAACAAACTCACCAAACAGCACCCGACATGTTGTAAAGGATCGGATTTACCTGTCCCCCTCTCAACCACTGCCATAAAGTACAGATCAGTGTCCTTGGCCAGCCCGGCGTCAGTGACATGACGTGTGTACAGCAAATCCTTGAGGAGGAAAACTCTCGGAATTAGTTATGCCACTTTATTTGACTTATACTGATGAGTGCTGCTTAGAAAATTGCTTCTCTGCTGCATCTACCGTGTACTCCTGGTGACTGATGGCGGTCCAGCGTGCTAAACGGGAGATGATCTTGGCAGGGAAGAGGTGCTGACAGTCACTGGTAACTGGGATGATGCTGTGCTCTGAGGGCAGGAAAACAAATATTCTGAGTCTAAATGTTCAATTAGGACTGATTAACGCGACAAAGTTGTTGAATTACGCACCTATGGAGGCGAACTGTTTGTGGAGAGCCAAGCGGGACTGGACCCGCCCTCTCAGCAGCTTCATGGTGTTCTCCATGTGGCTGGCGCTCAGAGAACTGCCCACCAGCACACCCTAGGAAACAAACCCACGCTTTACAACCGGAACGCGTACAAGCTGGGATCTCCTGTGATGATGCTCGACTGCGCCACCAACCTCTGACGACTCGCTGGGAAAATGAAGTCCTCCGAGATGCTGAACCCACATGTAGGGATAGCCCAGCTCATCCACGTAGTCGGAAAAGGAAACGATCCTATGTGGGAAGTTATGGGTTAATCGTGCCACAATGTAAAAAGATTCAGTGGCGTAAACACCTCTGTTATTCACTCTGAACACCTTAAATTCTCACCCGACTTTGTCAAACTGGTAGCGATTCGAAGGATTGGGAGTTTCTCTCCCATGGTCGTTGGTATAGAGACAGCTAAGCAGAGTGTCTGATTTCAGAAGATCCCTGATTTAAAAAAAAAAAGCATGATTATGCATCTGATGCTCTTAAAGGACACTATCTGCACATCAGAACCAAAAGCTTGCGCTAATGCACCCACCCTGAACTGATGGCAGTACTGAGGTCGGTTGAGGTAGAGACTTTGGTCTTGACCGTCATGATGTTCAGATTCATCAAGTAGTAGAAAAAGAGATGGAGAATGCTGCCATCTGTGGAGACAAGGAGGAAAACGCTGCTCATCAGCTAATCCACGGCTATCTTAACGCTCTCTGTGCCCTCTTTCTGCTAATCCTGCCAGCAATCCCCCCCCCCCTCATGGGTTTAGCTCTCGCAGCAGTGCACTAGAGAGCCATAGGAGCGTGTGATCCGAGTGGCAGCCTGCAGCATGCTGGGAGTGCCCATTACACCGATGGCCACCTCTGACCGTTGCAGTGCCCCCTGTGACACGCTGCCACTCACAATCGCTGCACACTTTTGGCTTTTACTGCACTGGCAGAATGCAGCAGCAGCAGCACTGTGGATAGCAGGGAGGAGGGAGGGGGCTACATTCAAAAGACGTCAGAGAGTGGTGATGAGAGAAAATGCTTACAAGATATTGTAGGTGCTGCAGACCTACGATACAGCAAGCATCATTTCCACCTCCCTCCCTGCCCTCCCTGCTTCCACTTTTGGGTAGAGTTACACCTGCAATGCAGATCTCCTCATAACCTGTCACCATGTTCCTTTTGTTGCCAGCAGAGGGAACACGAGGGTCAAGCGGTGTCATGTCACAGCTGAGTGGGTCAGGTTTTCTTTTCCCACACCATTTGACAGGTGTCGGGTTACTACACATCGCAGCACAATACAGTCACAAGGCAGGGAACACAATAGAATTGTAAATATTTGGGCGAACGCGGTGTAAAGACGGTACATCTTTCCGTTTGCTGAAAACGCAACTCATGCTGACTCCTACAAAAGGCACTGAGAAGGAGATACCTTTGCATTCAAGGTCCAAGCTAAGGGACAGAGGGTGCTTTTTCAGCATCTCTCGCCTTTTGTCATCCAGCTGGCCACCGGTAGTCGGCCTTCTCCTCTTCTGTCAAACGACAAAAAGCAGTCAGATCAAAAGACAAATGGACAAAGCAACTGCAGCATGTAAAACACAGGAGAGGAACATTTAAATTTGCTTGAGGAGGAGAATGCATAATAAAGAATCTAAAAGAATCTTTGTGTGTATGGCGTTGTTTGTAGATTCTAAAAACTGGATCTTTAGATTCTAAATTGAAAGTATTTGGGAAAGCAGAGGTGTTATTTAGCTCTAGATAAAAACAATGTTGATATAATAATATAGTGGTATGATAATAATGATGATGATAATATCTTATCATTTTCAGGGTATTTTACCATACCAAAATTAAATTGTAAAACACTGGCTTTTTTTATAAACTCCAAATGAACAGTGGAATACACAACCAGTTCAAACCTGCAGACACATTCTGACAGCCGGCCATCCGGACAGGACAAGTGAGCACTGGTTTGCTGCTGAATGAGCATTTCCCTGATGGACTCAGGTTGCAGTCACCTCACCATTCTTGGTGTACATTTCCCAGAATCCCCCACCGGCAGTCCGGATGCAGCAATCGATCGATTTCTGCTGCTCCCCAACTCATCACACCACAATAGCACAACTTCAGGGGCAGTTCATGTGTCCGGTGCAGACGGATATATTAAGAAACAACTGAACTCGCTAACCCGTATGAGTGTGTGTGTTAGGGCAAAATAAAAAGCCAGGCCTTTGGCTCACCGTTTTCTCTTGTTCTTCCTCTGCATCGGAATCACTCTCATCATCTAGATTAACAGAAAACAGAAAAACAGATGAGGAAACAAAGCTTGGCATCTCATTCCTGTACTCGGACTGTGTGTGATGATGTACATAAAAGCACTCTCTGTACCCTGGGAATCTTCTGGAGGTTTGGACAGGGCCTTGGCCTCATCCACATCACCACTAATCGACACATTAAGATTCTTGTCTGAAACAGAGACAACAACAAAAAATCCACTTATAGACAAAACATCTGATCTTTACTTACAAAGTTTTTTTTTCTTCTTCACTTTGACGCAGAGTAAACCCTGTCATGACTGCTCACCGCAGGCCTGGCCGTATGCATTTGCTTGAACAAACAGCACATAGAGAGGAGGAGGCAGGTGGCGGGCGATCTCTGTCTGCTTCTGAATCTGTTCAAACGGCATGGACAGGTACTCCTGCACTGGGAGAGATGCCTAAAAAAAAAAAAACACCACAGGGTGGAGGGTTCATTTTATGGCGAAAATTTGGCTCACTGCAGAATGAGGCAAATCCCTGTAAGTTGAGACTGAACACTAAACCAATAAAGACATTCTTCTTGAATTCAAAAGACAAATCTTTCGTCTTTACCTGCATGATTGCATGGAGTCCAGGCTGCAAGCTTCTCAGGTGCTCCTTCTTGACCTCGATGCTCTTCTGAATCTTCTCCTTTGTTGCCTGGGACTCTTTGTATTTCTCTGCTAATCTGCATCCAAATACAAACGTTCAACATTTGCTTTTCATGCCCACAAATCATTCTGTGAATAAGTCTAGTTAATAAAGGCTATAAAATCACAATTTTGAGTGAAAGTAGCAGTTTAAAGTCTTTTTGCACCTTTTCCTCTGTTCCAGCTCCCAGTCAAGTCGTGCCAGTGTGAGCTGGTGAGGGTCAGTCTTTGTGAGATTAGGCCTGGAGATCTCGGGTGGGGCCTCCTGGTAAAACTCCTCTTCACTCACCAAATCAATCTCCTCATGTTTAGACCTGAGATTTGGAAAGACTAATTTGTTACCACTGTCAAAATATGTCTGAAAATCTCCACAAAAAATGTAATTTCAAGCTTTAATCCAAGTAAGCCAGTAAGACAACCAATGAAATTGCTATTGAATTTTCAGAATGGGATTTCAAATCATGAATGGTAAATTTAAGATTCTCCTCTTACTTACTTGAACTCTAAACACTTGCTGATCTCCTTCTGAAGATGCATAACTTCATACAGGAGGTTCTGGAGCTGGAGATGCAACACGTCCACCTTCTGTTTTGCCTGAAAATAGAAAATAAAGCTTGTGGTGAGATGCTCCTATAAAAGCATCAAATTAAAACTTAACCAGATGCCACAATTCAAATGTATGTTTTCATAATAGCTTTAACAAAGTAACATGCTACAAACTAAAAATCCAGGGATGTTTAAGCTTTATAAGATGACAGTTGACTCGGTGCTCAACAATAATTAAATGATCAGCACTGACTGAACCTGAAACAGCATTTATACTAGAAGCAGTGTAAACCAAGTGGTTTATTTTACCATCTTTAAAAGAAACAGGGAGTGTAGGTGTGTGGATGTTACCTCGTGCGTGTCGTCTCTGCCTTTCTTTAGCTGCATATGAGCCAGACGATTCAGCCTTTTCAGATTCATGAAGTGGATGCAGCTCTGCATGCGTTTCTGCTCGAGCTCTGCACACTGAGAGGACACAATAAAATTGCAAAGGCCTGCAGTTTTAGCTCTGAACTTCCCATCTGAATTTGGGAAGATTAGTGGGTGGGTATATTTAGCAGCTATTCTTATGGACTATTTCCTGCTGGATGGAGTTACTGTTTTATACCATTTTCTGCTGACATGTGCATTGTTTTCTACTTGCTTATAGATATTCTGGAAATATTGAAATAAATGTGGTATCATGACCAACACAAAACACAGCATATGGTTTTCAGAGTGAAACAACAACTAAAGGGGGTAAAAGGACAGTCCAAAAATTATTTTGAATGTTGATGATGTGTAAAATACCTCTTATTACTATTATGGTGAAGGTGCATAATCAATACAGTGATTATTAAAACAGGATCAAATGAGCCATAAGTGTTGTCATCTAGTGTTAGACATAAACACATCATGGGTGAAAGTCAAGTCCTGTAATGACAGATGCTTGGACGTGTATATCATGATTCTTACCCCCTCCTTAGCGCCACCGGCTTTGAGCTTCTGGATCTCACTCATAAGTTTGCCCAGACTCTCACATGATTCTTTGTACTGTAAGTAGTCCTGTTCAGGGTCCCTGCTTTCTAGCTCCGCCTCCTCATTATACAGACGAACATCCTGGAAGGAAAAACACAGTAAATCACTTCAGAAGAGGGAAAACACACCGTTGTGCGGATGCTAACACTACCAATGCAAAACTAATAGTGACATAAACCAAAAAGTTCGATGACTGGTTTTTAGTCTTGGTTAAACTTTGGCCTAAACCCAACAGGAATTCAGACTTTAAATCACACCAGTGGTGAGTTGGTCAACTTTCAAATTCAACCACTTTGGGACATATGTATTGCCAATACTTTTATCTCCCTAAACTGATGCCTGGTTTGTTATGTGGTAGCATTCCACATACATAGAGTACATACTAAATATACACAATCAAGTGTATAAACTATATGTGCACTTTTCTATGCTGTTCCCAAGGTTCAACTACAAGTGGACATGTTGACTAGTATAATGCAAGGCTGATAACATCATGTTTTTACTTTGTTGGATTAATTTTCCCAGCACAGATGGTGGATTTGTTTATTCTGATGGGTGCTGCATTAACATTTATTTTTACAAATCAATAAAGTTCTACTTTGTGACTCATTGTCTTATAAGATTTTGTTAATAACTATGAAATTCCCTGATACAAGCCTTTATAATAAGTGCAAATGTTAATTCACAATGCCTGAGTTCAAACAATTTAGTTTGAACCGTAAAACATTTACAGGTAGGTAAACCACCCACTATAAACTTGCAGCTTTGGAAGCCTTTTTTGGAACCTAAAGCTCAGGCTCATTCCACCATAATATGTTACCATGAGTTTCTACAGGCTGCTCTTTGTGGGCAGCATACATGCCGTTACAATAATCTTAAACGAGGATGGTCTCCTCTGTAAAAAAAACATTTTCCAAACAGCAAATAAACTGGAGCAAACTATGTGTGAAACGGTAAATATCCCTATCATCTGATATTTAATGTCAAAGGCCATTAATATAATCACACACTTTGATGATTATACCAGAAAAAAATAAATATCTTGATTTAGATTAAGAAGAGCTTTACAAGCCCAATCTGGAAATCTGAAATGTACTTTAAAGCACACGTACACATGCGTGTGTCATGTTTAGGTTATAAAGCAAAGCGGTTATAAGAGGCCAGCCCATTCAGAACAGCTATTTCAAAATATCTTCAATAAAATACGGGCAAATGTAGTAGATGATTAGTGATCACTATGACTTTTTATCATTTTATCTTTCTGGGTGACATTTGTCAACACTTTTCACAACCCCTGCCCTCCTCTTACATGCTGGTCCACCTCCCCACGACCCCGCTTTATCTCCGGTGTTCCTCCTTCAGTCCGGAGAACCTTCGACTTCCGCTTCTTTAGTGCCTCGGACGACATCGATATCTGGATATAAACACATGGATGTTTAGAAAATTACGTTTAAAAGTCGTGGGTTGATTAATACAATAACAAATGTTAGCATATTGGCTAACAATAGTGAAGCTATCAGGCTAACAGCCGTTAGCTTGTCTGCTCAAAGAAGTATATTTCCCATGCAAATAACCAAAATATCAAGATACCCCCCTTGCACATGAATCTAGATAACACATACCTTTCTAGTTAAAAAATATTCCCGTAAACGTTAAATCGGCGGTGAATTAATATGCTTGCAAACCAGGTGGCTTTAGGCAACTTTCGCGACAGAGAAGACTTCAACGGAAACCCAATGGGTCCAAAACTCATCTCAAGTGCGAAAGAAAGACACAGCGTCACCAAACGTTCGCCTGAAGCCAAACCTTACTTCTACCACATAATTAAGAGTTTGGGGAAGAAATAGTAATAAAGACCAACATGTTTAAGAAGTATTGGTTTTAAAAAAGTGTTCAATCTTGTTACTGATGCTATATTTGGCTTTAATATCTGCCATTCACTTCCAGCAGGTAGTGATCCATCCAATTACTGTATTTTCCTCACAGTTATCTGAACAGTGATCACCTGCTTTTTCTTGATATCCCTCTAAGCCCCCTACAGTTAGGATATCCAAAAGTATTAGTCAAAATACTGCTAATTGAATGTATTTATTATGTGTATGAATGTATATATATTGTGGTACAGTATTTAATAGTACTATACTACATGTACTTAAACATATTTTGGTAAAGAAAAAACAACAATGCACTTTTCAAAACTTTTATTTACAATTGAGACTCTTTTTTATTCAAAAAGGTATGTGGGACAAATCTCAAATGTACTGAAATTACAAAAAAAACACAACAACAATTACTCTTTATTTTCATAACCTACATACCAAGACTCAGACTGTCCATGTTTACTTTGCCATATCTATCAGACTCTGCAAAGATGTGGGCACCCAAGTCTTTTCTCCTTGGACAAACACAACCCCTCTGTCTATGTAGATAACAATACGACCAAAGGTGTACAGCTGCTTTCCCTCGTGTCGTTTGGCCACTATGGGCATAAAGACAATGTTGTTCTCTTCTGCCTTGGTCTGGATAAGATCTTTAAAGTTAGTTGGCACACCAGCACTAATGCCCCTATGAGCCACGGTCTCTGCATCCCTTCGCTCCTGCAAAGCTTCATATTGGAAGTCCTTTCGTCTCTCAGTCTGCGTCAGATATGCAATATTTTCCCTGGCTCCAGGTTGCATGTATCCACCTGTGAAAATGAAGAATTAGTGTTACAGTAAAATATGGCAAGCAAGAGAAAAATATCTTTAGTACTACATACAGCCTAGCTTTAAATAATGTCAATGGGGTTATATTTTTTCTCTATAAAAGAGTGGGGACCAACCTATGCCTGAAGACACTGCACGGTTCATGATGTCCAAAGCTTCATTGAATTTCTCTTTAATCTGGGGCTGTGCCAGCAACATATCGCTAAACATGCTTTTCCAGCCCAGGTACCATTTAGTGATTTCTTCATAGTTGGGACTGTTGCTCAGCCATGAACAAAGAACCTGTAATCAACATAAACACCACGTAAAACAACTTTATAAGGATTTAATGTTGTCTGTGAGGACCAAAATAATAAGCTGGTGCTATGTTTTTATAATAGTTTGGTGTCTGTGGAAGTCATTTGCAAAACAGACCTGCAACCATTTTGGGAAAAAGTTTTTATCCAGCAGGGAAATGAGGCAAGAGGGGGACAGCATGCCCTCCCAATCCATCACCCAGTTAAATGGCTCCATCTGCTGCTGGTGAGGGTTGATAACCAGCTCTTCCAAACATAAAGCTGAGGCCGGAAATGATTACATGAAATTACATGAGGAATAGTTAGTGGAGGAATTTGCAATGATATTATTTCAAATAAAAAAGGGTATATTTGGTATAGTTATAGCTGTTCAATAATAAAGACACACCTAGCTTAGGGATGATGTTTTTGACCATAAAAGCTTCCCATGCTCCCACTGTGAAGACATTCTTCCATGGCTGAAGGATGAGGCGAGCTGAGGCGTCACTGGGATGCCACCGCTGCAAAGCGTTGGCCAGTTTGCTCCTGATTGGTGGGTAAAGAGGCTCTAGACGTGATTGGAGCAGAAGCAGCCATGGGTGGATCCAGGAGTGGATAGGCACTGTGTCAGTTAAAGGGTTCCAATTGTCCACCTACAAACAAAAATATGAGACATTTACATGTGCATCCATCCATTTTCCATCCATTTATTCCCTCATGGGGTCGCAGGGGGACTGGAGCCTAACCCAGTATTCAATGAATGAGAGGAGGGGTACACTCTGGACGGTCTGTCAGTCCATCGCAGGGCCACACAGAGACACACAAGGACAAACAACCACACACACTCACACCATGCAGATTCATCTGAAGACGCGTCTTACCTCTCGCTGTAGTCGTGGTACGATAAGCTGCTCCAAAAGGTGATCCAGGATCCATGGCGGCAGAAGAGGAGCCCACATTTCCACACAGTCCACCATTGGCCCGACTATCCGAGGCTGCCAGGCCGACACGCAGGAGCGCATCACGGGGAGCCAAACCTCCCATAGCAGTCTGAATCAACGACAGAAAAAACATCAATTACAAACGAAAACAGAAACGCATTTAATTTTCCCCAAAAGAACAACGAACCACACATTTTACATTAAACTGACCTGTGGTAGGGATCCGTGTTTGAATCTGGACCACTGGAGTGCATGTCTCTGGATTCAAGGATTGATCTCCACTGACCAATTTCTTCCAGACAATGAGTGCAGTCCTGAAAGAATTTTCATTTATTTATTTATTTTTTACAAAAGTTCCAGAATGCCATCTCAGTTACAGTTTATTTAACACATAAAGGGCATGTAGGTTCTTCAATAGAAGATTACTATAAAGCAATACCTTCAATGGGTCCCATGAGCAAAGTTTCTCTTTAAGTAACGGATGGACAACAGCTGCAGCAAGGTCTGCCAACCCCATCATCTTATACTCTTCATAGTAATCAGTTTGTAAGGTCTCAAAAATCCGGGCACACTCCTAAACAGACAAATGATAAGCAAAAATGTTTTTAAAAATATAGAGAACAGAGAGCACAGTTTAAAATCCTTATCTCAAACAGCCTGTTGACTGTGGTGAGTCAGTGAGTGTTCACTATAATATCAACCTGCAAGGCGGGCCCCTCCCCTGGTGCCGTCTCCCCAGAAGGAAAGCGGTCGACCAATGCCAATACAGATTCCATTCTTTGGATGGCATCTTGCTCCATTTCCAGTCTGCTCTGCAATGCTCGTGACTCATGGCTCAGAGACACAACTACGTCTTTTTCATGCTGCAAACGTCTGGCTGACTGCAGAAAACGTGACAAAAGAAGAAAAGGTGTCTAAGAAATCATAGACAAACTACAACATCTTAGAACAAGCCCCAGTCTGGTGGTCTTTGCAGAATTATTCATAAGTCTATGCTGTTGGCATATATTTGTGGAAGAAATTCAAATTACCTGTAAAATATCCTGTTCTGTGAGGTCTATCAGAAGCTGGAGGTTGTGCTCAAGCTCAGGGAGAGCAAAGCCAGAACCCTTCTGGTCCCGAATGGACATGCTGGGTGGAGCTTCATCAGGAACGCTGTGCTTGTTGGATATTTGACTGTAACTGTAGTAAACCTTTTGCTCTCTTCCAGTCATATCTATCACCTAGACAGCAACAGACATCAGTTTGATTAAATCAACAATCTTAAATGTCGCTGGCAGAAATGTTTGATCCATTTATCTAATTTTTTTATAACATAGTTTAATGAATGCGGGTAACGGAATGATCAATATACTGAAAGTGAATCTTTGGTGTGTGGTTGAAAGAGTAACCTAAAATTTCAAACGCACCTTGACCTGTGCCAGCTCCCCTGCGGATGCAGCTGTGCTTCGACCAACTATTTTGCCTTTAGCCTTCAGCTCATCTGCAGTTTTGTAGGAGTACTTGGGTTTCTTCTTTCCTGCAGCGCCTGCAGGATCCTTACGCCACTGTCCTAGTTCCTTCTGAAACTCCTACATCAGACAGTGAAAACAACCGTATACAAACTCTGTCATATAATTCCTGGTATAAAATCAAACTCCTAAAGACTTAAATATAGATGACAGAGAGTCAAAGACTGCCTTTTTAATTAATACATTACCTTCTCCTCCTCCTCATCTGAATCAACCACAGGGAAGTCCTGAAGACTCTGATGGGTTCGCTCATTGCCATAAGCGCCAACTGCTCCTTTTCCCTTTCGCACCTTTGCCTCAATAGGGTTTACAATACCTGCAGCAATAATGAAGCGCCAAGACATGACTCTAACATGCTCATCTTAAAACACATACAATAATCGTCTGAAGAATTATTCATATCATCTGTACCGACCTTGAGCATTCTTTCCCAGGCCTTTTCCTGGCTGGTAACCCATTTTCTGCAGAAGTTTCTGTCCAATTCCCCTAGTGTGCTTTTCCCAGCTACCAATACCTTGACCAGACTGTATGCCTCCTGCAAATCTCTGCGACTGATTTCCACGCAGATTTCCCTGGAAAACAATGTAATTGTGATACATCATGTCATTGTTAAACCATTGAAACTCTGCAACAGAAACAATATATAAACACAAAAAGAATCTTACCATCTGAAGTTTTTTTGGAGCTGAGACACGAGACGGGGGTGGTGGTGCTGATGCTGATGCTTCATCATCATCTGAGTCATCAGAGCCTCCTTCCTTTGGCTGCTGTTTCTCCTCAGTTGCAGTCTTACGGAGACCAGCACTCACAAAACTCACAGGAGTAGTGTAGTCTTTAGATCTGGCAGGAACATCAGATGCAATGGAATATATAACATCTTACAATTGAATGTTAAAGCTGAGAAGTGTGGTAACAACAAACCCAAGCTTTACTTTTTGCCACCAAAGCTTGGCCTCTCGTCTTCATCTGAATCCCTTTCAGCCCAGATGCCATAGGTGGCCTGTTCTTTGGTTTGCCTAAATCTGCGACGGTCCGGGTTGAATTCATTAGCCAGATCCCATTCCGTCACTTCAAAGCTCTCAATTTCTACACCTTCTTCCTCCTCCTCCCTCCGTCCATAAAGATGGGACATTGACATTTCTGAAAAAAATAAAATAACAGGACGTTCAGAAGAAGAATAAAGACTGAAAATGATCACATATATGCACCTCTTTCACAACACCACAGTGCAACTGAAAGCCCAGCAAAAACCCTTACCATAAATTCTTATGTTTTTAAATTAATATGATTTTGTCAATGCCTTTCAATTCTCCCTAATAGTTTAGACTGAGACATTAAAGATTGTTTCTGTAGTGACGATATGAGATGAACATCATTTAGGATATCGCTAGTTTAAAAACAAACTCAAATACTACAAAAATGTGTTTAAATGCATAATCATAAAAATACCGCCTCTCATGAGTTTGAGCTAATATTTACTAGCAAAGGCTAGCGATAATTAGACAATATCAACGCAAATAGCTGGCTGGACATAAACATGTTAGATGTTAGGTAACAATAAAGAATCTATTGTAACCAACTTACCAAACGATGTGTTTTTTCCTATAAGGAGATCAATAACTCATATTTTCTAATGCGCTAATAACATGAAAACCAGTTAGCTAAGAAGACATTTCGTGTAATGCACGAACATTCAATTACTTCCGGTTCAGTGGTGTTACATCAAATATTGTATGACTGTCTGTAGATATGTACCTTACAACTTTTGTACCTTCTCATAAATGAACGATAATCCCAATAATGTCGTGCAGAAATAGCGTCATTTTAAAATTAAGTTATGTCAAAACTTTTACGCAACTGCTATTTAAATATAGTTATTTTTTAAACTACTTGTTATTTCTGAAAATTTGCATTTTTAAAACAAAGATAGAAGAATACAAAAGAATTTGTCGACACAGTTAAAAGCAAGGCAATTATATCTATTTAGAGCACGGGAGACTTTTTGACAACACGTTAGGCTTGACTACAAATAATCTACTAAACAATTAGCTGTACAATTTGGCAACATACCGGAAGAAGATCTATGTGTTGCGCTCAAAATTGTCCCACGTGCTGTGGAATATCCAGCTACAAATGACACATGGAATCATGCTTAAAAAATAAGAGGTTTTATTTCATGTATGTGATAACATGACATCGGTTTGTTAGCGTAAATGACGGACATTGGAGAGGGATGGCAGGTAGCTCGGCGGCGAAAAGGTACATCGAAGAAATATACATCTCATCAGGTGTCTCCAGACTCAAAATGCCTCAAGGAACACCTGGATGTTGGGCAGTTTATCAAACGGATCAAAAATATTATGTAAGAAAGTAACTTCAGGAATACTGTATAGTTTCTCATGCAGAGTAAAAAATATGTCCACAAATCTGAGTAATATTTATACTGATAGTTCGATTTTTGCCTCCACAGGTCTGATCTGAGATTTGAGGAATTTTGTAAAGAGTGGCAAGGTGAGAATTGAAAACCAAATGTTTAGCTTTCTACATAATTACTTTGTTTTCTGAGTTTGTTGGTGAGTAACTGTTAAATGCTTCCCTATAGAGCAGCTGCTGGTGGCAGCATCCACATCTCCATTAAAAACAGCTGAGAACAGCAATGCTGAGGACAGAAAAGATCAAGTTTGTCATCAGTTACAATGTGTTTGTTATGGGCTGGGCTCTTTCACAACGTGTGTCTCAGCGCGATACCAACTTGCCATGTTGCTGATGCTGCTGGAAGCCAGACAGGTCAGACGATTGGCTTCCTCTTTGGTGGAACACACACTTAGGAGATCCAGATTTTTCATGTCTGTGTTAAAATCCTTGTAGATTCCACTGCTGGACTGCTCTGTTTATGATCCTGTATTCTCCTGTGGGGAGAGAGATGTTTTGAAGGAGTTGGGGCTGAATGTACTTACAGGAAATGAGGTTTGTACATGTTTTTTTTAAAGGACACCTTTGTCAGATATACAGTTTAGATAATAATAGTGCCTTTTATCAACAACCGCTATCCTCCTATGCATAAGGAAGATTCATGTCCTATCCCCTGCCTTTACTGTTTATCAAAACAACCTCATATGTACATAAGAGAGGAGTTAAGAGCTTTAGATTAAATAGACATTTATCCTAATGTGATGTGATTTTTCACTGCCTATTGGTTGGATGAAATGTTATGAATTAAAGCATGTAATAAAAAAGAGGGAAAAAGTAATCTGTCACCCTGTATTCTGCAGGAGGGGAAGCACCTTGTGACTAAGCCCACCCTCTTTTACATGATGCACTGTGGAAAAGCTTTGTATAACAATCTCCTATGGAGGAACTGGAGTGCACAAAGTTTGTCTCAAGTCTTGATCATTGGAAACACGTTCAGTGGCATGAGGGAGAGGTTTGTATGAGAGAGATCAAATTTATATTATGTTTGAGTCAGCAGAAGGGAGATGAGGTGATGTTATGTCTGTTGCACCAACAGGTCGATTGAGAGAGAGTTCAAGCAGGATTACAGGTACATCAGTGAGGCTGTGGACTTGTGTGAGGAGAAACAACTGCCATGTCCTTCCTCTCTGATAGATGTCTTCAGTGATACGGCACTCATCACCTTTCCCTCCAGTAGCCTGAGCCGTCTCCCACAGTCCAGCTGGGTAGACTCACCTGAGCCACAGTATCAACACTGTCCCGATTTGGAGATTATACTGAGGGAATCTCAGAGCTGAAACCGGAAATGGATAAGGGCTGCTTTTATTGCTGACTTTTTAAATAAATTTGTGATATTTCAAACCACCATTTTGTCAGACTGAGCATATGTAATGGTCAGTTTAATGAGAGACATACAATGGTGTTTAATAAGGGACTGTTGACCTTCTTTGATCAATCCACTTTTCACGTTGTAACCCACTTCTTCTCAATACTTGCATGTAAAATATCTGTCAGTTCTGAGACATTTTTAGACAAACTTGAAACTTCCAGCTTTCTGTAAAGAAAATCTGTGAAAACCAAGACTCTGGAGTTTACTGCTTAATATAAACTGGAAAAGTCACTGAGACTGGCTGTACAGCTCTGCATTGAACTACATGTAGCTGGATTTATAGGAATAATTTACACAATCAGTTAAAAGCGCAGACTATACATACCATTCCATACAGATTGACTGGTAGTGTACTTTACTTTACTTTGCCTTTAGATGATGGTTGTGACATAACACTTTATCGCCAAACAGAAGTTTATGAGACCTTCACATAGGTGACAAATGCCACCAAAGCAGGACCTGAAACATATATTTTCTTTTTCAGTGCTCCCATTCCAGCCACTTATCTGAGCACACAACGATCTGACTATCTAATTTCAATGGGCTGGCTGTCACACTATGGGACAGAATTATCAGGCACCTGCAAAAGCGGCTTTAGAGAGGTACACACCTTCATTACATCTTAAGATAAAGACACCACATATGTTGACCAGATAACTTTATAGACCTTAGGTGAAAAAGTCAGCGACTACAAGCTGACAAAAATATATAAAGGATGGACGTTATATGGGCTTAACAGCCTCACACTGACTCGACATGGTATTCCTACATGAAACGGACTTATTTAGCTGAAGGAGATTTGAGTTTGTGAAGCTTTTTCTTCTGGGTTATTTACTTTTCGTATGGGGAAAAAATACGTACAAAAGTAGAAGCAGATTCCTTTCAGTCCCTTTATTCTTATTGTGTTTCAGCAATTACCATCTTGGCACAGATTCATTGTTACATTGTGAAAGAGACTCTTTAGTTCACACCCTTCAGGTTCAACTTAAAACATCTTGCACTCAGTGAAGTTTTCAGATTAAAAAATGCATTCATCAATAATGACAAAACACCGGATGGCATCATGAAATCTTCCATTCGGAAGACACAAATCAAACCGGAACAGCCAAACAGTGGAAATAGAAACAGGAAAATATCATCTGGCAGAACCAAAATGAGGATGTGGGAGGGCTTTACAGCTGCCAGGAATGTCTAAAGATTCTGTTCCTCTGTGAAGAATGGGTGCAGGTGAGTGGAAATCAGATAAATGGAAATCTGTTCTGAAATCTGCTTGGGTAATAATCAGCAACTAAAGTAAAATACCATTTGGTCAGTATCTCATGTGACCATCGATCGATAATATAGAGGAGTGCTTCAATTACATGGTATTCTACTACCCTCACCAGGATATTTAACAGAAGAGCAACAGAAAAAGTTAAGTTGTTGTGGGGGATAAGGCCCCAACGTACAGCCCACATTATCTGGGACATAAAATAATACTCGCATTTTTATTAACTCCATCTAACTCTACTTTGGATCAAATTACTTATTGGATCCTGGGAGTTTGTCTTACAGCAGTGAATTTGGAAAACGTGAACAAGCATCTTTGTACCACCTGTTCACTCTTCCGTAGCCCCGCTTTCAGCACCGCTATCTACTCCATTTGCTGCTTTGGGTCCGCTTCCATTGGCTAAGGTTGGTTTTGAAGTGACAACATCTGCCCAGCTCCTGTTTCCTTTATTAAGGTTCACATCTCCATTTATTTCACCATCCTCCCCTGACCTTAGCTCATTCTCTTCATTTTTTACCTTGACCCCAAAATCTGAATCTGCTCTGTCATTGTCTACATCTGTTTCCTCCCCATGTTTGCTCTGCCCATTTAGCTCCACCCCTTGACCATTAGCCGAGACTACTGCAGCGCTCCCTTCAGAGGTGTCTTCCACTGGCAGCTCCTGCTCGCTGTTGTTCTCTGTTGCTGAGTTTCCTTCATCCTCAGCTTCCTTCCCGCTTCCTGTTTCTTTTTCCAAGCTTTTCTCTCCTCCTTGTAAGAGGCCAGTAGTTAGTTGGATTCCCAGCTCCTTTGCTGCTGCCGCCTTTCCAGGTGTTTCTGCTTATACTCCTGGAGTCTGTCACTAAGAAGATACAATGACACTATGGGTTACACTTCACAGATAATTTAATTATGCTAAATACAATTGAAAATAATAATAAACAATAATAAAATAATGAAGTCCAATAAATATGAACGCACACTGGTTATTTGGAAAACTATAACGATCTTTTATATCCAATCACGTTACTGACTTGTTGCCATTCACCCTCATTAGGGCAAATTTGACCATTTCTGGAACATTTACCACAAATGCCTTTTCTGTTACTGAAAATGTCTTTTCAGTAACAGTTTTTGTTACAATGCTTTTGTTTGACTTTCAGTAGACTATCTGTGGAACATAATTACATTATAACCCAGTAGAGAATATTTACCTCTTTGTAATCCTCCTTATGCCTGTAACCAAAACCAGCTGCTCCAGAATGGTGTCAGATGTTGGGCTCAGACACTGAAAACAGAGACAACAGCCAAGTCACACACGTTTCCCTCTCCTTTGTAAGGATGTGAGCAGCTGTACACACCTCCACAGTTTGCTCGGTGCTGTCAGCCCCTGCCTGTCTGAGAGTGCGCTCCACCTTCACTGCCTGCTTGGTTATGGTGGACAGGAACTCTTTGCTGCATTTTGACTGTGGGTGATCCTCCCCAAACTTTGTAAGAGAATGGTTTTAAGGTAATGTACACAACCACATTACCATTGAATCTTTCCAAATCTCTGTGCATGCATTAACTTACCAATGTAGTAAAGGCAGTAAGGGCCTCTTTCTCATGCACCATAGCGCTTCTGTAGTCACCCTTACTGCACATCCACTGGGCCAAAAGGTGCTCACTACACAAAGAAAAAAAGAAATACGGTAGGTTACCTGACTGGTGTTGTTGACAAACTATCTATGTGAGCAGTGAATGACAAGTTACTTTAGAGCTGTATGCAGATCTGTGGGGCCGAAGAAGGAAGTGTTTAGTCTTAGGGCATTCTTCAGGAACGGTTCCGTCTGATCTTTTGTCAGTAACAGCCCAAGGCAGCTCTGCAAGGAGACAGTGAGAGGTCTCAATTATTTTTTTCTAAGAAGTTGTAGTAAACATGATTCCAGTCACTGTGACCTACATCCAGTGTTGCGGTGAACGGGTGGTCTTCTCCGTGGACCGTTAGCATGAGTAGACGAGCTCTGAGAAAACACTTTTGAGCCAGACTTGTTTCCCCTCCAGCATACGTGTAGACGCCCAAAAGAGCCTGTGTTCAACGCAATAACAAAATATTGATCACATCCTGACGTGCCTCTCTCCACATACACATAGCTAGATGTGCAGCTAGTCTCACATATTGTTGAATCGTGTTGGGATGGTCAAAGCCCAGCACCCGCTCGCTGATGACCACAGCTTTCAGCTGGATGCTGCGGGCCTAAACATTAAAGAAAGTAGAAGCAATTAGAAATAAATGCAAGACTAATTTTATGGACCATGTGAAAATAAATGCATAAATGATTCTTTGAAACATTTATTAGCAGTGGAGTAAGACATATTATAAAGAGGTATCATAATAGTAACAATATCCTTATCTTAAAGAATACATAAATTCTGTTTAAATTTAATTGTGGTTTAACATAGTTCATTGCTGACTGATCAAAGCAATTTGCTGTATAAGCCAGACCAATCAATTCCACAAGCACTCTTTATTTCAAACAAAGAGCACTGGGGGTAATATCATTTCGTGGCCTGGAGAAGATGAGAATTAAACCACTGACCTTCCAAATGGTGGATGATGGCTCTATTTTCTGAGCCCTATTTGAGTTCAAATGTGCTTACAGGCGGTAATTAAATTATGTTCAGCTATATTTATGTTACCTTCCACCACTGCTAAGTACAATTGTGTAATAAAGAGGGACTGGTTTTGGAGTGGTGGGTCTACCTCAGCTGCCTTTCCCTGCAGGTAGGCCACCTTGGCCAACAGGCTGCGACAATAACAAGCTTCAGGGTGTAGATCGTCACACACTCTGCCAAAGAGATACACTGCTTCCTTCAGGTGCTCATGAGCCTGATCCAGCAGACCTGTAGGTGGGAGATACATAACCATTCGTGAAAACATATACTTGTAGACAATATTAAATCCCTAATATCTGTTCAAAAATATATGATGGGCAAAAAGACTGCAGTCTGCTTTGCAGCCCTACCCTTTTGAATGAAGTTCTTTGCAGCATTATATGCTTTTAAAGCATCAGCAGTCTGGATCTCAATGTGCTTGACTACAGGGAAGATGTTAAGGATGTCATCCGGACTGATGGGGGCTTTGTTCTGGTTATCAAGGAAGTAGTCTCTCAGTCTCAGCTGATGTGAAAAGAGAATAAGAACTGTATTAGCTTTTTCTTAAGAAATAAAGATACGTTTCTAAAAATGGTATGTTCTAATATCACAGACATGTGTGCTCATCTAATGTGTAATTCAAACAGGATTATATTCAGGGCATCCATGCTTCTGGTATCTGTTACCTGTACTCCAGTCTTTAGACAGAACCCTCTAAGTAAGGAGAGTTTCTGAAGGCCGTAGTGTTCCACCAGGTAGTTCGGGCCAGAACTATGCCAAGGAAAGAAAACAGTCAAACATTGTAACATTACATAACTAATAAACGGAATCTTCAAGTAGACTGCATGTTCTAACCCGAGAATGTCAGAGATGTCATATGTCTCTGCAGCATCCTGACAGACTAGATTCCACAGCTCAGCCCCTGTGAGCATGCTCCAAGGTGTGTTCTCAGAGGCCCCAGCCCCACGGCCACGACGCCTCGACTTTTTCTTTGAATCTTCTCCAACTTGAGAGGGCACGAAGTTGGCAACCAACAGGCAGCAAAGGAAGTGACTGACAGCTGTGGAGAGACAAGGTATGTCCACACCCTGCAAAGATATGAGAGAGGGACACTTTATGCCTTCCAGGGCCAGCCCATTAACACCTGCTGCTCAGCCTTAAGGGCTACAGACACCTGGAGGTGTTTACCTGGAGGAATCCGTTGAAAACTCTTCTCGCTGATCGAATGAAAATGTCACCAACTGCTGATCTCTGTTGAAGAGACGGACAAACAGGGAGAAAGAGTACCAATCACTGTAAAAAGAAAAAGCAGTTGCACTATACATGGTGTTTTAAAGTTAGCTGTTTTAACATTAAACAAACCCTTATGTGCCTCAGGCGCTCCTTGTGTTCTGAGTGATTGATGGTCTTGATCACATGGCCCAGGTACCGGAGATTGATACCTTTCTGATGTAATGTCTCCTTTAAAGAAGCACCATCCATCGGTGCCTCATTACTTTGTAGACAACACTGCACCTATAAACAGACACACATAATAATAGTTGGCTGATTTATTTGTACATAAAATATGCCTGCGATGGCATGTTAACACAAAGGAGTCCCTCACATAGGCTGGTATCTGGTGTGTGATGATGTAAGCTGCAGCTTCCCTCAACAACCTCTCCTGTAGTTTTGTTGCTGTGCTTTCCCCAGGAGGAAAGGATATCCCTAAACACAAAGCAGCAATACTATAAACTTCAGTAAAAGATCATAAACGGTTTGAGAATTTCATGGGAAGCCAGTGAGCATACCAGGAGAGAAAACGTTCGGATTAAATCGCATCTCAAAGATGATGTCACTAACTGAGCCCACTTTTTTACAGGCCGCTCGTACTGCATCAGTGGCCCGAGAATCACCTGCAAGGACGAAAATTCGGGAATTTTGAAAAAATCTATAAAATATCTTTGAATTTCAGATCATGCTCATGTATAAAAATGGTTCTTACAAGCTGTTGCACATTCTTCAAAGCCTCCATTTTCATCCAAACTCTCTCTGACATGCTGAGTGAACTGACAATGTCTGAAAAAATAGCAAAGCAGAAATAAACAAACACCATTCAAATCTGAAAAAATGTAAGTATAGTGTCTTTTAGGACTCACTTGTGTTGAATGAAAGATTGCACGAGTTCTGGTCTCAGCCTACAGAGGCTATGAGGGAATTTTTTCGGAAGTCCACAGTTTGAGTGATAGTTTTCTGGCCAGCCACTGTCTGTCTCTTCATCCTCTTTTGAGCTTTTGCTAATTTCGTCATCCCCAGTAACTGTTTGATTTTGTGTCTCAACCTCTGGACAGAAGTTGGCATCAGCTGGGAAGCTTCTAAACACATCCAGCAAGTAAAACCTTCCATCAGCCCCCAGCAGCCCCTGAGCATCCACTGAGGTAAACAGTGGGACTTGATGACCGTTGGGAGCCATAACAACATGTCTCTGGAGGGACAGAGATTTGGCTGAGTGAGCTAAGAGTGCCAGCAGCCGTCTGCGATGGGGAGACTCTTGGGGTCCAGCATTCACCCCATAGAACAAACCTCTGAACACAGAAGGAGAGAGTTCTTTAACAGGTTCCCAAGGACATTAATCATTTAATTTAATAAGCCTTGAGGGGGTACCTTGAGGCAGGAGTAGCTTCCTGATTCTGCTCTTGGCCTTCCAAACCAGGAGCAAGGCCCTGGGCAGACAGGCGCACTCCTCTGTAATCTACAATGGCTGTGGGCAGAGTGTGCAGCCCTTGCAGCCCGTCCAGGTCATTGTAAGCTTGCACTGCTTTAAGCTCAAGCCTCTGAGCGGCTCTACAAACATAAGATGATTGATATTATTAATACTTTACCATCTTGTGCTGTCGTAAGAGTTTGTATGGTGTGTTTTGTCTCCTCCCACCTGCGACCCCTTTCATGGCCAAAGTCAGCACTGGTCGCCCCCTGGCTCATGAACAGGCCATTCCACAGGAAAGCTGGGTCCTCTGGATTTCCATTTACTGGCTCAACAAATCCATCTATAACAGTCTCAGCCCCTTGCATGGCAGCCCTCACAAATGCACTATTAACCTGAGGCAAAAGTAAAGTAGATGGGGAAGTGAATGCCTTGCTGATCAAGTTCAGCCACATCACTTTATTAGTACCTACCTGGAGCAGAGCTTTGTCTCTTTGCAGCCTCTGATCCAGACTTGCTTGTGGAAGATCTCTCGCAGCTTGTAATTCCTCATTCCAATCTGGAGCCTATATATGTCACATATACACACTTATGCACGTGTAGCTGAAAGTTACACCTTTGTCAACGGCAAACTACTGCCAATGAATAGTTACAAACTCGTGAGTTGCACATAACCTGTGTCGCTGCCTGTTCATCCAACCCCAGTCTACTGAAGGCATTTTTATGAGAGCGAGATGTACAGGGGGGCCCAAGCCAGCTAAGGGTGTGATAAGGAGTGGGCATAGCTTCAACGGGTGGTTGCTGAGGCCTAAAGTGAGACAGAGAAGTTTAGTCCACCTAAATCTGCATCTCAATTATCAGATAGAATTATTATTAATGTCACTGAAATGAACTGAATAAAAAGACAAAATTATACCTGCTTTTTTGTGTGGTAAAGGTTTGTTTGAATGCAGGGCTGATATGACAGAGCAGGTCGGTGATACAGTGACAAACTGCTGAGGACTGTGCAGGACGTGGATCAAAGACATCTTCAGTAGACCTGTGGATGGCACATAGGAAGAAGACAGTAGTTCTTCATGTTAATTTCAAAATGAAATGTTGTCAGATATATTTAACGGACGGGGAAAAGAAACCCTAACTTAACCCTAACCCTACTGGCAGATTATTCCTGCTCTCTGATTTAATACCAATGGGAAGTTTGAATACAGTTAATTTACCTATTGAGAAAGAAACCCTTAGGACAAGACGTAATGTCATAACGTCGCCCCTCCATTGTCAACACTGTGATGTACATGAAGTCTCCTTGCATTTTCCTGTGTCCTGGAGGTGGGTTCCAGCAGCTCAGTGACAGGTCCTTTAGATAACTGGGGGGCTGATGAGGAAGAAATAAATAAACAGTATGTCAGCACATGATTGCTTGGTTGAACTACCACAATGCTGATCCACATATTTGACATAAACACACCTCTGGCTGAGCGCTGTGTGGCAGCAGGGCCATGAGAGGTCTCTCTGAGGAGCCCGGTAGGAGGTACTCAGGAGCAACTCCATCCTGGCTGGTTGATTCTGCTTTGGCATTGATTAAAGAGCGTTTCGGGATCTTTCCATTTGGTAAGTTGGAGTCTACACCATACAGGGAGAGATTTCACTGACAGTTCCACACTGTTTTGTGTCCTATGGTTGCCTTCAAGTGTGGATGTGGGGTTGTGTTTACCAGGTGTTTGAGAATGTACGAGTGTCTCCAGTACGCTTGGAGAACGTCCTTCTCTTAGTGCATCCTGAGGTCCAGATGTTCTCAGCAGGTCAACAACACGAGCCAGGTGAAGCCTGGCTGTGTGGGAGGTGTATGGTTCTGGGAGCACATGCATTGGTTGACATCAAATTTAGACTGAACCGCTTTATGGAAGTCACAGTAGGGTGGGAAAGGTCTAATGAAGTTGTGACAATTAACAGCTCTACAGTTCGGTATGATACCATCCACTTATGGACAGCGCCTTACTGAATGACAAAGTTTTATGTAACATTTTAACAGTATTGGCAAAGAAAAAATAGATAAATGATGCATTACAAATGTTTTTTGTTGAACTGATTTGACAGCTTTTACTTATATGTTGGCATATTGGTCAACTATTCTTACAAAGGGGCTAATCCTTAAAACTACCTGAGCCATAGTATAAACGTTTTACAACATCTATATCTAAGGTCCAGGTCATAATTGCTACTGCATAAAGCACAACCAGACCACACTGTTATGTGGTAAAATGCAAGCTTTCTACGCAAAGCTTTTCTTTAAAAAGAAACACACCTTCCACTAGGCGAATGGTGGCTCCGGTTTTCAGACCCTTGACAGTTTGCAGTTCTGCACTGGGATCCAGAGTTGCACCAGCAAGTGAGAGAGACAGGTTGGAGCGTGGATGCACCTCATTCCTTGAAAGCAGAGTCATTATCGCATCCTGAACAAGCCAAAATCCATGAGCCTATAAAAAAAAACATCAAGAAAATACTCTTTTGTAAATGCATTTCTTTGTTTAAAAAAACAAACAAACAATCTCTGTTTCTATCGTCGGTTTCATACCTGCAGTTCAAATGGCTCTACCCCTGCTCCCTGTATCTTCACAGGAAAAGGTGTGTTTTCTTGCCCCTTCATACCCATGGAGTCATCTACAACAGGCAGGCTGGTCGGATCTGCATGGTGAAAAATAAAAGAGGCAAAACTAACTTATAAGAATTCTGCAAAAGTACATTTTTGTTGACTTTTTCACACAACATTCATTCATAGTTATCGACTCAGGGTGAGTCTGAAATGCCTTAAAGAGGAATAAAAAAGAAACAAAATAATATTATTTAATTCTGACATATCATGCTAATCTTTCAACACGCCTAATTTCTCACCAAGAGCTGCTTAGTTGAAGAGTGTGAAAAAACCTGCTAAGGGAAGGGAGTGGGGGGCTCGAGGGTAAAATCATGTTAAAAAAAAAAAGAAAAAAGAAAACATGCCAGAGAAAGTGGAAATGGGGTGTGGTTACTGTTTTACAAATACTTGTAAAACTAGAGGCAAAGCAGGACTCAGCATGTTCACAAACAGAAGTGTGACTAAACCTGTTGAATTTGCCTATTAGCCTAATGTCATCTAAAGGTGAGGGGACAACCACACCCACAACAGGCATGTGGAGACAGCCTAACGTGACAGTCAAAAAAGAATACATTTTATAAAGAATTTAGAGTTTAGCTTTGACAAGCCAACCATTTATTCTACACTGTACCATCAGTTATTGCTGTCAGTCTGGAACTACTTCAATATTGGAAAGCCCCCAAAATATAGCTGGTGGTGATTGGTGGAGGAATGTCCCTCCTCCCTTCAAGCTGTAAACCATCACTTGTTCTCTTCAGGAACTGTTGCTTTATTACTATTACAAAAATTGTTCTCAAAATGTGACAAGTTTACTTTGGAATTGTTCCCTGAAACTGGTTTTCAACATAAAGTAGGATGTAATAGAATTTACCTTTTTTTAAAAACATATTTTGGTCTTTAAAATTACTCAACCCGAATATTGTGATGCTTTGCAAACATACTCGTATTCTATGAAAAAGCACCTCCAGTCAATCAAATCTGACGAAGAGTCAACACATGCTCTACTTTAATTCAATCATTCCTCTTTGTAAGCAGGGAGAGGCTGGTGTGAAGAAAGGTTTTTTAAAAAGGGGCCATTTGAGAGGGTGAAAACAGAACAGGAAATAATGCGGTGGATAGTAATGATGAGGTTGTTTTTATTCTGATCAAAGAGCAAGCTGAGTTTAACAAAAAATCTGAAGCAGTGCTCCATAAAAGTTGCTAACTGCAATGCAGATTCTTCAAGAGGCGAGTCATGTTCAGAACAGCATTGGAGTGCCAAATATCCCACCCTCCCTCACCACATTCTCCAAAAAGAAAGGCACCAGGCAAAGTAAATCTGTTCTGTACTCACCAGCCTTGGCTTGGGTTCTTCCTCCTCCTCTCTTCACTTTGTCCTTCATGGCTGTGTTTTTAAAAAGTTGTTGCTGTACTGACTTCTTTGTACTTCAAGTTGCCTCAATCTGTAACAGCACAGTGCAGCTGTGGAAGAAGGGGTTGGAAATGTCTTGGCCCAGCAGAATTAAGCTAAACCCTGACTGAACAGGATCGGGACTCCTGATTCTCTCTTCCAAGCTTATCTGTTCTAGCCTATGTAAAAGAAAAAAGGCCACTCCCTCTTATTGCTCCACACAGCCTGCCTCACAAACTTTGTTGGACTGGGTGTGTGTCTGCTTCCCTCAGGCATGTTTCACTCCTCCCCCAAGCTGTGGAGTAGGCATGAGAATTAAACACATAGTATTTAGCAGTAGTTTGACTCCAGCCAACCAGCCACACTGCTTTTGCGTTTAAGAATGTTGTTAAAAATGTGGAAGATCATTGAATGCCTGTGTGTTCATAAGTCTAAATGGTCAAATGAACCAGAATATAAATAGCAACTACTTGCGAACAACTCATTGTTCTCCTCCACAAAGTCAAAGTCAAGCAGACCTGTTCTGCAGACTGCAGACCCCAGGTAGGATTATTCTGTGTTTGTAGAGATGCAACCATGAGTGACTTCAACTTCTATAAATGGGTGTGCCTGTGCATGGCGTGGTTACTCTCTGCGGTTGAAAAGTCTACACCTACTGCATTCATATGCAACACATAGTACGGATATATTACAGGCCAAACAAGTATTCAAGTTTTCCGCTTTGGCTAAATTGGTGACTTGTTTGGTATATTTGGAATGTCAGGAAATAAAAAGTAAAAAAAACAAAAAAAAAAAACAGGCATATTTCATGGTTTACCAGGCTTGACTTTCAGGGTTTTGAAGAGGTTATAGCAGTAATCTACTGCATGTTTGAGCATTATTTGCTTGACTTTTTCACTGAGTGCTATAACAATTAGCACATAGTTTCAAAAAGGTTTAGGACGCTATGACACGGTTTGTGTTGTCTGCAAATCTATGTCCCTCAAAAACGTTTCAATCAAACGAGTTTGTCGTGTCATGTGATATTTGAGAAGCTCTAGATTTATTTTGACAGTAAAATAACAATAAACAAATTGTAGATATAGCTAATCCATGACGTAAGATTTTTATTTGGGGGAGGTGCCCCGGTGTTGTGGGGGTTTTCAAGTTACATTTGTAATCCTCGTAAATCGGAGCTTTACAGAAATAGTTCAGTTTATGACAATAGTAATTATTTGAGCTTCTCGTTTTAATTTAAAAACAGATACAATGTGTTACACTAGAAATTTTACTCTGAAGAAGATGGGATATATAGTTAGTTTTAGAGAAAATACTTGTTCATACTGCAACTTGAATCAATCTGCATGTTACTTGCCTTATAAAATCAATTTTTTAAGACTTTGACTCCTCAAATAACTTCCTCTAAGTAAAGGTCTCAGTGATAATTCCTTATTTGGCGACAGACGTGTGTATTCCCTCTGCTTATCTGGTGATTGTCTTGTTTCCGAGGACACTTTAATCTGGCATCACTTGACAGCAGGCTGTCCTTGGCTAGCTGTGTTAGCAAGAGCTAGCCAGCAAGCAGAAACAAATTCTCCGGGAGAAGTCCACGTGAAGTTATCGGTGAGTTTTGTTAAACATCAGTCTGTTAATTGCTCTTGGACGCTGGACAATTTAGACAATATTATAACGAAGAACGTGTCCCTTGTGACCTGTCCAGTTATCGTAACTCAGCGCAGTCTCATCTGTCGATGGCCTCAATGTCGTGTTGTTGTGTTTTTGCTTTCTTCAAAATACCCTAACGACGTTAGAAGTTACCGTGAAAGTTGGTCAGTTTGTTGAGGACGATCTCCTGATTTTCTTTTCAAGCCCACCTTTATCGTAAGAGGTGGCAATGCTGTATGATGACACTTAAACGGGACAATGTTTACATTTTCCATGTAAACGCTACTGACCAGTGGCTGAGGAGAAACCTGTCAGTTATTGGTCAATCAGTATTGGAAGCTAAAGCTGATGTTGAAACGCTGGTAGGGTGTCAGCCAGTGGAACCCGACTTGTCTTCTTTATCTCCCATCACCTTTGACTTGGGATCATAAATCTAGATGTTACAGACAGCAGCACCTTATTTTTCTGTCGCGGTGCTTTCCATCCTCCTGTTTTCTCATTAACTTGTTGTTCTTCCTGTTCTGCTTCTGTGGCCCTCCCTACCCACCCCTCACTTTAGAGTTAGGGGTCGAGCTAATGTCATCCAGTCAAGGAAAGAAGGGGGGTCTATCTCAGGCAGCCCCAAACGACAACACCCCTGAGTTGTTGGACAGTCGCAGCCAGACTGCAGCCACAAGCAAAACGCTTGAAGAACAGGTGAGGCACCCTGGTGATTTTGTATGTGTATATAAACGTTGACAGTTGATGTTTTGTTTTTTTTACCATGCATCAATTTCACAGAATCTGTGCAGAGAATGCCTGAATAATGTTTGCTTTTACACCTCTTCCTTTCTATGCCCCATAATCATGTATTTCTGTGTTGCAGTTATTGAAAATTAAAAGCCTTTTATTTAATGTGCCTTTTTTATGCACTTTAAAAGAAACTTAACATTACTGTGTTGGGTTATTTTAGTCTGGGTGAACCTTAATGTCAACTTTAAGATATTTAAGTTATATTTTTCTTTGCTTAGTGAGTGACAGAAATGAAATTGAGATGATGAGCTGGGAAAGGATTGATGCTTTCATTGCATGCTGCTCTCTTTTGTTTCCCGCCTTGTAAATCTGTGGATTTCATGATGCGTCCCTGGGAGAAAATAAATCTAGCATTTGTTTTGGTTCTGGAGCATTTACAGTTGATACAATTCATCTTCTAAATGATGTTTGATAATATATGATAGCAGATTTACCTTGAGAATGCTACACTTAAAAGCTGCTTCTACTTGCAAAGTAACCAAAATTATGTGCAATGTTCAATTGTATCTGAGGTGCTTTCCAATTACTTCTCAAATCTACACTACTGTGTTATCTCATTGCTATATAAAAGGGCCTTTTTGATATGACAGCTATGGGAATGGTAGACTCTCATTCAACAGGTGGAAACAGCAGCCATATTACCAGGTCTATTGATTGCGGACCTAATAAATTCACCACAAATAGATTGTTTACTGTGGCCCTGCGATGGACTGGCGGACTGTCCAGGGTGTACCCCGCCTCTCTGCCATTGACCACTGGGATAGGCTCCATTTCCCCCTGTGACCCCATTAGGGAATAAGCGGTTACGATAATGGATGGATGGATGGATGGATTGTTTACAGGCTTTTGCTAGTTTTTCTTTAGGAAAGAAGAGACAAGACACAGCTTGTAGAGGAGAGTAGAATGAAACAGGGCTTTGTGCGTCCGGCCAAGAGGGCGCCTGATCTTTTGTTTTCAGACTGCTCTGTGCTTTGTCTGATAGTCACAGATTGCTTTTTTGGATTTTAGTGGAATGTTACAGATGTCTGTGCTGTGTCATTCTTACAATTGCTGAGAAAAAATGCTATAAAGTGGGCAACCACAAAGAAACTTTACATAGAAGGCATTTGTTTTTCACTCCGTATCGAGCAGGAATGCATGCTAATGCTGAAGAGGAGGTTTTGACTTCAAATCTTGATCATTTTGCATTAATTTTTGCACAGGTATCACCTGTTTTTGATGAGACCTCTCCTTCTTCAACATCCTCCTTTGAGATGCTTGACATGGAGTCGGTTCCCGCTCCTTACCAAGAAGTTCAACCGCACTGGTTCTTCTGTTATCGGGCCGATGACAACACATCCTGGCTTCCTTTTAGCAGAGAAGACTCCGACAAACTAGAGGATGCTTTCCAAACTAGTAAGACTATTTATTTTTACAATTATCTTGAATACAAAAGGATTACTAACATCCAAAGGAGGAATTTAATTGCAACAAATTCTACACCAAGCCGAACCTAAGTATTTTCTATGGTTCACTTTTAACTCCATATTGAATGTCACTGATCTCTTCCCAAATGTTTTTTTTATTGTTACATTTTAACAGCATTTGTTTCTGCCCACTTGATTTTGAAAGAAAACTGTTTGTCATTCAGTATTTTGGAAAGTTTCCCAATTTTTGGAGGAAACATTTAAACTGAAAATGGGTCCTCCTTACATGGAAGTAAACTAATCCCACCGTGATGCTCTGTTGTGAATGGGGGATTACTGCTGCAATGTAACACCATAATCCTGTGAAAAATGTACTTAAAAGCTATTTTTAGCAGTGTCATTATACTGTAAACATCTGTTTCATCACTATATTTAGGTAGATAAGTTCTGTAACATGTCTACTGTAATGCTGTGTAGCATTTGATATGATTATAAGAATTAAAGGTGCAAATATTTTTTCTCAACAAATTCAGATAAGATATTTAGATTTGCTTGGATGCATTTTTGGTAAATAATCTCAGAATACTTACCTTTTACTTAAACCTTTTTATTATGGAAATATTCAGTGTTTTTATGTCTGTGTTCAGGTGGAAAAAAGACTGATGATGTGGTTGTTGCTGTGAACGGGGAGCGGTATGATGTACATGTCAAGGAAAGGAATCGCTACGCTGTATATTGGGAGCAAGCTCCAACTGAAGTCCGCCGCTGCACCTGGTTCTACAAAGGAGATAAGGACACCAAGTTCATGCCTTATGCCGAGGACTTCAGCAAAAATCTGGAGGTAGTCTAATACTGATCGTGAGCACTCATACCATGCTGTCCCCCCCTTTAGATACTAAGTTTACTCTTTTCTAAAATAGACTGTTCTTAAGTTACTGTTTTTCTGTATTATCTGATATTTTAGGAAGCCTACATGATAGCAGTGACGTTGGATGAATGGAAGAAGAAACTGGAGTTTCCCACTGGAGAAACAGTCATCTTACACAACCCTAAGGTGAGCTGTTAAAACTTTCTACTCAACCAAGCTACAGAATATACAGTCAGGCTAGAAGGTGATGAGTAACTAGTGTCACATGGGACAAGCACAAATCCTTTTCTCATTTGACCTCTCCTCTATCAGCTGATAATGCAGTATCAGCCGATAGGACTGCAGGAGGACTGGGTTTCTTCTCCGTCAGAGCAGACTCGACCACGCACGGTGAAGAGAGGAGTAGATAGCATCTCTGTAGAAATACCTGACGGTATGAACATGTGTACGCTGTAAAACAATTATGTAGTATTCAGGATTTGCCAGTGCTTCTGAGCTCACGATGCATACATGTTTCAGGGGAACCAGAAGCCGTGGACCACCTTGTCTTTATGGTGCATGGCATCGGTCCCGCCTGTGATTTACGCTTCAGATCCATCATACAGTGTGGTACGTTTGTATTCGCAGATTTCTATCGATGCTTATGTTTAACTGAGGGAATTTATGGAGCCTTTTCATTTACATGTCTCCAGTAAATGACTTCAGAAGTGCTTCGCTGTCCCTCCTGGCCTCCCATTACAAACGTGCACTGGAGGAAGGCCAGGTTGGCCGAGTGGAGTTCCTTCCAGTCAACTGGCACAGTGCTCTGCATGGGGATGCCACTGGCGTGGATGAGTAAGGCTGTTGGGACATGGGGAGTTCCAAAATTGTAATAATGTACATATTTCTCTGTTAGCTGATGAAAAATGAAACATGAAAAAGATGTTTGTTCTTTTGTACTGTCTCCACCACATTCCAGGGACATCCAGAGGATCACTTTGCCCAGCATCAGCAGGCTGAGACATTTCACCAATGACACGTTGCTGGACTTATTTTTCTACAACAGCCCCACCTACTGCCAGACCATAGTGGACACAGTGGCCTCAGAGATCAACAAGCTACATGCCCTCTTTAAGCAGAGACACCCAGAATTCAGTGGGGCAGTTTCAGTGGTGGGCCATAGCCTGGGTTAGTGTTGCTCCAACACAAATACACACATTCACTGGCAAACAAATTACAAATATACTGACTTTAATCTGTTCTGCTATGTTTCTTGTGCTTCAGGTTCTCTGATCCTGTTCGACCTGCTTACCAATCAGAGAAATGGATCTCAAGCTAGAGAGGGGGTACAACATGACACGGTCACTAAATTTTAGCATTAATAGGTGCCTCTCAAAACATTACATTTTTCTCACGCTCTGTCTTTTGCTGTGATTAAGGCGCCTGCTGGTGAGTTATCTCTGAACAGGGACACGCTGGAACACACCCTGAGCAAACTGGGCCTGCAGCAATACCTGGATGTGCTGCAAAGAGAAAGCCTTGACATGGAATCACTGGTATTTCATGCATGCATTCATAATGGCATATAAAATGAAAGATGAGTGTACATTTATTTCTGCAGGCAGAGATTACGTACACTGTAGAGACATTGAAAAGCCATTTTCCACTTTTAGTCTCTCTGCCAAGACGGGGATCTCAAAGATTTAGGAATTCCACTTGGACCTCGGAAGAAGATCTTAAACTACATCAAAAGGAAGTTCCTTCCAGCGGTAAGTGTTAACCAAAACCATTCTGTGGTTTTCTGGTTTTAGTTTTATATAACGATCCTACCATTTAAAAAAACACCTACTATAAATACAAACAGATGTTTTTAATCCTTTGAAAGTACAAAACACTACACAAACTTCGTGTTTGAACATTTAGGATTTTTGTTGCATATTTTCAGCTTGTTCATATAATCCATCATATTTTCCATGATTTGATATTTCTTAATCTAAATAGAAAGCTGCAGCTCAACAGCCACATTCAGAATTTCCACCTCATGCAGCCTGTGATGGTAACAAGGATTCTCCAGAGATGAGCCCCCAGCAGTCCTACTTCCACCGAGCGCAGTCGGTCACCAGTCCTGTCGACTATGAATACTTCGATGTCGGCATTGGGCAGGTAGCACAAGTCCACACTAGTACAGTATCATTTTTTTAGTGCTTGGTAGACGAAGCTTTGGCACGTCACCGTCCTGCTTCTCTCCTTCCCCTGCTTTCCCGGACAGACCAATGGAGGCATAGCCAAGGGACAGGTGTGTCTCACATGGTGTCCATTCTCTCCCAGGCCTTGTCCCCTCATGTACTCGATCTCACTTTGCCTGGACTTTCTATTTGCATACTATGCCATGGTCAAAGAGTTTTGCTTGCTCCCAAATTGTGTTTGGAAATCATGGTCTTGTCACTTTGCATTCTGATTAAAACACAAAAAAGAGTGTTAAATACCAGCATACACTCTGTGGCTGTGCTCTCATTTGTGTGTAAGGGGTCGTCTCCCCAACCTCTGCTCTATGTACATCTGCCAAGACAAAAACAGTTATTTCCATGGGTGTATATGTCTTCCGTGTGTTCTCATAAACCCAGAGCAACAGAAATGGCACCAAACATTTATTTGCTTACATATCTGACAGTAAATTCTCTCCACAGGTTTCGATTGATTACCCACAATTAGCGTTCCAGCCTCAGACTTTTTTTGCTTTTGGCTCTCCTATTGGAATGTTCCTGACTGTGCGTGGACTCAAACACATTGATCCTAACTACTCTTTCCCGACATGCAAATGTTTTTACAACATCTATCATCCGGTGAGCAAAAACATATTTACCTTGTCTGTCTGTTGAGGCTCATGATACATTCTCACAGCCAAAATGGACTTGCCTTTCAAATGTACACAGACGGTGTTTTGATTGTTTCAGCATTTCATGGTGGAAAAACATTCACTGCACTTTACTTCTACATTAACTATGCGCTGCTTCCGAGATAATATTGTACCAGCTGGTGCTATGAAAGTGAACGCTTAATAGTAAAACTTCTCTTCTTGCATCCTTGTGTAGTATGATCCTGTTGCCTATCGGATAGAGCCAATGATTGTTTCAGAGGTGGATGTGGAGCCCATGCTAATACCTCACCACAAAGGCAGAAAGAGGATGCACCTGGGTATGGATCTTTCCTGGACTTAGTTAATCTGTACCTTGGTATGAATTTGTGTTAAACTTCTGATTTTCTTGCAGAGCTAAAAGACAGCTTGACCCGAATGAGTATGGATCTGAAAAACAATGTCCTGGGATCGCTGCGGACCGCCTGGCAGTCCTTTGCCAGACTACCTGTTGCTGCACTGGAGGAAGGAGAAACTACACATGACACAAACTCTCTGGAATCAGAGGGTAGGAAATCCAACTGTCATTACTTTTTTATGTCAGAATCCCGTGCGTGACTGTTTAAGCGAGAATGAGAGTAAGAAGGATACAGTGTGAGAAAAAGTGTGAGTCTAACCCCATCTCCCCATAATGCTCTCACCCCTCTCTGCATGTCGCTACTCTTCCCCTCCTACCTGGTGCTCTCTACTGCTCTCGTCAACTTTTACAACTTTACCTTGAACCTCAGTGGTGCACACTACTGTTAAGAGGGAAGACAAAAGTTCTCATTTTTGGACTAAAGTACTTGAGTGGCCCAGGGCCCTTCATAAAGATTACCAAAAAGGTAAGCCAGGATAGTGATAAGACTAACACTAATTATAAAAATGAGTAATTATCTTATTATATACGTCTGTGTTAGAGGTTAAATGATCTAATTTACATTCATAGCTCTCTCTCTGAAAACCCCAGCAGATTTTTTGAAAGCCTGTGAATCTATGTGAACAATCTTTCCCTCACATTTTGCTGCACCTTCTGTAATCTGGCAAACTATCATCTTTTGTCATTGGAAAAAAAAAAGAAATGAAGTCATTACTACATTTTTAGTTATTATATATCATGCAAATACTTGTTTTGTTGCTAGAATACTCTCATAAGCTGCATTGGCTCAGTGGCTCAAGCTTTTTATTTTGGCCCATTCTGAAAGAGTGCCACAGGCTTTCGCTGCTCGTTTCGCTTCTCCTCAACTGCATCATCACCTGCTTCACATTTAGTTATTTCAGCCGAAATTTTGATTTACTGACACCACGCTTGGGGCTCTTCCTCCCTCCTCTGCTGGAAGCCCTGATTGGCTGAGTTCTCTGAACGGTTCACTGTTCACCAACATCATAAAGCCCTTTTTGCCTTGGGCGCTTTTCTAAATGTGCTGAAGAAGTAGCACTAGCTGTTCTGTCATTTGTGTTTTGTTTTTTCAATTTAACTGGCTGGATCTGGACCAATACATTGTGTGTTTTAACATTAGTATACGTGTTGGTGCATATCCTGAAATATTGGAACGACCTCTGTTTGTTAAATCATTCAAATATTGGAACAAATAGAAGAGACTTCTCTTTTAAGTAACTCAATACCCCCCACCCCCTTTTTTTGCACACTATTCCTTAAAGAGCTCAGATCATTCCATGCATAACATGTCAGCACTTGCACAGGAAAGTTTGATAGTAGACCCTCAGGGAGTTTTCAGTTTAAGGTTAAGAGTCATGATGGGATCAATAAGGTAAGTTATTTTATACTTAAAAAGCTTTTTCTGTCTTTCAATTGACTCCCTTAACTGACACCCTTACAGCACTTGCTCTTCGACATTATTCAGACCATAGCTAAGGTTTCACACCATCATTAAATGCCAATCAGACTTTTTTTCAACATTAGACATAACGTATTGACTCACAACAGTCTCAAACATTTTAAATCTGCATCATCACTCTCAGATAATCTAATGATTCCTCTTCCTGGATGGTTATAGGTGATTGATTAAATTCCTGTTCATTCAATGCCTGTTGTGTTTTTACTTCTTATTAGCTTTTAAAATATTGAATTAAATATCACTTAAACTTTCCCAATAACTCTTATTCTGTCCTTAATGACAACACGAGAATTTGTAAAACAACACATTTTATAATAAGATAGAAAGCCGATATCTTATCATAGCATATTATAAAATCCTTCAAATACAAACTTATCTGACGAGCAGACGGTGGATTAGCATTGTGTGTGTGATTAAAAAAACAGAGCAAAGGTGAACTGCGCTGTTTTACATTCAACCTGCTTTGAATGCCACTCATAGCAGCCACGCTCCTGCGTCTCTGCTGTGTGATTATGTGTTCCTGCTTTGCTGAATAGGAGAAAATCCACAGAGATAGCTCCGACTTGTTACTGTTTCGGTGTCCGTCCATACAGCCTCATGCCTCTGTCCCTGCAGTGGTGTTTGCAGAGGCTGAGCCCCCAGTGTCAGTGGAGCAGCCGGAGCAACCTGAGATCAAGATGGGGATGTTGAACGGAGGACGACGGATTGACTACGTGCTTCAGGAGAAACCCATCGAAAGCTTCAACGAGTACTTGTTTGCCATTCAGTCACATCTATGTTACTGGTGAGTCGAGCATATCTGTGTTTTATTTTTATTGGGTCTTCCTCACTTTTTTATCTCTGTCATTGTTTTGTTTTTTAGTTGATAATCAGATAATCTCTCTGTAATTTAGGGAATCGGAGGATACTGCTCTCCTGCTGCTGAAGGAGATTTACGACAAGATCGGTGTGGCCTTTGAACAGCCACAGCAGTAATAAAGTTGTATGAATGAAGACGTCTTGCATGACATTAGCCTGAAAATGAAGGACATCTGACAGAGCCAGACATTTGACAATCGTCCTCCAGAATGCCTTACTGTCCGAGCGTAACCTGACTGCCAAAGCCCCTCCTCCTCTGACAGAGAAGACCATTTGGCTGCAGTCAGGTGATCTTGGTTCACGTGCTTGTCAGACTTAATTTGGGTCAAAGGTGGTTTCCTAACATTTCCTGCCTCTGCAGGATTGGAGCACTGACAGCTAATTTAAACCCACCAAAACATCTCTGTAATGCTCCCTTATTGCACTTTTGTTGAGTCATTATTTTACTTGAATCTGCACTTTTAGTGACTGAAGTAACATGCTGATGTCCAAATCTTGATTATGTTTACTGCAAAACGCACAGTTCTCATGGATGAAACTAATGATATTGGACAAAGTGTAGTTCTGCTAGCTTTTTGTTGCATTTCAAGAAGAAAAATATATTTGGATATTTTAAAACATGTTAGAAATATTAGATCATATGAAAATTATGAAGACATTTATTATTTCATTTTTAACTTAAAGTTCTCTTGGCTTAATAAGCTGCCTAACGTGGGATCACGTTGATTGATTTATTAGTATCTTAAGAAGAAGGATGTTGCTATTTAGTCTCTCAGAGATTTGCTGGCAGCTGTGTTCTCTCTCTTTTGCATCAAATCCACTTAAAAACCAAAGCTGCCACGCCTCCACTGTTACAGAAATGTTGGTCCTATGCATTTAATTTCCAAACAAAATCTATCATGCTAATCAAATATGCACTTTTCCTTCTAATCATGCTTTTCATTTGTGGTAGCAGTAAGCCTCATGATCACTCCATCAAATGGATCTGAATGGGGGTGTTTCAGAAATTAAGTGCATAAAAACAGGTGTTTAAAAAGACAACTGGGTTGTCTTGTGTGGTTTGTGTATGCATTGTAAGAATGTGTGCATCTGTAATATTTAGATTGTACAATTAGGTTGTTTCCATCTACTCTGGGTCTATGTCATTCCTCCTTTACCAATTTTCTCCATATTTGCTCATTCTCATACTTTATCTTACATATCTGGGGGGCCAAATCATAAAAACATATCTTTTATGTCAGTGTATTAAAAGTATCCCCTTTTCTGTCTGGAAAGCACGCATCTTGTCTTGTTGGAGCAGATTTTCCCAGCATTTTCTCATTCTCCTCCATATTGCAGTTTAGTAATTGTAAGACCCAGCAATAACAAACTGAACGCTTTTTACTGAAGGAGCACGATACATTTATTATGAAGAGGTTATGTGTTTTAAAGCTTTTCAGTTTTATATACGACATAAATTAGAAGTTTATCGATGTTGTAAATTAACCTGGATCCACAGAGTTGAGGCACCTTGTGCTTGAAATGCTTGACTTTATATGAAACAGACTTGCTGTGTATTGTTAAGACCTCTGGCCCTCTGGGTGTAATATCGCACAATTAATGAATACATCTGGTGGTTTTCCTTTTAATCTTGTTATTATTTATGTCAATCTCTGTGTCTAAAACAGTAAATGCAATATTTGAACATCCTTTCTTTTTTTTCGTGGTCATAACCACTGTTACAGCATTTGATACTCACTGACATATGCCAGAAAAACGTACACCTCTTTCCTGAATACATACTCTATGAATGTGGTTACATGTTGTATGTGCCATAATAAACCATTTCTTGTGACTTGTGTTCTTTGGGACTCTGGATTTAAAAACTAGAGGATCTAACGAACTGTCAACATCCTATTATTTCCTTTTTATTCTTCAGGTGCCATAATAAACTTTTAGCACACCTTTAAATTAAATGATTTAACATTTCTAAGGGGAGAGGTTTTGTTAAATCACAGACTTGAGTTTAAAGATAAGAACAATGTAAATAAATATAACACACCGCCTAATTTGACATTGTTGATGCGGTCGAATATGCGCATGCGTGTGATAAATGAGGCGTGGCACACAGCTGGTGACCTCACCTGCGTGTTGTTTAACCGAGAGGCAGGTCCAAGTAGGAAACTTGTACTCGGCGTCTTCTTTTTAGTTAAAACTGATGCCACTGCTCGTTTGGAAGGTAACCCGCCTGTATTTCGCCCTAAATGCACTGTGTTAATCAAACAAAGACTAGTTCTGCACGAACCTTTAAAGGAAGGCAAATTTCTATTTTAAATCGGCGACAGAACACTGCGTCCATCGCCAAGAAGCAAATCTACTCTATTGTGCAATATTTGTGGCTGTGTCTCGGGTAGAAAATAAGATGTGTTAGGGCCTCAAAATGAACAGAGTTTCATGTGATTCCTGTCAGTGGGAGTTAAAAAGCACCAAAGCCTCTCTGTAGTCGGGGGTCAGGCTGATGATGTGCAGCATCCTGTGACTGATCTGAAAACGCAGGTTTTGAGTCTTTCTGCCCACATTCTTTATGAAACCGAGTTGTTTGTCACGTGTTAATGTGTCTTAATCGTATATTCCCGCAACCTGATTTGAAGGTGTGTGCAGTCATTGCATTCAGTAAATGCAATAGCAGTAAATGGTCAACATTGGAGGGGGTGGGGGGGCTTTGGTTCACGGCATGTAGTGGGAATGTGTTTACAACAAGTGGAGCTGTGTTGTAGTCCACCAACTCCCTCCTCCTGGATCTCAGATCCATCATTCAGCTGACTAACAATAGGAGAGACCCTTTCTCTCTTGAACAATACTACTGAGGCATGCCAGACACACACGCCATCTGACCCCCTCCTACACTCTAGAATTAAACTACCCCCCTCGCACACACTCAACCCCTGTCTTTCCCTATCTTTGGAAGGGCTTTGGTCTGCTTAATGAGGAATTGTAAACCCCCCCTGGTTAGTGTTTGAAAGAGAGGGAGATGATGGAGTCTGAGAAGTAGAGCGAGGAGGCGGGTCTGTTACCGGGACGCTTGGCGTGTGCTATTCCTGAGACTATAGAGCATCAGTTGAGACACCAACAGAGGAAAGAGGGTTAAAGGAGAGGCTGGTTGGTTGCATGATATTTAGTCCATCATGAGAAGTGGCACATCGTGGGGCTGTGAAATGGCGGCAGGCTGCCTGGAGGGGAAGCGAAGGTGAACCTTGGACGGAGAACGGGAAAATCAGAGCATCTGGAATTAACCTATAAGAAGCACAGTCTTTACTGTTGCCATGGGGGGATCCCTCAGCCAGAACAGGAGAGGATCCGTCAGCTCTCCAGGGAAGAAAAGCAGCATGTAAGACCATTTTTGTTGTGTTTTGTCCATGTTTGTGTGTAGGTCTGGAATCTGTGAGTTTGTTATCTTATAGGAAAGAGGAGGGGAAGCAGAGGACTGGCAGGGCAGTGCTCCTACCACCATTCTACACTGTTCAAAGCATCAGTGGCCATGCTAGTTTGAATGATATTTAGATATTCAAATATGACAAAGGGCAGAAGACAAAACAGACAGAGGAGTGGAATGGTTATGTAAAGTCATGAACAGGAGCTGAACATGAGGGAGTAGCCTTTTGTGGTTTTAACAGATTCTGCTGATGTAGTTTAAGTGTTGTTCGGGAGATAAAGGCTGCTTTTGGCTTTTAATTATTCAGCTGTGACCCTAATTCAAATGTGGTATGTTAATCATACAAGCTGTGCAGTTTATTTCTGGGATAGCTGGTTGCACAAAGTCCTGTGTTATTCATGGAGCATGCATCCAAAACAAACATTGGGATGTTTGAGCTGCAACTTTCCAGAGCTTTATTCTTGATTTAAAAACATGTAGAAAGGAAGCAAATATGTCCCTATGCATTAATCAGCGTCAATGTCAATAAACTTAATTCCCTGTCGCTTTCTCACTGTTGTAGGTAGTTTTCACTCGGCTTGTTGTACGTGACATTACAATTTTTAAACGCCTGTGGAAGCCCTATGTTATGGATTGGTTTATCTTAATAATAATGTTTGTGTTAGATGCTTTGCCAGCATATATTGAAGGGGAATTTGCTGAAATGTTAGAAAAACATACAGAAGAAATGTGAGCTGACAGCTCAGAGAGGCAATAGGTTGTACTCCTTGATATTCTGGTGTTGAAATATGATCCCCTCACATCACAAAAGCACCTTCTTCATTCATCTGTTTTTTATGCAAGTCCAGGTGGGCGTTGGGTACCTCCTACTGGAGTGACCAGGGAAGCCAATCAGTGCTATGAGCTGGCAGCTTTCAGCTCCTGGACTAATTTTAGTCAGCTTATTCATCCATTTTCAGGTTAACTGGAGCAGTCTTGGATGCACTGCCCTGCTCTCTAAAAGCCTGGAGCCTACAGATACTGTAGTCCCACTCTGTAGCTGCATTTGGAGCGTTACGTTCTGCAATGGTATGAACTGCAAGGAACATTTGGAAGAGAAGGTTTTTCTTATATCTGGAGAAACACACTCCACAAAGATCTGAGGGTGAACGTTTTATCATTTCAATGCCTTCACTGACAATGTTTTTTTACCTTAAATATCAGAGCTGAATTATAAAAATTGCTGGAGGAAACTTTTTGAAAAAGATACTTTATCTATGTTTCTGATCAAAACATAGTTTTTCTGTATCTTATACCTGATTCAAAAGGTGAAGGAATGAGTAAATGCACAGAAAAACATGGGGATGGGATGGGGTAGGGGGCGGGGGTTGCACGCTCCTTTTGTCCCGTTCTGTTGAGGAACAATTGCTCAGCTGGTGTCTACACATGGCTCCTTTTTGCCTTTCATGCCTGTGCCCCTCATGCTGCTCCACTGACTCTCTTCCCCAGCACCACTCGGGCTAACGCTCGTCACTTTGTATTAGTTTTCTAGTTGGATGCCAATTAACTGAATGTTCTCTGTGAAAAATTAGACATCGGTGACTAACACCATTTCGTTCCCCCAGAAGGATTGCAAGGAGTTTGGAGCATCAGCCTTGATGCATATTTTTATACCTGCTATGAACCAGTTGTGTCTTGTATAACTCTGAGTTGCGTTCAAGTGTGTGCTGTTTTCCACTCTAAATATGTGTGCACGTAGTCTCTTTGTGGATGTTGTCATACACTTCAGACACCTTCCTGACTAGTTGCCATGGTGACGCCCTCCTCGGGCTCCCAAAGGTGACATCAGACTTGTCTCGCATACGGCTGCCTTGGTTTCTCCTCCCGATGCCTCCTCGTGTGGCTCCTTCCCCATCACTGAAGCGGAAGCCGAGTCTAAAGGCTGCAGTCTCTACTGATATTTTCCGTGCTTATTTTAGCAGTGTTACCTCTGTGAGCACTAGATGGAGCTGTATCATATGACGTATCCACACACTATCTGACAGCTCTGGAGATGGAGTTAAGCTAGACTTGAGGTTTGCCATTTGAAATGTCACGAGTTTCGCTTTAGCAATATTTATCTGCAAGATACGGGAGAACTGTTAATCTTCAATGACTCATATAAACCCTGATTGACCTGATCCAGACATTAACTGGAAGTCTACCTTGTGCTCATAAGCTGGCGCTAACCTGGTATGGTGAGTCCTTTTGGCACTAAGGGTTTTTACTCTTTTTGTGGATCAGCCTTGTTGCAGTACGTCTGTGAGAAAAGTAATGAGATTGTTATTCAGGGAGTTTGGAGGCACATTTGACTCGAGCTTTCCCTGCAGGCCCATCTCTCAGATTTCCCAGAGCGCTGCATTGTAACCATTGATCAGTCTGATCACAAGCGAGGTCAGCTTTGGCTGAAACAACGTTACCATCATCGCCCCACAACCAATCTTATTAAAGAACTTCCTTCTGTGAAAAGTTAACCATTAAGCTTGGCCGATGAGGAAACAAAGCACATTACTGGCTAAATTTCATGAGATCTGGCCTAACAAATCCCCCCTTTCCCATCAGACATTAATATTTATTTTCTAAAGACATAAGATATTTACAGTTGACCTTAAGGGAGTCCCTCCAGACCACCCTTTGGAAGGAGCATGATTTAGACTTGGAAGTGGCTCTGCAGTGAGATTCAGGCTAAATTCATATCAGCAATCAGGGCATTAAGAGCAGAGATAAACGGTTGACATGCCTCTCTGATCCCCTGCAAGTGTGCGCACATTCACATTTCCCTCATCCAGTGTCTGATCCCCTGTGTTGTGGCTTGCGGACATTGCTGATGTTATTCTTAGCTCATATCCACACATGCTGCTATCAGTCAGAATCGAATTAGTGTTTAAAGATTTGCATTCTTCCAGGGTCAACTTATTACAAATGTGTAAAATAGCCTGGCTCGTGTATTTACTGAAACATGTCTCTCTGGGTCTGGTGTCATTGTGTGTGCTTAGCTTATTGGTGCACGTGTGGGTTTTACCACTACTCTGCTATTTGTGGTTTCAGAGTATTATATAAGAGCCGATTCATTTTCCTCATATTTTTTAATCTCCCTCAGTTGTCCATTCTACCAAAGAGAATCCGTGTTTTTTGGGTTTCTTTTTATGCTGTCTGCATGCCTGACAAACAACACAGCTCCAAGGTGTGGCTGCTTCAACGGTTGGGTGTCCTTTCATGTTTTTAGAGGCGTTACAGGCTCCAGGGAGATTTCCCCCTGTAACAGGTTTGTCTTCTCAGCTGTTGGGACAGATAAGAAAATAAAGAAAATGACACAATGCTTAGAAAGAAACGCAAGCAAAATGCATAGCGTCTAATCCTGCCCAACCTTCACGCATTTTTCTTTCTTCCCCTTTGATATCCAGAAGGCTCTCATTCCCACCGTGTGTGAGTGTGTGTGTGTTTGTGTCTCAGCCCTTTGGAGCTGGTGCTGTTTTCTTTGTGACATGCGTGTTAGTTGAGTGGTTCTTCTGTTCGGCTGTGAAAAAATGGAACAGAGCCTCTTTCTCAGTGTTCACCAGAGTGAAACATTGTTTACATCTGTGTGTTTTTCTTTCTTTTTTTTTAATGCACATCATATTTACATCATACAGCAGAAAAGACGCTTCATTAAAAGAGAAACGTCTTCCATTTCTCTCTATCTTCAGTTATTTTGCACAGTGGCTGAATCATCCTCCTGTTATTGCATTAGTCACAGTTCGTGTTTTCCAAAGCACACATATCATTCAGCCTAGATACCCGTGTGTGTGCGTCTGTGTGAGAGAGATGTACATAAGCGAAAGTCTGGATTTTGGAGTTACATAAAGCACCAACTACCAGCGGCAGAAGAGCATGAGTGAGTTCGGATAGGGCTTTCATCTCAGTTTCTTTCAGCGTGATGGGCAGCTCCGTCACTGCTAAATCTGGGTCTGATGTATTGATTTGTTGTCGTCTGGCCTAGATATTTTCAGTGAACAATGGGTCCTCAGTTTGATTACAATTTGTGGCATTAACCACTGGTTAGATTTCATTTGTGTGCCTGAGCTATAGAGGGAACAGTATTAGTTCCTCTTGAAAACATTTGCTCAGGTTTCCTCTTATCCCTCACATGAAAAGAAGCAGACAGTAATTGGTCTGTTTTTGCAAAGCTCTGTCATAATTTCCAGCAGACTTTACTGCTAAGTAAACAAACCATTAACATCTCAGATTACACTCAGAAAACCTGTTGAAACTAACGGTGATCATACCATACCTGCGTGATATATTTTTCAAGCAATAAGAAAAAGCTGTCATACTCACAAAAGCTTAAAAATGCAAAGTACTCATGAAATACATGATCAGAATTTTCTTTTTGAGTAAAGATCTGCATGTGGAAGCATACTTGTAGGGTTTTGCAGTGGTATTTTTAAGATCCCAGGTCATATCCTTCCTTTTTTCTTAAAATACACTGTAGGCCACATCATTTCCTCCCTTCTACCCTGATCTCTTTCCATATGTTCTCCCTTGGAAACACAAGTGTCTGGTAGTCAGTCTGTTCCAGAGAAACCAGACTCTTCTTTCCTCTTAAAACGGGAAGCACTCCCTCTCCTTTCCCCCTTTCGTCTCCCTCACAAACCCGGAGGGAGCGAACACGTGGGAGCAGAGCGAGCCGTTAACCAGCTGATCGTCCACCCAGACAGAGTGAGGAGAGGCAGAGAGAAGGGAGCCGCGGGGGGAGTGACTACTGATGCTCCAGTAATCTGCACCGCTTTAGTCACCGCTTTTTGCTGTGGAGAGCAAAGCAGAAACAGAAGCAGCCGAGCTGTGTCAGACACGTTCCTCTCGCACGAGCGTCAACAAAACACAAACGGGCAGGATGGGAAAGCAAAACAGCTCAGCCAGATGAGGAAGTGAGGCTCCCGTGTTCTTGCAAGACTAGGAGGCAGCTCCAAAGGCTTTTAAATCTGCTGTTCGGAGGCTGTTTGAAAGTGGGAAATCACAGAGTTGCCCATTTGCTCGACAGCAACAACAATCTAAGGGATCCAGAGGAAGAGAAGGTTAACTGTTAAACCTTCGAGCTCACATCAACGGCCTGTAGAGATGTCCTGGTTGTCTCCGGTCCAATGGGCCAAATGGACATGGTCAGCAGTGACAGGAGGTGGAGGAGATGATGGGCAACCAACAGCCAAAGAGGAAAAGTAAGAGGGCACAGTGTGTGTGTGTGTGTGTCTGCGTGTTGCTATGCTTTGTGTGTGTCGATGAGGGCAGATTCTCCTGAGTCATACTGACAGGTGAGGGATGTACGCTTGCACAAAGAGCAGGGATAGAGTGAAGCTGTTGGATTATAAAAAGAAACAAATGACCAGATTTCCGGTGCGGACATTGTCTGCGTGTACCTGTTTTCTGTCCATCATCGTCATGGCTCTCTGAGCCATCGGGCCCAGAGGATGTAACCGTCTAGACCTGGTGTGTATTTGCGTGTTTGTTTATGTGTGTGAAGCATCTGTGGCAGTTTGCAACAGTTGACAAAAGCTGGGGGGAAGGAATAAAAAGCCACAGTTTCCAAAGCTTTTGATGGAGTTTTTTTCTTTTTTTTCTCCTGCCCTTTTCTAGTTTCTAAGTAACCATCCAAGACTGCAGCCGTTGGGGCCATCACTGGGACGTGTGTGTGTGTGAGGGAGAGTATTTTTTATAAGGATTAGCTCTGATGTTGGGGTTGTATAGCAAGTGTGGGAATGTGTGTGTGCATATGCTGGTTATCAGAGATTAAACCTTATTGGGTGCTGGCACAATGAGCTGTTCCCCCTCGTGCTGTTTTTCATTAGTGTGCGGACGTTTTGATGTGCATTTAAGTGGCTGAGTGCGGGAACACACACACACACACACACACACACACACACACACACACACAGACCCTCATTGGTGTTCTTCCCCCTCCTTTATTTTCTCCACAGTTTGGGAACACATTTTGGCTTGGTGTCTAGGCATCTCACTTAGCAAGCCAAAGACTGTGTGCATGTTTGGGTGTGTGAATTCACATCGAGGGGACACAGTGTTTTGTTTTTTAGGGGCAAAGGATGCAGGTGGTCTTGGAGTGATTTACTTCCTCTTCTCTCCCTTCCTCTGACTTCCCTCGAAATAAATGTCGCTTGTTTATTTTGAGCTGCATTGAACTGTGAAGTATATTGTCTTTGTGTTTTTTTAAGAAAGCGGAAAACTCGTTCTAGAGCCGATTGTTCTTTGTTAGAATGAATCTGATGAGTAATTTGGAATTATTCAAAAACATTTCCATTGCCTTTAGATATTTAGACAGGTCAAATTAGTCAGTGCGATTTGCTACAAATCACTCTGTAACATAGGATTGGCAGATTTTCTTTAAGCTATCAATTTAGTCTTCTTAATCTTTTATAACCAGTTTATCTCTGTTTTTGCAACTGTCATCTTTACTCAGTTTATTGCTCTCACCTACAGTTCAGACTCCGAAGGGACCTTTGAGACTCCAGAGGCTGAGTCCCCACAACTTGTGAAGCTGATAGGCCAACTGGACAACTCCACTCACACAGGTGAGATTTAGAAATTCAGCTGTTTGATTGGCCAGTGTTCTTATAACTGTCAAACACACCAAAATGTTGACACAAAATACTATCAAGACGTTCTGGGTACCATTCTACTTTGCAGAAAACTAGTAGGCCAGGTTTGAAGCAGTATATATATTTTTGGCTTAGTCTTAGGGGGTCACACCAGTTATTCAGATAACTCATGTAACTAAGGCTAAGTAACATAAATTTCAACGAGTAGATGTCCAAGTAACACGATGTGATTTACCTGCTGGGGACATCCGTTCCATCTGACGGATGCAAAATAGTATTTGGACAGGTTGATGGGTCACCACAGACCTAAAACCGAGAGACAGACAAATAAGCACCCTCATATTTCAGTGAGAATATTCTCTTTGGGAGAGGTTCTAAATAAAACGGCTTGTAGTTGAGTTTTCTCTTTATAAAGCCGCCAAAGAATCTCACTGCTTTCCAGTCCCTCCTCCTCCCCCTTCTGCTTGAGTTGCCCTGCTTTCACCCACACAGACATGAGTGGCACACATTGCCATGGTAATGGGTTATCCACTGTGAGATGTCCGCTCAAAAACGAAGAGGAATCTCAGTGCTTTTCGCAAACTCAGATTGTCAGAGATCATTAAAAGATAATGATTAAAATGTGGACAGTTTATGTGAATAGAATTGATTTGCATGCATTGATTGTCTCAGCTGTTCAGAATAAGATCTTCACAGTACATGTAAACTTATATCAGACAGCAAAAGTATTATTGTTAATGAATATTTATCATTACGTAGTGTGGTTTACAGGCAGTAACTGTACTCTTTGCATGTCACATGATCAGAGCAAAATCTGGGTTTGTTTCATAAATAGAAGATCAACTGTGTGGGCAAACTCCTATAATTAGAAGACTCAGATGGCTCTGCCTGTTCATGCGAAAAGCCACATGGCACAATCTACATATGTGTCTTTAAATTATTACACAATTGAAACCTGAGAATGCCTTTTGTCAATGTGTATCTGTTTCTCTCTCACTAACATTCCTAATTCCCCACCATCTCCCTTTCCGCTTTCTTATGTTTGTGAAACGGTAATAAAGCCCAATGTTGTTTGTGTTGCTAGGCCATGTGGTGGGGTGTACTCTGCATGACCGGGTGTGGTTGCTCTGCATCTGTTCCTCTAAAGGGCGTGCACGCTGTGCATCTGAAATTACCAAGATTTTGTGCTGGAGCTCATATAAACTGCAACCATTGCAGCTGACTGATGTAATGAAAAAAGATGTTGGAAACTGTCACACAGTGAGCTGAAACCAGTGACTTAATTAATCCTGTGCGCTTGTGTGGTGAAAACGCGAGTGTTGTGGGTTTATTATTTCGGGGGAGTGATTATTTTCAGCAACAAAGATGCCTGTGTTTAAGCAGCAGAGTGACTCAACTCTGTGGTCGTTAGCATGCTGTTGACGGGATGTCAGGAGACACAGGAAGTGATGCGTTTGGGGAGGAAGCCAAACGAGCTCCTATGAGAGAAGCAGGAGTTTAATCAATTGAGGTCGGTATGAAATCCCCAAATGAGGATAAAAACGTTAACATACAACCAGGGTGGGAAAGTAAGGATCTATGGTTTGCCAACAGCATGGTTTAAGGGGGTACATGAACAAGTACTTCTTTCACCATTCTAATGAGAGCTACTGTTGCTGACGCCAGGTCCTGCTCAGTTACAGTCTGTTGGGGGGAACAGTGGTGTTTTCAGCAGTTAAAGAGTGATATACTTCATATTTACTTTGAAAAGAAGTTGGTCAAAATCAGCTTAAAATGAGATGATTGTTTAACTTTGTTTTCAGCCTTTGTCCACTGCTTTTTAGGACTCAAAGTGGGAAAAAAAATGTTTTTTTATTTAAAAGTGTTCATGTGAAGCTGAAGGGGACTTCATTTTTACGTTTTCAGCCAATAATTTGTAAATAAATCCTGAGTGTTCTGTCTTTTGCTGCCTGAGTGAAACATGCAAAGATCCTCTGCAAGTGGTGCAAAATGCTGTTGCTACCGCAACAGCACTGACTTCAGATTTTATTACAACTTGAGTCTTTAAATTTACTTAATGACTTTTGCGATCCTTTGGGAAATCTTCGGTGTTGGTTATTAAATGTATTCAGTTCCATTATTCCCATGTCATTGATGTAATTGAAGTAATCTCCTCCGATAGATCTACTGATGTCATCTTTACCTCAATCTTCAGAGACCTTTTTGAAAGGGGTCTTTTATTTACTTTTGCTGCATAAAACAACTTGTTTTTGTTTTTTACAGATTCTGATATTTCGAATCAAATTCTTTACAAGAACTCCAATCAAAACGTTACCACAGCTCCGTCCCAAGAGGTTGACTCCCTGAACAATCTCACTGGCTCCTCTCGTAACAATGGAGGCTTAAGTTTGGATCAGAACCTCAATTTGACCCTATGCACAAAACCTGGACCTGAAGAGGGCCTCTCCTCATCCAGCCATCTGTCCCAGACTCTGCGCCCGCCATCTCTGCCTGTGGTCTCTCCACTGAATAAACCTGATCCGTCAGAGGTGGACGAAGAGGCCCCGGTGACGTCTGACTCCAGCCCAGACTCAAACTTGACCACCAGTGATGACATTTGTATGGATCAAGATTTGCTCAATGGGAACAGAAGAGAAATTAGATTGAGCCATGAGACCGACAACCCAGTTATCATGTGAGTAAGACATTTATAGAAGCACACATCCAATGGCCAGTCCTGGCCAACTGTCCATCATGATCCTCTTGTCCCTTTTGGTGGCTTCAGGTACACACAGGCTGAAAGGGAACTTATGTCACTAAGAGACTTTGATTCTGGATACTTCTTCCTTTCACTGGCTACATGAAACAGTAGTGAATGCATCCGTTCTGGCCCAGTGATCCTTGAGCAATCAAAACATTTCTTACAACCTTAACGTGCATTGTGAAAATACTCTTAGCCGTAGTTTTTCTCCTTTAAACTCCCTTCTTGTTGTTTTAATTAATAGAATTTGTTAGATTGTATTCATTTGTGGTCATATCGGACTGTGCTCACATACAGTTCTGTGTGAAACAGTGTCTTGTTGTTGTTGTTTTGTTTTTGTTTTTTAACGACTCCATGTCCAACATCCCCAATGACGTAATTAAGAAGAAAAAAAAAACATTTCTTTTTGGCTACAGTCTGCTCATCATCACAAACAGATGAGCAAATTGCAGTTTTCAATACCCTGCAAGACTAAGGAATGCCTTGCAGATCATTCTCAGGCTTTAGAGGAGCTCTGAGGGGGAGGAACGCTCTTATTCTTTTTATTTTTTGGCTCCGTCTCAGAGCGTTGACTCTGAGCTTGTTATACTAAATTAGTATAACAAGCATCTAATATTTTGTTTAAATTAACGGATCAAATTGGTCTACTTAACTCTGCTCTTAGATGTCTGGTTTTAGGTCCACTAAGTTGCACTAACCCTGCCTTCACCTTGTTTTTAACTCTAACCCCCCTGTTCCATCCTGTGTCTTTTCCTTCCTTTCCTTCCACTACCTGTCTTTCTGTTTCCGAATCAGAACTTCTGAGCAAGTCCATTTCCTCTGTGTTCTGTTGTAAGTATAGTGTAGTTTTCTGTTCTGTTACTGCAGCTCCTTCAGTTCTAAACACATTCATAAACTCCCTGTTAGGTGCACAGCAAAGTAGGAATAAAAGGTGTGACACTTGCGAAGTAGAGGACAGAAAGTGTTAATGGGAAATCTTTAATTCCCTCTAATGCTCTGCTCAAATTTAGCAAACGCTTCCATTAATCAGCTTTTTCTTCTGTGTAATTCAGCACTGTTAGAAAAGCATGTGAGCTTAGCACACACAAAGCAAGGCTATGTGATCCTGCTCAAAGGCTTTTTGTGTCTTCTTTATTTTCTCAGCATTGTTTGTGTCACCATGTAAGCACATATAGAGCCATGACTTGTCTAATCTAAACACTGATGTTGTTGTTCATGCTCAGAAACACCTGTAAAGCAAAGCAAAACCAGCCAATGCAGAAGGACTTGGGTGGAAAGGTACGTTCTGAAAACATTTCTAAGGGTCATGTGAGTAACGTTCTTTCTGTTGGAAAGCGGCAGAGCAGAGGAATGATGAAGCTTTTTGTTGTCTAAAGGATGACCATCATGGAGGCCACGCTACTGACGAAGAGAAGCTGGCAAGCACTGTCTGCATTAAACCAGAAAAGGACCAAAAGAGTGAGTAACAGGATTTATTCTGATTCTTTCTGCTCATAATTTCTAATTGAGTCCGAATGGAAAGCTGATTTTTAACAGAGTTTCACCAGATAACTGTTAAAGTTTAGCCAGCATGCAATAGCTTCCCTCTGGGCAGATTATCAATCGTAGTCAATCAGTACTGAATGGTAACAAGGTCGTATTGTTACACGCACTCAGTGGGTCAATGCGGGTTAATCATTAACTTGGCATGTGCTGTTTTAAAACTGTGGGTTATGAGCTGTGAGTTGGTGAGTTTTTTTTTCTGCTTGAAAATAAATTTAATGTAAATGTAAACTAAGCTTAAAATAAATCCAGAATGGTTTTTCTGTTGTGTAGTTTTATTTTCGTCGACAACACCAGCACGTTCAGAAATTGATGAATGGATGGATGGACAGCCACCTGCTGGTCATGCTGATTAACTGTTTTAGTGTGCATGATTACACTGCTCAAGTTTTCTTTCACATTACATTTCTTTCCTCCCTTTCCAGAGTGCCATTTGATGTCAAAATCTGTGGAGCCAGACTGCTGCTCTGTGGTGAGGCGCACATGCCATCAAACTGTCATGTACATCGGGTTAGATTTCTTAGTGTGGTTTTGTGATGTGATAAACATAGTGATATGACCAGTGCCCACTAGATGTAGCTGTAGACTGCTAAGTCACAGCGACTACCAGCACCCTTGAATAGTTATGTTTGACAAGTTGGGTCTTGTCCTAGAACCACAGTCACAATGGCACTTTCACCCCCATATGTTTTGTCTTATTCAAAACCACTTATTAAAGTGATATAAAACCTTTAAAAAGCAGAACACATTAATAGATTTGTTGTGACATATAGACTGCGCAGTTTAAATCCTACAGAGGAAGCTTTAGTATGATCTGACAACAATGAGTGCAGTAGGACAGCATGAGGTACTTTGTGCCTTCCACCATGTTTGTCTGTTCAAGTGACAGATGGATTTAGATTACCACACAGGAGATTAGAACATGAGTGTCTTAATCCAGGGAAGGGCAAAAAGAGAGAATAGAGACACAGGTGAAGGAAAGGGATTGAGAAGTGGGAGAACGTTGTATGAAAGGCATCCTTTGTTCTCAAGAGGTAGAAGAGATTAGGAAATTTTAGAAAATGTATGAAACTACAAAAAATAATATTTTAGCTGTTCGAAGATATGGCTCACACTGAACTTATTTAAAAATAATAGAGTAATTGATTTTCTAGCTGTGTTGTTTAGTGCTGTTTGTGAAAACATACATTTCCTTTTAAGAAGTTTATGGGTGTTTGGTGCAGCATCATGCGTAAGATGAACGTTAATGAATTTCTTATGCTCTCAGCAGTATGAGGACACGTGCAAACTGAAGAGCTCATCAGGGGGAAGTGAAATGCAGAAAACGGGAACTCAGGTCCTGGATTCCATCTGCATCAGTGAGGCAGAAAAACAGGCAGTTCTCACCCTTATCAGAGAGGAGGTACACACTTTTGTTTGTTTTAGGTTGTACAGTTTACTGACAAGGTTCAGCTGAAGAGTACAGTTCAGCTCACAGACAATGTTTCCTTTCAGATCATCACGAAGGAGGCTGAAGTCAGTGACTGGAAGAAAAAGTATGAGCAGAGCAAACAAGAAGTGAATGAAATGAGGTTAGAAAACAGACGGCCATATACTTTTACTTTGTTGCCACAGAGGGCTGACCTTGAATGTGTGTGATCATGTGGGGTTTGAACTGATGGAGTGGAATTCCATATTATCCAAGAATAACCTTTTTCTTCTATTCAGTTTAACTGTTTAGTGCTGTGGTTTAAGGATGTCATTGAAAATAACAAAAACATTGTGATGCCTCTCTATTGCAGGAAAATTGTCGCCGAATATGAGAGAACAATTGCTCAGATGATTGGTGAGTAGAAAGCAGATGTAGTCTACCAAAACCAGCAATGTGGGATTTCTTGTCCTGCACTGCAAAGCAGTAACTGAAAAGTAATTGAAAATCAATCACCGTAGCGCTCTCTGATTTGTGTTCTGATTTGTGTTCTTCATCAATCAGAAGACGAGCAGCGCAACACTCTGAGCTCCCAGAAGGCTTTGCATGCTGTGACGATGGAGAAGGAGGCCGCCCTGGCAGACCTGAACTCTGTGGAACGCTCGCTTTCCGATGTCTTTCGGCGTTACGAAAACATGAAGAGCACCCTTGAGGGTTTTAAGAAAGTAAGCAATATCGCTGACATTAATTTGCTGAGTTGCATTTTCTGTTGGTGGGAGGAGTTTGTGTTGGTGGTACAAACCTGGGGGCTGAGGGCAGATTAAGGTCAGTATAAGGTTGGAAAATATAGAGTGATTAGCTACAGCAGCAGTTTTCCTTCTTAGTAATTTTTTTTTTTTAACACCTGGTTAAAGTATTTTTTGCCCAGGTCTTCAACATCATGAACCAGTGTTGGTTTAGTGAAAAAATTCCAGGAATATCAGAAGGAGAACGCATTACAGATCATGTTCAAACCTAAAGTCAAGGACAAAATGTTGAATTATGCCAGTGGTCTGGTCTTATATTTGCTTTCACCATTGTATACAGCTGCTAAATAAACCAAACTGTTTGATCTTCTCACGCAGAATGAAGAGGTGCTGAAGAAGTGTGCTCAGGAGTATTTGGCCAGAGTCAAGCAGGAGGAGCAGAGATACCAGACACTAAAACTGCATGCAGAGGAGAAACTAGACAAGTATGAAAAGAGTGTCAGCAAATTAACTATATTTTTTTACTTGTATAAAAAAAAATAATTCCCCTTATTTCTTGCATCTTTTAGGGCTAACGAGGAGATTGCACAGGTGAGGACGAAGTCGAGCTCAGAGAATATGGCGTTAACTGCTAGCCTGAGGAAGGAGCAGATGAAGAACGAGTCTTTGGAGCAAGCTCTGCAGCAGAAGGTAACGGTTACCTTCATCTTGCTGCAGACCTTTTAAAAGAACTTAACAAAAACCCCACATAATTCAGCACTATTTGTGTGTTCACAGAATCAAGAGATCGAGGAACTCACAAAGATCTGCGATGAGCTGATTGCTAAAATGGGAAAAATAGACTGAGAGGCATTAGGCAGGGATCGGCCTGTATTGTCCCCCCCAGCCCTGCCCACAGTCCTGCAGTGATGGCCGGTGCATGCCCCAGACCAAGAAGGCGCTCTTGTTCAGTACCCCGTGCCTGCCCTACATCTCAGCCTGCTTCTGTGCAGATGTGTGAAATAACCTTTTGTTGTCTACAACAGCACTATCTGTGACCAGAGCCTTTAAGGCTCCCTACATGTTGATAATATGTGATGACTTTGTTTGCATTTTGCACGCATTATGACGTCATCTGGAGCCCTTTCGTCCATCATGCTGGGGAAACAGCAAACTCCTTGTGACTCAACTTGTGTTCCCAGCAGCTTGAATGCTAATTTCCCAGCAACGCTGTGTGGAGGATGACATCACTGAGATAATGCTGAGCGGGGTTTAACTTGCATTCTTTACATTTAAGGCTAGTGCTTGGGCAGGCTTTTGATCAGGTTTATTTTGTTCTAAAGCAACAATTAATTAAACATATTTTTATATAGACGCGGCTCCAATTTAACTACGAAAGACCCAGGCTCAGATGTATTGTTTGAAGTAAAAGAGCAAGGTCAAAGGCAAGCTGACGAAGAAGAAGTGTGGCAAAGGTTTGTTTGAAATTCTAACTAAAAGCAAGTGATCAGGCTTAGGTGGTGGGGGTTCTCAACAGTTCAAGTACCTGCACTAAGTTTGATCCTCTTAGAGACATTTATCTGACAATCATAGACCTACCTGTGACTGTGCACTCCCGTGTTAACCAGACCACGTTATAAATCTTGAACAACTGGAAAACTAAGAATAGAAAACAGTGAATATATTTTAATGAAGGATATTTACAAATATTATACAATTTGCAAGTGCTGCTTTGTGTCGAGAGTTTTTTGTTTTTGTTTTCCAGTCACTGATTTAGTGTCCATTAGTCACCTTCTCCTCTAACCGTGGGAGAAAGATGACACATTCATGACAGATGTTGTCTTATGCTCTGGTGTGATGACGATGTAAGTTCTTTGTGCCTGTATTTGCAGCAGTCATTAAACAAATAAAGATGTTATTTTGTATGCATATGTTCACAGCTCTGCTCATCTCACAGATACCTTTTATCTCACCACTTAACACAAGTTGGGTATAGCTCAGACTTAGAAGTGTTTTTTAGGCAGTGGATTAAAAAAAAAAACGTCTTAGTTTTTAAACAATAGAACACTAGAAAACAAGGCACATTTTTGTGAAACCATTTGGAAGGAGTTGCACCTTATAAGATATGGTATTTTGTTCTTGGAGTTCATGTAATATGGGTAAAGAAAGTGGAGATAAAAATCTAATCATTTAATTCCACCTTTTCATTCTTAGCTCTGTAGAGTCAAATTTGTCAAACTTTAAGGTTTTGATAGTGAAATCTGACTTAAAAAACAACACACGGTTGAATCACAGTTTATTTGGATTAGTCTTACTGCACATTACCTGTTGCCTACATTGTGTTATGCTTTATCTTTGTACTTACGAGTAAGTAATGATGATCACTATTGTTTGAGGAAGTGTGAATGTGTTTAAGATAGGTTGAATAAAGTATCCATCTATATACTATTATGTATGTGTTTTTATCTGTATTATGCTTTTCCTTGTAATTTTGTTTAGAATTGTCCATGCACATCTCAGACTTACAGAGACTCTCTCCTTTTGCACATCTTTATTTTTGATAGCATACATCTCAGATTGCCTACATATTAAACTAAAAAACCTGCCTTGTAAAATATAAACTAACAAATGACCTTAGAACTCATGTCCATTAGCACACTGATGGCTGCGTAAGACTAAACTGTAACTGTGTTGCCCTATTAAAGCTTGCTCAATTAAGTCTATTACTGCAGGCTGCTGCCTGTGCAGCATAGATGGAGATTAAGAGGATAAGACTTTAATACCCTCAGACACCTTCCAATTGTTAACCCCCTTCCTTCTCCACCTCAACCTCCGGTGTCCCTCCATCAGACTCTCATCCACTTAAACTTTGGACTTTAGAAGACACACTGACCCGTCAACTGGCTGCCATGAAGACCTTTTTGGCCCTGCTTGTGTTTGTCTCTCTGACCTGCCACAGTAAGTTCCTTTCGACCCGGATACTGAGTATGTCTTTCGTTTTTAGCAGAAATGAAAACTAAATAAATAATTGTTAAGATGGATGCTGAGAGATTAGCGACACACATGAGTGCAGATGTAGGCAAATGTGACTAGAATTAAAAAATCTGCCGAGGGGACAGAGGACCTCGGCATGGGTGTGCATGGCTGTTTGACAGCGTGTTACTGTGTGGATGCATAATGAGTTGAGACGGACTGATGAGACATAAGAGTGGCACGCATGCATGGTTGCACCCGATTGTGAAAAAGCATGCTTAGTCTCAAGCCAGGTGCTTTCTCCTGTTCTGTCTGTGAAGGCCATGGTCTCAAATGTCACACTTGTGTGGCATCCAGTGAGGAGGACTGCAACCGACAGGGCTCCACCTCCTGTCCTCAGTACGCTGACGCCTGCTCCACCATCACCGGCCCAAGTGAGTGAGCACATAACCACACACCCTTGTGGACATGCAACACAGGCAGCCTCACTAGAGGTCAGCACAATGCTGCCAACCAGCTACGAGAACAGTTTAAGGTTTAAGAAAGTCCAGTGGGTTTAGGAATACTGCCCATCCTGTTTCCAGATGCGATTTTAGTCGTGATGCATATTGAACAAAGACGTAATACTTAAGATAGGTAATCTCACTGATCTCTGTGTTTTCATATAAAGATTGTGTGGTCATGTATGTGGAAAATCCTCCCTGTGCTACCAAAGTTCCAATCTGCATGACTCACAGAACGTTATTGTAGAAGTGAAAAATACCTAAAACCTTTGCATGTCAGCTTATGCACGCTCTGTGCTCGTGTGTATGTGAGTTTGTGATCAGAATTCCTCCTGTCACTCCACTCACAATCTGCTTGAAGTTACTCCAGCAGTTTACGACAGTCGGCGTGTTTTTCGGGTTTTTCTGCTTGCAGGCTGGAGAAGTGGGACTGTGGGAGTCAGCTAATCTGATTCACAGGGTCCGCCCTCAACATCTGCCTTTCACCCTTTTTCTTTCAGACACTGTGATGAAGTCGTGCACGTATAAGGCCTTCTGCGACAAGGCGCAAGGCAGCAGCTCCGGAGCCAAAATGGAGTGTTGCTTCGGCGACGACTGCAACGGGCCCCACCGGGGTCACCACCACGGGGACAACCGCAACGGCGCGGGGGTTCTGGCCTCCAGCCCAGTGCTGCTGATCTCAGCTCTGCTGCTGCGTGTAGCCTGCACTCAGCTCTGAAATCCCTCACCTTGTCTTGTCCTCCATTGTTTCGCCACTTCCTCCTCATCTGTAAATTTCAGGTTGTTTTACATCCAGGTTTAAAAGGGGGATTTTAGCTGCTGAGAGTTTGTGCTGAGTGCGTGAGAATGGGTCTCAAACATAACGTGTGTCATGATTCTCTTGGTTCTGATGTTGTTCGAAAGGAGCATGGTGATTCCCACAAATATTAGCTGCATTTCAGCAGCCTCCATTTTCTGAGTTTTATTTCTTGTTCAGGTCAACTAAAACTTTAGTTTTCCCTACAGTTGCATGTGAAGATGATGCAATGGCTTAAAGTGGCATATGAGTCTGGGACTATCTGTGGTGAATAAGTGTGTGAAAAGTGAAGATGAACCGCCCACAGCTCCGGTGTACCCAGGCAGACTTGGGTGTGGTTTTTTGTAGGTGCTATAGAGCACAGTTTGTTCCATTCTATAGACCCACATTATTTTACTGTGTCAGTGACACAGTAAACTGCAAACTGCTTCATTTTGTGCTTGTGTTAATCCGAATAAAGGCACACTAACACCCTATATCTTTGTGCATACAGTGTGTGGTCAAGAGCTTCTGTTTTGTTTTTAGAAATGAGTGTTTATGTGGTAAAAGTAAAAATACAGAAAACTGTCTGACAGTTTTTGATATTTTAGCAGAAACAGGAGGGTCTGTGGTAACTTCAAGACTTCCTCCTGCACCAGTGTGACTTCAGTTCTGCGCATATGAAATCAGCGTGGTAGCTCTCCATCCTCGGGCAGGTCATATGATGTGCAACCACTTCCTCTTGACAGGAGAACTTAATCTTTTACCATAAGAAAGATAATACAGCGCAGAATGATTCCTGTAGGAATGAGTCATGCCAGCACTCACACAGGTAACCAGCACAGAGACAATCGCGAAAAACCAAAAATAAAAAACCTTGACTAGACAAAAAGAGGTAATGCCAGTTTGTCCTCTGAGCGTTCATTCTGCTGTGCACAAGTTACATCACAGGCACAAGAAATAGTAAGCAAATTGCATGCTGCCCACACTTTTAAGGCTCCATTCAGTGAAAAAATACTTTTAATAGAGTGTGAGGCATTGCATTGAGTTACTTTGTCAATTGATAGTTTGCCAAAAACTCAAGATGTTCACAAACTGAAGTTAAAACTGTTATCAGGCTGCACACTGCCAGAAAGACCTCTAACATAAAAGCACATGGTATACCCTTCAAGTCTTACAACTATTCTGAAAAGACTGGTCGTTGCAAATAACATAGCTTAACCCAACCTGAGCGCTCCAGGCGGCCATTTTTGAAAGAGCTGATTCATACAGAATGCTATGGGAAAAAGAGGCAAAATAAACAAATAAATAGCTTTCCTTATTATGATGTGGTTAAAACCTCAGAGGGATTATTGAACAAGCCAACTAACAAGCCCACAACCTTAAGGGATCAGGGGGCCCCCGGGTTGAGTCTTTCTTTCAGCCCATTTCAAGTGATTGATAACAGTTCTTCTTGGGAGGTCAAATACCACAGCGGCATGCAAAGAAATGAAAATGAGATGCAAAAGGACTCAATTAAAGACACTTTAAATTGCCACAAAATAATTCAAAGTAGGAGTTTGCATGTTCTCTGTCTACGTGGGTTTCCACCCACCGTCCAAAAACATGCATGTTGGGTTAACTGAACACTCCTCTGCCCCTGAGAATGAAAGTGAGTGTGTGTGGTTGTTTGCGCCTTGAAAAGGCCGGTGACCTGTGCAGGGTGTATGCTGCTCCTAGCTCTGATGTCAACTGGTACAGGCTCCATCGAAACCCCCCCCCCCCGACCCTATTAGGAACATGTGTGGTATAGATAATGGATGGAGTTTAGATCCAACTACAAAGACAGCTACATCTAAAGAAGTGTGGAATGAATATATACAAGACTAGCAACATCCAAAACAATCCCAAAAGAAATCCCAAAACAGAGATAAGACAGTTTCTTAAAGAGGACAGGGAAGCATAAAGAGAATCTGAATCTGAGGAGAAGCCAGGAACTGCCCATCCTCTGATAACTCCAAAAATAGCCCATAATGGAAAACAGCACGTAGCAAATAAACTGTAAGAAATACGATCTGTATTTTTAAAACCACAAACCTTTTATTAAAAAAAAGGGTGTAAATTATATTTGAGAATGTGGGACGTTTATTCTGCCATGTAAAGAATAGAGGTTACATGGCCCTTGTGAAAAATGTGACTTTATTCTCAACAGTTAAATATTTCATATGTGGGCGTACAAGAGCAGTTTTTAAGTGGCCAGTGAACTCAGAATCTCTTTGTTCCTGTTTGTCCAGTTGTGTATTCCCTTCTTTAACAGCTCTTTTACACGATCAGCTTCTTATATAAATGTTCAATAGAAACAGATAGCAAGTGGTATGCAGTCACAGGAAGATCACAGCAAAAGGTTCCACTGAACAGGTTTCTGTTTTACCCAAAAAAAAGCCCACAAAGTTTACTCACTAAAAACTGAGTGCACAAAACGGGTTAAAAATTGGCCAGAAAGGCCTGCAGAGAGCTGCACGCAGTTCCTCATGCACAGACTGAACTCAGCACAGAGGAGGAGGAGGAGGAGGAGGAGGAGGAGGACCCGGCCGGGGCTCTGGGGGGGACGCCTAGATCACATCCGGGGCCGGTTTATTCTAATAACGAAACGTCCAACCCGGAAAAAAAGACAAGCATTCTGTAATCCGATCGCACCAAACAAAACTCCCGATAGCGTGAGAGCCCGTTGCGCGCCGGTGTCGCCGGCGTGTTTGGAGCCGCCCGCTGAAGTTGGTCAAAACTTTGTCTGTCATGGTGGTTGGTGCCAAACGCGGCTCTCTCCTCTCTGCGTCGTAGCGCGGCTGCGGGGCGCTGGCCGGGGCGCGCACCGACTCTCCACCAGGGGTGAGTGGCCCGTCGGCACGGGGCGATTTGTGACAGTTTGTGCGCTTTCGTGTGCGTGTGCGCACTTTTGAGTGTGTGTGCGCTTTTTGCGTGCGTGCGTGCGTGCGTGTGAGTGCGCGGGTGACCCAGTAGGTGTGGCAGACCGTTGAGTCGTCGGTGTCCGTGAGTCAGCTCTGGTCATCTGAGAGCCGGCCGGCCGTCTTTTGCTTGTCAGGTGCTGCTGAATAATTCTGCGCGATCACACTGCTTTTAGCGTTCTGAATTTGCGTCGCACACGCACGCCGATAACTGTGAGAGTGGCTTTCAATGGCGCTGTCAGTGCCAACCTAAAAAAAAAAAACCCCATCATGATCTTCCTCGATCAGTGCTTTTGGCACACCACAGAACCAAACGTCGTTTTCATGTGTGGCACGGTCGTTGGTGATGATATCTGGTTCAGCTACCAGGTTTTGTCTTATGGTGCAGGCTTCGATTTAACTTGTCAAAGTCAGCCAAAGTGTCACTGGCAAAAAAAAAACTTTTCATCTGTGAAAAAACAGTTGTGTGATGGAAGTTTAAGAGGAATGAAAAGAAAGCCAGAAGATGCTTCACAACTTGGCTGCATTTTGGAAAAGCGTAGGAGGGATCTTTGAACTTTGATGCATAAATGGGTCTAACAGTTACGATGTATTGTCCATTTTATTGCTCCTTATTATTTATTTCAAATGTCAAAATACATCAGGAGAGCAATGTTTAGTTACCAATCTTTATAAAGTAATGCATTACCGTTTCTGCTATGATTTCTTTCAGACTGCAGCTGAACATATTCATAAATAAAGCAGATGTGTAGGCCGAGTGTAGGAAAGTAACCCTGATATCACTGCAGTGATCTAAACGTCTGGAACACACAAACATTGATTTGTGTTTTATTTTCCTACGTTTAAAAACCAAGCCACTTAAAATCTCATTCTGTTTCGATTATATTTATTGGTGAAGTTTTGCCAAAAATGCCACAGGCTCACCACTACTTCTCCAAGTAATGGTTAAGCCAGATGTGTTCTGATACCCAAAATGGTTTATGAGAGTGTCCTGTGTGGGCTCTTGTGCCAGTCTCAGCGTTGGTATCTGTGTGACCTGTGTGGCACCTTCCTCTTTTTTTCCATTGCACTTCTGAATTTCTGCAGAAATCTTGTATGTTTGGCCTGCTTCAGTGGCAAGCCTGCAAGACTGACGCATTTGAAGTACAGTTTGGTTTCAAAATGATTCATTTTCTTACTCACTGACTTAAAAATAACTTAAGAGGAGCTCCAAGAGCACACTGAAGATGTAGTTTGTGTCCCTGTTGGCATTTCTTTCTTTCTCTTGTGCTCTGTTGGAAACTTTAATGTTGTCTTATAAATTTTGGTCCACCTCATAGAGCTATGGTTGAAGGGAGTCCTGTAAAATCTATGGCATAGGCAATTATTATTCAGCCATTATTATACATTCGTCCAATTATAATTCATTTCCTCAGAAAGAAAATAGCAATTTATAGATCTGTCCTGCCTTTTTTAAGCTTGAGCTCTTTTCTGAACTAAAAAACAAAAATGTTGGGAGCTTGTTTTGGCTCTACTAGTGTTGTGCTTTCAGCAGCGTGCAGTTCGTCGAGGAGGTTACTTCACGTTTAGTCTTCGAACATGAAAAAGAAAAGACTGAGAGTCCCCCATGCAACATTAATAGGACAGAAATATACATAGAGCTAAAAATCTTCCTTCTCCACTCAAAAATCGTTGTGGAAAAGAAAAAAAAAACTTCTGTCTGATTCATACTTTGTAAAATCCTACTGAAATGAAGAGTGTTGAAATATCAGTAGCATGTCTGAGCTTAATGGATCTTGATTAATTGATGAATCAGTCATAAGCTCAATAATTAGCAGGCATATGATCACTGTAATGACCGCACCTCCCAGCCTCCCTCCTTCTTCTTCCCTCGCTCGCCTTCTTCTCTGTCCAGTGGAAATGTGCGTGTGTGCAGATCTTGAGTGCAGTCTGTAATTTTTGGCTGTGGTGAGGGCCTCAGCTCAGCCTCGGGCTTTCAGGGTTTGCTGCTCAGCCTCAATCACGTCACATGAAAAACTGCTGAGTGCGAGTGGGTCTCTTTCTTCCTGTGAATGTGTACGTATTTGAACTCAAGCAAAAGATTATTAACCCTCCGTATCTGCCTACATTTGTATACCTCCGTCATTAGTCTGTCGCTAACTTTAGATATAGCCAAATGTTTGTCTGTCTCACTTCAGCCTTTGCCTCTGTAATCACCCGTCTGCTTAGGTGATATGTGATACCGGCAGGATGCCATATTTGGACCGGCTGAACCGCGTGTGCGGCTTTCTGGACATCGAGGAAAAGGAGAACAGCAGTCGCTTCCAGAGGCGATACTTCATCCTCGATACGCAGGGAAATGTTCTGCTGTGGTACATGGACAATCCTCAGGTGCTTCTCCCAAAACAGTGCACGCATTTGCACCCATTTGCACAAACACCGAGGGGAAAAGGGAAAATGATCAATAGCGGCCATGGAACCTTGGACTCTTGAGCTAACGCTGAGTCTTTGTTTGCATGCAGAACCTGCCCAGTGGAGCCAGCTTTGTTGGCAGCCTGAGATTAACCTACATCTCTAAGGTAAGCCGGTCCCTTGACTTTCACCCGCAGTTGTGTGCGCTAACATTACGACCACACAAAACCAGCCACATTTCATTTGAGTGGCCCCTCGCCAACGTACAAATGTTATCAAAGATTGCAAGCATGCAGGATCAGTGGCTGTCTGCAGCAACAGGTACACGTCACACGCAGCATTCGCACTGTGTGAACCTTTTGAAGCTCTCCAGATGTCGGTGTGCTCACAGAGAAGACGACATCTGGCTGCACTGCGCTGTGGCGCTGACGGCCTATCTTGTCTCAAAGATCAAAGATACAGATTCTTCTCTCATTTCTTCTCCTTGCTTTTATTTCCTTTTTGTCTCTTCTCAGGTGAGCGAAGCTACACTGAAGCAGAAGCCTAAGACGGAGTTCTGCTTCGGTGAGTTTCAGGGGAAACAGTCATTGTAAACAATTGCATAAATCTGGTTTTCACGTCTAAACGTATGAATGTGTTAAATATAGTGTGGTTGCTGCGTGTTGAATGAAACTCTACTTCTGCAGTTATAAATGCAGTTTCACGCCGGTACTTCCTGCAAGCCAACGATGTGACTGACATGAGGGACTGGGTGGCTGCTCTCAACAAGGCCAGCAAGATCACTGTAAGCGCCACACACACTCGATTTCTTATGGGATGGTGAAATGGGGGCAGTTATAGATGGAGGATTTATTTCCACCTCAGTGCAGGAAGCTGTGCGGTTTTGAGACTGAAACCGGTTCGGCCCAAGAGTTTGCACATGCCAGCATGTTGCCCACAAACACCGACTGTCAAACTTGGTGAATGGAGAAATTGTGAATGTGCAATAATAGCAGTGATAACGCACACTGACGCCTACGTCACTGCGGCTAACGTGTCAACATTTAGCCTGTGAATTTGCACAATATTTGTTTATTCAGCCGTGAGGCTTTGCGATCAGTGTCATCCAGCTGTGTGTTGGTAGGAGGAGACGGAGAAGCTCGTTTCTCCTCTTTGTTCACCTGCTGACTGACACAGGAAGCAGTGCCGCTCACTCTCTTTTTCACTTCTCCAATTGGGGGGGTGGGGGGGGTGGCTGCGATGCTGTTTTCTGTCAGCTTCGTTGGCCTCATTGAAAGGTTGACTGAAGACGCATGGACAGGATGTAGATGCAGCAATAAAAGGGAAGCAAACTTACTAATGGACAAAATGATGCAATTTTAGGTTTAAGCCTTGAATTGTCTTCTAAAAGTACCCGTGACGCAATTTGAATAAATATTCCGAACTAAATATGTACTACAAGCCCTTGATTAAAGGCACATAAATATTAGCAGGCACATAAGTTTTATTTTTGTGTTAAGTAACGTCATTAATTTAAGAGCTTTTCCTGTGTATTGATTCTGCATGACATCATTGGGTGGCATTAGAGTGTGGGCAGTCATAGCTGCTAGATGTGGGGCTAGTCTAAGCTTTTCTATATGCAGACAGACCATTCATTTTCCTAATAAAAACAATACAAACATAAAAAAATATATCATTTTAAGACTGTTTACTAGAGCTGTAAATTAGACGTTCCTGAGTCAAAGGATTTCTTGGATTTGGGTACATGTATAAAATGCAGTCTATTATGCAACATTCTTACAACTGATACAAATACATGCATGAAAATCCAGCAGGTACGTTTTTTTGGCTTTTTTTGGTGAACTGCATAAGTACTCTTTACTTTTGCTGTGGCAGTTACTAATTCTCAAGACGGGCAGAAGAAAGATATCGTAATGCAGAATAACTTGTGGCTCTTGTGTATTGACATCAAACAGGGCCCACATCTTAAGCTTTGGCCCACACTGTCTTAAATGACACTCGGAGTGAGGGCCAGGCATGGCCAAATTTTGTTGGCCATGCCTGGCCCTCGCAGCACTGACCATAACCCAAGATTAGCCTAGCTTTTATTTTTCGCTTATGTTTGGGCCACTGGACACTTATTGTTTTTGTAACAGAGTCAAAATGCATGCAGAATTGCCAAGATTTGACCCAAAATCTCTCTGGGTTAAAAATGAAACTCTCACATTCCCTAGCATGCAGCTGCCTGGGTTGGTAATGTTATGCTACATGTTGACAGGTTCCTAAATCTTGCCCTGCACCTCCAAAGTCCGATGTGACCACAGTGATCGGTGACGTCCAAGCTGGGAAGAAACAGCAGGCCTACAAGGCAGAGATCATTGGCGGTGTAGTGGTGCATACTCCCATCCAGGTAAAGCAAATTGACCTGGTTTCATAACTACAATTGCAGTGACCCTGATTAGCCACTTTGCCAAAGTGGAGAAAAAATGCTTTAGGGACACAGAGAAGAGTTTTAAGTACCAAGTTAAATAGTTTGCGGTGTGTAATCTAAAATCTGTGCTGGTGGTGGTTATGGTCACTGTGATTAGCTGATGAAATGTTTCAGAATGAGAGCGAAGAGACAGACGGGAGGGAACGGAAGGGAAACAGACCTGGTGTGCTGAGATGTGGTTACTGTGTCAAACAAGGAAACGTGGTGAGTGACCATCCTCGTTCGACAGATTAACTCTGCGCTTGGGTAAATTATCACCGTACTGTGGTGTGTGCTTGTAGAGGAAGAGCTGGAAGAGACGATTTTTTACCCTGAACGACCATGCAGTCAGTTACTACAAATCTGATATGGTGAGAAACTAGGAAGTTCTGCTTTATTACTTCTGGGTCATAGTCTGAAATGACTGTGGTCTTTGTGTTTATGTGTCCCAGGACAAGGAGCCTCTCCGGGCCATTCCACTGAGAGACATTCAGAAAGTTCACGAGTGTCTGGTCAAGTCAGGGTGAGTCATGTGTGAATCAGAGTCAGACCCTACTCACATTCTTCTTCTCTTCCTGGTTATCTGTCTGGTAAAAAGTAGATAACCATAAAGAAAGTATCTGGGAATAATCAGACAATTCCCACTGAACGGCAACAAATATCAGTGGGTCGTTTTTAAGTTTTCACATATCCAAATGTTCATTGGGGGAAAAAGTGAGTGAAAAAGTGAGACTCATGTTAGATTGTTTTTGTTTTTGTGTTATTATATGAGCAAATAGCCTTTACAGTAAAGGAAGAGTAATGAGGGATTCAAATTAACTGTCATTCATTAGACACACACTTATCTATCCTTTGTGAAAGAATAAAGCAAAATGACAGTACAGTTTACCCACTCCTCAAACAAGAGGATTTCAGCTTGAAATAACTATTTGTTTGAATCATTATTGCTACATGGTCGATTTCGGTGGAATAGTGGTGAAAAGAAACATGACAAATTTAAGTGAGCCCACATTTTCTGTGCCTGTCAGGGAGCTTCTGCTTAGAGACAACCTTTTTGAGATCATCACCAGCTCCAGAACTTTCTACATCCAGGTAAAATGCCCTGCTTCTCTTCATCACATTGTTTTAAAACTAGCACTGATGAACTGCAGAGTAAATAAAGATGGATTTCTCTAAGCTACAGCCGTAAGCACAGAGAAGACACGCAGTGTGTCCCCAGGTGCATCTGCCCTGATGTTTTTCAAGTGTGTTCTCTAAATGCTCTGCTGCTGATGTGTGGCCTGGGTTCTTTTTTTTAATGGGCTTAAACAGTTTGTTTTTGTCAAAAGGGCACTGCCATCTGTTACCATAACAACAATAATATCCTGTTCCTCCCTCTGGGAGAGCAGCTGACAGAGACCGTGGGGTCTGTTCAGATGGGAAGTGCAAGGAGAGAAATAGACGGCTGCAAGCACGAGCGCTCTTCTGTTTGTTTGTGCGTGAAAAAAAAAGGAAGTGTGAAAAACACTTGGCGAAACCAAATAAACAAAAAACGGATTATATGAAAATCATTAGCATAGCCTGAGAACTGCCAACAAAAGTCAGCTTAAATGTGTAGTCCAATATGAACACTAGCCCATAACATGAACTGGGGCTGTAATCTGTGATTGATTTTATATACTGAATGATTTACACAAGGTAATAAATATCATCTCTCGAAGAATATACGAGTAATTAAATGTGTGGAATCCAAAAATGAAATTTAATTGGGTTCCCGGTTCGAATCCCCCAGGGTTCCCTCCAGGTTTCGCTTAAAATGTGCCAACTTGGCAGAAGCAATGTTGACCAAGTACTTATTAGTCATAGTGATCGGTAAAATTTAACAATTCACTACGAACCCTTAAACTCTGATAATATTTTGGGTAATTTTTCATGTAAAGTGGTAAAACTTCATAAATACTTGTCAAGGTTCTCCTTTGTAACTTATATTCTCCTTCTCTCCGCAGACAGACTCCCCAGAGGAGATGCATGGTTGGATCAGGGACATTGAGATGAAGATCCAGGAATTCAGAGGACCGCCAAGGACAATGGTCTCCTCCCACTTTTCTTTTCAGGCAACACACAAAAACCCAAATGAGCCCTCTCATGGGGGTCCGTGATTAGAGGATGTATAATGCTGTTGTTTTTGTGTCTCTGATTGCAGGGTTCCCACATTAAACGTGCTTCTTCTCTCTATCGAAATCATAACGCCTCCCCCTGTGCATCTCGTGGTCAACAGAGCGAGGAGCGCAGACCCGCGCTGGTCAAGTCCTGCTCGGTGGCCCCGGGCTGGCAGCCCTGGACGCCCGTTCCTCCGTGCGAGCCGTCCATCCTGGACACGGAGGATGAGGACAGCGCCTTCAGCTCCGCGCCCACCCTGCCTTCTCTCTCCTCCTCCTCCACCTCCTCTTCCACATCCTCCTCCTCCAACTCCCTCTCCACCCTGACCCCTTGCCCCGGCGCACCTCCGGCCCCTTCGGCCAGCGGGCTGGGGATGCTCACGGCCTCGGCGGACGCGGCGAGCGGGCGGCGGCGCCACCGCTCGCAGCCCCAGCCTCACACCCCCTGCAGCTTCCCCTTCAGGCTGGACGACGACGGCATCCGCACCACAGACGTGTAGAGCTCTGCGCGTCTCGGACTAAAGTGTCGGCGGCTGACTTGTAATGGTGACTGCTAATAATAATATTCCCTTATAAAGAAGAGACACTGTGAGCGTGTGCCCCAGCAGCAGTGCGTGTGGAAGGCAGCGCCGGCTGGTGGTGGAGATGGGTGTTGCAGATGAAGGATGCACCCAGCGGGAGGAAGAAAGTGGAGAGGTACACTGTTGTTCACAGGACTGTGAAAACATTTCATGGAGTGTTTTTTTTTTCTCTCCTATTTTTTGGCAACCTCCTTTGAAAACTTGAATAATCGTGTTAGTTGCTCTTGTAGAATTAAAAATGATGGCACATGCTTGTAATCTGTTGCACTAGGCACTCGTTGGTTCTGTATCATTGTCACATCTGCATTGAATGACTCTTCAACACTCGTGTATCCATAATTTTATATAAAAACATACGTGTATATACATATATGTATGTATGTATAAATATGAAGCTTCTTTTTACATATTGCTAAATGTTGTTTTTTTTGTCTGATGGGCCCAGCAGTGTTTTTTCTTTTTCCTATCGCGATACTTGGAAGATTTGGAAAATTATCTTAGAATGAGCAACAAGCATTTGACTCCAAACATCCTCTATGTGAGGCTCTCTTTTTTTTCCCCTTTTTTTCTGATCTGATAAAATATCCGTTCTCTTTTAACTGTGACTCCCCTCTGAGGGTTTTAGTGTGGTTCCATAATAATACTTCAGTAGATGAATGGTATTTTAAATTTGTATTTTATAGTACTCCCACCATCAAATATCAGCTCACCAGCTCTTTTGAAATGTAATTTTCTTATAACAGCATTTTGTGGGAAGACTTGCCACTACTTTTGGTATTTTAAATGTAATTCTGCACTTTGTATTTCATGTTTTCAATTTTGGTTGTCTTTTATATTTTTTCTCAGTTTTCACAGCAGATTACTTCAGTTTCCTCTGACTTCTTACACCAGTAATTCACCCTCTCTAAAGCTCACCTTCAAACTTCATTGATGTGGTACTTGCTCATTTTTGTTTCCGTTCTCTGAAGCTGTGTGATCTTATCTGCCTGTGTGTCATGTTCTTTTTCTTTCTTGTACAATAAATGATGCTTTTTATTTGTCTGGTGTGAGCAGTTTGTGATCGACTCTAGAGCAGGCTGTGACTTTTTTATTTCAACTTTTCACTGAGCCATTTAGTGATGCATGTGTCTGTACATGTGTCACGCCACTGAACGTAAAGAAATGTTAGTTTTCTGAATCACCTTTTGATAAAAGTCTTGGCATTAAGACCTTTTTGTGTTTTTGTGCCTAAAAGGCAAAGCTGGCCAACTGCTAAACGTACAAAGGGTCAGAGCTAACAATAAATTTGTCCTTTAACGCTGTCACCTTAAATACATGCACTCCATGTAGGCAGTAGCTCGCATACGCATGCCAATCTAGTAACCACAGGCTATGTTAAGTGATGTCTTTCACACATCCAGTGCAAAGTCTACATGGTAAAATGCCCAAACTAACCCGGCCTCTGTCCACCAACCCGTCTGCCTCCTGGTGCAGCTGTGCAGCTGCAAGACAGCAAAACGTCTCCACTGAGCAGTCAAAGATTGTGGGGGGGGGGGAAAGCCTGAAGTGCTTTTGAAATGTCAGCTGTACTGAAAGAAGTTGTTCACTCTTCTAAAGATGCATCTGCACCATTTAGTGAGGAAAAAATCCAAGAAAAGATATGTCAGGAAGAGTGGAGTGAAGGCACAGAGGAAAGTTTTATGAAGTCACTGAAAAAAGTAAGTAGGGTTTAGATTTGCATGTGTCTTTGTTTTTATTTGTGTCTCTTCGTCCATATGAAAACCACACTGTGAGGTTCATTAAAACTTTGAATGGGTATGAGCAGGTCCTCTGCTAAGCTGCAGCTTTCTCTGGGATTTGACTGTCTGAAGATGTGGCGCGGCGCTGGAAGCCTTCGAGGTTTGACTTCTGGTGCGCACAAACAGAATGTAAAGGTCACATAGCACTGCGGCGCGACGCCCTGTGAGTGACAGCCGGCTCTCAGGGCAGACACACTGCTTGCCTAAATGTTAATGTTCCCACATGGGTGACTCTGCCCCACACTTCTGCTCGGTGTCTCAATTTGATGTTTAGAAACCTGATGATTTTGAATGTTGGAAAATGTAGTTACTATTCCCAGAAGCTAATCTCCTACTGGAGACCACCATATTTTGTTGTTTATACAGTACCAGAAGTTCTACATAATGAAGACCAAGGTTGTGCATTTTGTTTTTTTTTCTTATAGACTTTTATCTTCATGACATGCATGATTCCACATATTACATTGCCGCTTGCAGAAAATAAACACTAGAGGGAGCTGTGACACACCGTACCTCAGTCTTGCGTGTCAAATCGGTAAATGACAAACATCCTCGAGGTCTTCGTTCCTGTTGGCGGACTGTAGTGTGTCTACAGTCCTTTAGGTGCACTCAACTCAAAGAACAAGCTTTTCAAAGCTCGGAGTGCATATTTTCCTGTGCTTATACTCAATACTATTGATCCTTACCAGTTAATAAACTGGAAAGTCAAATGAAAATAGACTTATGTGCTTTATCACATCCTAATGAACACCATTCTTTCAGCTCGTAAAATAGGCTATGAAAACCAACCATCTTTCAGTATATTGAACAAGGTTTCCAGTTCTATAACTACTTGGGCAGTCTGGAAATGTAAGAGTTCTATGTTGCAGCTGAATGTGATCCACCATGGTCAATCAACATGTAAGGATCCCTAGTTTATCAGATTAAGTACTATTAAGCAGTGGGACCTCAAGAGGAGTAAAAACATGTAACATAATTTAACCCGCAAACTTTCTGGAGCCATTATGCAGATTGATTAATTTTTCAACTTGCTGTACTGTTGCCCCAAACTGTTTAATGAGATACTTCAAATTCAACTGTGTTTCCATTGTGCATAATTTGTAATACTTTTTTTTCTTTATTATAATTTGTAATACTTTGTCCATCTTTACAGCAACAGTAATTAAAGTCAAACTGATTGAGATAACGACTAAGTTGTTGTTTTTTCACGTACACATTGTTACCATTTTCCAATGAGACCACACAATTAAAACAACAACAATAAGTGATCAAAAGGTACATTTACAACAGGTATAACTATGTATTAATGCTAAAGAAGAGCACAATACTGCAGTCGGCCTGTGCAGTGTGCAGCATATTTCTAACATCTGTAAAATGAAGTCATATTGATGTGGAACAGGTTTTCCTTCATCTGGACTCAGAGGGCCCAGCCTGGACAGCTGCCAAAAGCCCAGCCGCTGCTATTCCCACATCAGGCCACCTTACAAACTGGAGGCAGGGGGCGGGGGTGAGGGGACTGGAATGTATTTTGCCCTGTGTGATGTGATTGTTTGCAGAGAAATGGGTTGACCTAGCCCTCTTATACCACACACACACATGCACACACTCACTCAGGCCAAGCTGAAGGTGTGTGTGACAGACCTGCTGAGTGCAGGAGGTCTGGGACCCCTTCACCACTTCCGCCAGACAGAGAACAGAGGATCCAGTCAGCTGAAGCCAGGATGGGACAATAATGAGCCTTCCAGCCAACACTACCACCTCATTTCAGGTATGACTATTACTTTTTTTGCACTTTTGCACACCCAAAAACTTAGGCATGAGAATGGGGAGTTACATCCCCTTATAAAAAAACTGTTACATTTAGTTTATTATTTATTTATTTAAAGCAAACACTCATAATGTGAAGATTTATTCAATGAAAATTCTGCTATTATGTAGGAAAAAAAACTTACCCTAATGAAGGCTTTGCAACACTTCAAAGGGTTTCAGTTTAGCCCACGTTCAATATAAAAGGATCACATAGAAAAGGGATTTTCAAATATATATATATACATATATACACACATATATATACATATATATACATATATATATATATATATATATATACACACACACGTATATATTAGTATTGCATTGTTATTGAATAACAACAAACTAAACAAGTATTGATAAAATTGTTTTACAGTGACAGAGATTCAGATAATTCGAGAAAATGTAAATTTTATATTAATGCTATTTTTGTGTGTTTTATTTATGGTCTTTGGACAAACTACGGTTAAATTTTAATGAATTTTAATTAATTTGACAACTTATCAGAAATATTGTAGCTTTTTAAGAACATAACTGAAAATAAGACCGTGACCAAACAAATAGTCAGTAATATGTTGAGAAAAATCTTTTAATTTTTTTATTTTATTTTATTTTTTACCACATCTTTGGTGGAACCACGACGCATAGCAAACCTCATAATGAATTTGTTTATACCTCAAAAATCCGCATTGTTTTCATATTTTCCACCTCTGACTGAACAAGACGGCGTCAACCCTAAGTATCTATGCTCATTGAAATTTTAAAGAGAAATAAATACAGGGTAACGAGAGCATTTAAAAAAAGATATGTTTGAATAAGATTAAATTAGTAAATTACCTGATCATCACCCAACTTTGTGGGTATGGCAGTCTTTTACTTTTTTTTTCTTTTTTTTTTGTTTCAGAAATGTAGTCTTTATATGAAATATATTGTTATCCAACACTTTTGTGTCTATTGTCATGAGTACGATAAAGAATACATATAGACTTAAAGAAATAAGAATCATTAGACATTAATAATAGCTATAAACATAATTTATCTTAATGTAATCATTTATCTAAATGTAAAAATAAACGGGCAGAATAGTATAATCTGATCCTCGGTTGTACGGCTGTCGTTTTCATTACGTTTGACTAATTCTATCTGACAACCAATTGTGCTAACAAAAATCGTTGTTCGATCGTCACATTTTTCTGTGTGCATCTTTTTTACATCAACTGTCTGATGAAGTAATACCGCAAAACCACTAATTCAATCGTTTAATTTCAATCGTGCATGTTCAATGTGTACAATCTCTGGCAATGGAAAGGATCCCACTGCAAAAACCACTATGTGGAAAGTGATGAGTTTGTAGTTCGGGTATCAAAAAATGCACGGAAATGTTATGAACCTGCATTTAAGACACGCGCACGCACAGAAACACACGCGCAGACGTAAAGCCTAGAAACCGCGTCTTTCAGTGGCAGCGCGTTCACTGAAGCTCTCGCTTTGCAGGACAGGCTGTGTACCGAGCTGTGGTTTCTCACCAAGGGAGGAATCAGTATTTTGACGGTAAGAAATGTTATTATGGCTCGTTTTTGGAACAGTGACAATTATTGACAGGCACAAAAAAGATGAGATATTCTGGTGCGTAAAAGGCACATTTTACGCGCGTCAGTTTACGCCCTTATTGATGTATTACGTTAGTATATTTTGTAAATATTTTGAATATGTTCATATTTCATATTCTGCCCTCATGTGTTTTTGTGCTGACGTATTAATAAATCAATAAGTGCTATTTCAGTCAAGGTCTCTAAAACCACCTGCCACGTATAGGGCACTACCCGTTATGAAACACAGCTTCTGCCTCGTATCAGGAATATTATTGATTACTCGTCTAAACCAAAATATCACTGTCTTGAAACTGCATGCATCGAGAGGATGAGTTAGGCCGGTGGAAATGTATGACGGAGCCAGGCTGACCTCCCAGTGACCGCTTCAACTTTCAACTCTGGATGCCTGCGGTTATCAGGATCTGCTTTAATCCCGTCAGAATGATGCGCGCCTGTGTCAAGTCAATGCCGCTGCTGTATCGGCCTCGGAATCCTGAAATATGTAATCAACTATAAAAAGAAATCCGTAGATCAAGTCCGGCATATGAGATTAGATTGCTGGTGGGGTTTATTTACGAACAATTCTGTCCGTATAACCGTTGGATTTGATGTAATTGGTTGGTAATAATTAGCCTGCACGTTTCCTTAGTGCTCTTTTCAACTCATGCATGCATTACACTTTAATCAAAACTGCTAATCGCCATCAGCCATTCCAGGATGAGAGATTATGCGATTTTTATCTCCAAACTGAAATAAGAATACGCTATTTGCAGCGCACTGGGCCTTCCCCCCTTACATAAAACAATCTGAAGTTTAAATGAATGAGGGGGGGGTTCCATTATTGTGACAGCAAGTTTTTCTCTGATCCCCATGGGGGTTTGCTGTGAAGTAACACACGAGAAAGATCAATCCCAGGGAGAGGCAGCCATTATGAGAACGAGTGTTTACTTTTTTATGAATAAATAATTAGACATGCTGCGTGTGAGTATGGAATCAGATTGTGTGTGTGCGTGTGCGTGTGTGTGTGTGTGTGCGTGTGTGTATTGTGTTTGCGTCACTGGCCAGTGACACAGGCACGATTGGCCGTGCAGACCTATGGCAGAGCAGGAAGGGCTGAAGGGGGAGGGCAGAAGACGTGAGGCGGACTTTACTCCATTCGTAATGAAGGGTCTGAGAGAGGGGGTTCAGATCAGGGCTGCGACTGCTAATGCCGCTGCATGGATCATAAGGAGTCAGCGAAGCAAACGACAGAGAACCGCCGCGGCTTTGAACACAAACGTGGATCGGGGGGGAGAGTGGTGGAGCAGGAGCAGGTCTGCGCGCTAGAAGACGGACGCTGGGGCGCGACACAGTCAGATGATAAACACACGGAATACTGCGGGCTTTGGACACATGAGCTTTAAATATAATTGACTGGAAATACTACCGACCAGATAAAACACAAAGGCAGCCATCGGAGTGCGCAGGAGCAGGATGAGGTTGTTTTCTGCCGGGAGCGCTGGACTGTGAGGTAAAGGCCCAGAAAGAGCATCCAAAATACCGGTCAAGAACACTGAGATGGACAATGGCACTTTCTCACCGTAACTCTGCATTCAGTTGTAATTTAAAGTCACAATTATCCAAAATAAAATGCAATTTATGCATCAACAGTACGACTATGATACAGACTATGTGGATTCCTGAATTTACGACCAACATGAATGAACAGATTTAGTCGAAAATATCATGGATTAATATTTCAGAAGTTTAAGCGGCACATTTAATCTTATTTTAGGTGAAGCCAATGATTAGATTATTGGATCAGTTAGTCAGTAGTGTAACTCGCTGTGAGCTGTTGTAATCTAAAATAATTCATTATCCTCAATTCCAAAATAGCGTGGACGTTTTTTGAACTTTTTACCAAATCAGAGGACAAATTATCTGAGGTGAAATATGTTAGAGTAGTCAAACTGTCAATTAACTCCAAAATTTAAAAAAAATTCTAAAGTACCACAACTACCTCAAATTACTACGAAAACTAAAGTAAAATATATGTATGTATGAGTGTGTGTGTATGTGTGTGTGTATATATATATATACAAATGCTCTTTTTATTAAATGTTTTTTAAACAGGCAAGAATTGTAATACTAGTTTTAGTTTCATATTAAAGTATTGTCTTTGAGTAAAACTTTAAATGTAAAACTTTATGCTGATATTATTTTATTTTTACGCATCTCACTGGCACATCATGCGAGCGCGTGTGGTGTTGAAAGCTGTGATTCACGGTGTTTGGTCTGTATGTGTCTGTTAGTGGAACATGGCGAACGGAGGGGACCAGTTCGGCCTGGCAGAGCGTCCGGGCGCGGATTCCCCGAAAGAGGGCAAACAGGAAAATCGCAGCTTTACTTTAACCTCTGCCCCTTCACCCCAGACGTCCAGCCAGCAGGTAGAGGCCTGTGCTGAGGATCAAGAAGTAAACATTGATTATTCTCATTACTACACTAACCCTCTCTATTCGGTAGTTTGTTTTTTCTTAACTCATCATGAAACAGGAATGCATTCTCTCAGACGACATTTACCTCATTTTGTTAACTTCTGAAAAGCTGAACCTGTTGTAGGAATTCTGCTTCAATTGTGCATTCCACGTCTTTTGTCCTAAGCACAGTTTTTTGTTTGTTTGTTTGTTTTTTGCCTGCAGGGGATGGAGGCAATCAAAGTTGCCCTTCATGACAGAGAACTTTGGACCAAGTTCGATGAAGTGGGAACTGAAATGATCATCACTAAAGCTGGGAGGTAGGAGAAACGAGATGATCTGTTATAGGCGCTATAAGCATTACGCTTTAGAGCTGAGCCATGAATGGACCAAACTCATTTTCATACATCAGCTCTGGGCATGTTGCACTGGGCCCTGAGGGGCGGATTGTCTCAGGACAGTGGCCTTTTTTCATTTGCTGTCTTTAGTATTCTGTAATGTTACAGGATGCTTTCCTTAAAATTCGCCTTTTCATTCTGTAGGGAAGTCAGCGTGTGATTTGTCTCCCTAAATATCTTCCCTCTAGGAGAATGTTCCCCAGCTACAAAGTCAAAGTCACAGGACTCAACCCGAAAACTAAGTACATACTCCTGATGGACATCGTGCCCGGGGATGACCATCGCTACAAGTTCGCTGACAATAAATGGTTTGTATATACCGGACGTCTAAATGTCTGCGCCAGATGTGAGTCTCTAAAATACTTTGTGCAAGTGGTGCACTGGCTCTGATCGGCTTTAGTTGGGATGCATTGTTAACGGAAATAAATCCATCCTAAATAAATTATAAGTTGGCTTTCCACATATAGATGCGCATTGCCAAATTGCATGCCTTTTTTGTTATCCTCTTTGGATGTCGGTTTTAAAGCAGAGGCCTCTGGAGCGAACTCTGCGTAAACCGCTGTGCTGTGGGTGATAGCCTCCACTCCACCCCGCCTCTGCCTAGCGTAAAGGTCGGGTCCTTCTTGCAGACTGGGATGGCCTAGTTCCCCGCGTTTCCCCCCGTGTGTCTGCCCGCCGGTTACATCAGAATATGATGGGTTCACGGGGCGGACAGACGGCACAGACCGGATTAAATTCTCTCATTCAACTTGTGCTGAAGGGAAAATCCGAACGGACCACTGACTACAATGAGATCCATCAATGTGCTGCCTCCTCCGAGCATCAGACGCAAGCTCAGAATAAGGAGGAAAAAAAGGGGGGTGTATTAGATAAACTGGGAGCGACACAAAGTGTCAGCTTTTAAAGGAGGGGAGGGCAAGGTAAAAGGAAATAAATAAAGCCGTATGCGCATTCAGGAGGCCTCATTTCCAGAAAACATTGAAAAGAGTTTGAGAGCTTCAGGCTCTGGGATTGTCCTGCCATCTGAATCAAACTCAGAATATTTTTAATTAATATTTTGTAAAGTCAAAGAGAATTTCTCTAGATTTCCAAACCTTTTTTGTCCATATATAGAGGTCTTTCGGCATCCTAAGACGTATAGATGTGGTCAAAAAGACTTTAAGGACAAGATGACATCTGCTACTTGTATCTTTATTAACTTATTACTTAAGTTATTTTATTTGTTACTTGAATACCATAGCCCTGTTTTAAAACACAGTTACTTTAAATGAGTAGCACTCCAACGTGTTCTCAGAGTCGTTGTGTTCACACTCTGCAGTGTTGCCAAATAAATAGTCCATTATTTCTTCTTCTTAAATGACTCTATCCGGAAAATAATTAATAATTAAAGGGCATGTACTATAGACAAGGATGGTGCTATTATAGTTAGATATATTTAATCAGCTCCAGCAAACTGATGCAAGGATTTAACTATATTCTGTATATGATGTCAGATAATGTAAGCTACTGTTTTTTTCTTGTGTTTGTATTTTAAGAATAAGTCGATTCCTTTAAAGCGCCTATTTCACAAAAAATGAGAAGCATAGATGGCGATTAAGTTACGTATATCATTGTTACCTTTTTGCTCAACAAATCTTTTACCTAAGAACAAGAGTCGTGTTCCAGGATCTCTGGGCAATACTAAGTCAACCTGGGCTTTCTAAGAGGGAGGATCAGGAGTGCTATTTTACGAAAGCTGCCGTAAAACAACAGGCGTTTTTTTCTTTTCTTTTTCTATTTTTGTTCCTGTTGTCGTTCCAATTACAGCACCAGCCGGACCTGCTGCGCCACGGGGCGCCCGGCAGAGCGGGTTTGGGTCTTTCAGACAAACCACAGACACTCCGCGAGTGTCAGTGTCTGACCGTTTTCAAATCCATCTCCTTGGCTCCGTGCAGGTCCATCACGGGAAAAGCCGAGCCCGCGATGCCCGGCAGGCTCTACGTCCACCCGGACTCCCCCGCCACCGGAGCGCACTGGAGCCGTCAGCTCGTTTCTTTTCAGAAACTCAAGCTTACCAACAACCACCTGGACCCCTTTGGGCACGTGAGTCTCGACTCTCTTCCCGATTATGGGATGTGATCACCTTCATTTCCAGAAGAGGGAAAAAAATCTATTTTTGCCCGTGAATGGACACATTTTTCGCCATGTTTAATTCATATGACAAACGCGAGCCTTGAGCCAAAAACAAGTAACTCATTTGTAAATTATTAATTATGTGGGTTGTTTTCAACGTACAAGAAAATAACAGAGCTCAAGCTCATTTGCATCTGAGTGCGCACATTTACTCCATTTCTCTCCATCCTCACTCCTCTGAATGTAAGTCAGCCAACCCCAAAACCACAGCAAACATCAGAAACCATGAGGGCTGAGTGGACACTCACTGCCCCAGTCACCCCCTCACACACACACAATCACACACAAGCACACACTGACACGCACGCAGCTGGATGTGAGAGCTGTTTTAAAAATAAAAAAAACGAAGGCTACCGTGCATGCGCGTCTCCTTGCAAGCAAACAGAGGAAAAATATACCCTTTTCGGGCTTGTTAAATCAGAGGTAATAATTTCAGAGGCTCCAAAGTCCATTAGCTAATGCATGTCACTGGTGGACACGTCACAGCGATTAAACTGAGCCCCGAGACAGACCGACGTGCACGCGCACTCCCGTGGAAAAAATGATCCAGTTAAAAAGCACTTGTTGACTTGTCTGTTGTGGTGGGAAAGATTCACATTGGGTACTAAATTTCACAGAGTTTTGACAATGGGAAATTATTGGTTAGAGAAATACAGAAAATGAAAGGGTTGTGGAAAAAACTAATCCTACAGACTGTCATAAAGTTATTCATGAAGTTCTCAAATATGTTAATTGGTTTCAGATTCTGGCTTATTCAGTGAAACATGAGGATACATGATGTGCCTTCACACGTATAAGACTACCAATAATGTTGACTTTGAAGTAACATTCACATAAAAAGAAGAACACTTTTTCAAACCAAAGGACAAAACCTGCACCAATAAGAAAAGTAGTTCATATTCTTGGAATTTAGGCAAAGGGACGAACTTGTTTTCTATTTCTGAACGACTATTTGATCTATATATGTGTTTTAAACAGCAATGCCTTCCTAAAAATCTGGAAACCAAAGGAAGATGGTTAACTCTCAGTGAGGACGTCAGGTCCCAGAGTCTGCTTATGGGTTTTAGGTAATACTACCGGTCTGTGACCATCATCTTCTCACCCCACCCCCCCCACCCCCCCACTCCTCTCTGTGCAGATAATCCTCAACTCCATGCATAAATATCAGCCTCGTCTCCACATTGTCAAAGCAGATGAGAACAACGGCTTTGGCTCCAAAAACACAGCTTTCTGCACCCACGTCTTCTCTGAGACTGCTTTCATCGCGGTGACATCCTATCAGAACCACAAGGTATGCACAAAGTTCTGTGGGGGGAAGACCCCACCCACTGCTGGTCCTCTCTCATGGATAGGTCTGATCAGGTGTGGGAGCTTTTGAGATTTTTATTCTGATCGCCCGATACCATAAAATATCTGTGTTAGAGATGCTACGTGTTGTTGTAAATGTTAAGTGCAGAGTTCCTCTCACTGTATGGGCCAACATGGGTTGATCTTATAGTAGATCTGCCACCATCTCCGTTAATCTGCTAAGTATTGTTTTCTGTGTCACTTCAAACATCCTGAAACCTGGTTTGAATTATATTTATTTTTCTTTTTTGCGTATGGAAAATTGGAGAGCATCTCCTTTGTTTATGCATCCTTTCTTGGAATACGGATATGTGGGAATTAGTATACGCCTGTGTTTTCATGCCTGTGGGATTTGTAGTCACACATAATCTGTTTCTTTCCCTCGATCTTGGTTGGTCCAGATTCCTTGGCATCACATTGATAAGACAAATTGCTAAAGCTTTGAACTGCTCATTAGATTAAGTTGGCAGACTGCTTCACATTGATCTGATTTCACCCTCAGAATAAACCAAGAGTGTTACATTGCATCAGTAGAAAACTTCTGATTATCTTGCAACAAACTTTAGTAGTTGGTTCACTTCTAGTTTGTTAGGCCAAATAAAGGGCTAAATTGTACACAATTCCATCATCCCCCTCAGTGTGGTCCTTATTTCTTTATTCATTAGTTTATGTGTGTGTGTATATCTAAACCACATCACATTTGAATTATTTTCAGATAAAGAAGCTGCAGCTTTTAGCGAATGTAGTCAAATCATCTAAGTATTAATCACTACTATTAATCACTTCTAATCATCGATACTAGCAGGAGTTCTGAGTGTTTACATAACGAAAAGTTTAACAACAATATTGGTGTGGATTATAATTATTGTTAGTGCTTTATAGGTTAATACTAAATAAGGACAGTGATTGTTCTAATAATATATTCTTATAAATAATTTACAGGAGTCGCAGTGTGAAAAAGTATCAGTGGTAATTTTTCAGCTCTAAAATATAATTGCATGTATGTAGTGTTAAAAGAATTTACATCAATGATTGAATTCTGTCTGCAGAAAAAGCAGTCACACACTGTTTGTCCTACTCTCATTTTCTTGTATGAGAGTCTGAAAGAAGATAAGTGTTGCTGAAGCTGCTCTTGGGTGGAGGCTATCAGCGTTTCCAGCTCTTCAAAGTTTGTTTAGACCTGATCTCAAGCCCACTTGCCTGCCTTGTGATCACCCTCGATTTTAGCCAAACGAAATCCATCAAAACCCAGAGGTTCTCAATGACATCACTAAGAAAAGTTTGAAGACTTCACATCAAAGCTTTATGCCTTGGACGTTTAAGAGCTTTGGCCTGAAACTCTCAAACCCAGTGACTGTTTGGGTAAACAGTTTATTCTGTGTCAGCTGGCGGGAACGCTGTTATACTCAGTTGGGAGGAATTTTGGCTGTGCGGAGCTGCAGGGGGGCTGCCTTTAACATGCGCCGGCTCTCTGACTGATATTGAACCACCGATTCAGTCAATGGGGAGAGCGCTTGAAAACCGAATGTGCCTATGGGTCTCCGGGTGCCCATGCATGCATGTGCAAACTGGTCTTTAGGTCTGATTGTGATGTCCTCCGTGTCTCGTCTCTAGATCACACAGCTGAAGATAGAGAACAATCCTTTCGCAAAGGGCTTCAGAGGCAGTGACGACAACGAGCTGCACCGCATGGCCAAGCTTCAAGGGTGAGTAAGTCCCGGAGACTGTGTGTTTTTGCGTGTGTGGGCTTGAGCGCATTCATAGGAAACTATTCCTCTCCTCGTCCTCTCTTAGCCGGGGGAAAAGGTTGTTATGATGGGCTGCATATGGTCTCAAACACGAGGGGTGTGTGTGAGTGGAGCCAAGTGGTATGACGAGATGTAAGCCTTTTGTCACCTGGAGGTTGATCTGTGTGAGCATGGAGAGCAAACACCGAGAATCCGCCCCACCCCAGCATTGATAAACCCATGATATCACATTGCAGCTGGTCTTTTAGGCTGTCACTCCTGATCAGTTGATGGGCTCAACTTCGTGTCTCTAATGAAACGGTGCTTATGGAGGGCAGGTCAGAAATTTAAGTGAGCTAGTGTGGGAGAGCCCGCTACTGATGGGAGATAGAGGAAGAAGAAGAGAGGAGGGAGAGAGCACGGCGGTGAAGGCAGCACCCTTGTTTTTGTGTTGCTGTGTTGTTGGAGGAGCGGAGAGTCTATCTGAAGTGACACGCCGATGGATGTTTATTTTTAGAGCGGTGAATTATCTCACAACCGCACACAGGGTGTGTGTGTGTGTGCGTGTGCGCCCGCATGTGCGTGCGTGTCTGCAGGAGTCAGGGGAGATGTGGCCCGCTGTCTACTCCATACCACAAAGTTCACCGAGAGGGCAGCGAGTGCAGACAGAAATCAGAGCTGAAAGGATGGAGAATATCTAAGTAGACTTGAAGGAGAAGGGAAAACAACAGGAATATAACCGTTTCGGCCAAGCAAAAACAATGGTGATGCAAAATGAAACGCTGAGATTTAGAAGAGGTAGTTTTGTGGAGGATTCTTAAACTCAAAACAACCTCAATGCAAACTGTTGCTACTGCTGACGGCTTAATCCACGTTTCTTTTTTGTTTCAGTAAGGATTACCCCGTGGTCCCTCGCAGTACTGTCCGTCAGAGAGCGTGCTCCACCGGGAGTCCCTTCAGCCGGGACAGCAGGGGCCTGCAGGCCTCCCCCGAGGCTGTCGGCTCACCTTACAATTGCGAGAGCGGCTTGAACAGGTGTAGTCCTCAAGAGCCTCCCAGCACTCCAGCAACGCACTACAGCCACCCTCATCTGCACCTGCAGCCGGGCCAGCAGCCGCAGCTCTACCACTGCCACAAGAGGAAAGGTGAGAAAAGAGGATGTGTGTAAAAAGCCTTCTGACAGAGAAGCTTAGAGTTTTCATGCTCTCTATTTTTTTCCATATCCAAGAAAAAAGCATTTCTGTTGCAACTTCAAGAATGCCTCACAACCCATAATTTCAGAGATTGTGACACAAGACATTCCCTAATGAGACAGACCAACCAGCTAAGGCGAGCAAGGATCACGCACTCATGCATTTAACATTTTAAGGCTCCTCTGTTTGTAATACGATAAATGGAAACTAATGGCTTTTTTTGGAAGTAAAGACGAGAGACTTGATTAGAGATTTCTATTTATCTGTTCCGATTTTAGTATATATTTTGTTTGCAAATCTAATTAGCATCAGACGTACAAAGGCAGCAGCTGAATAAATACTACATCATTTATTTTCATGTGCGCCCAATTGCAAGAGTCTCTTTAGACCCATGAATCAATAGCATTAAAAAAAATCTCTGCCATTGTTTTACATCTCTTCAGTTCATGGAAACTCAGAGTAACAAGTTGTGAAACACTGGATTTGTAGACTCCCTCTTTAAGTTTGACTTTAAATCTGAAATGAAATGATGGCTTGTGGGTTGTTTAAAGTAAAATAAAAAGACATTTAAATATTTATAGAGCATTCTTCATTTGATGTCACTGTTAGTTAATTGCACTGTGTTTTTGTTTTTTACTCCACAGAGTTTATAATACAATACTACATTTATATGGGGTGCAATATTTGAAGAATATTATTGTAAAGCTTACGCTTACATAAATGTTTAGCCTTTTTAACCCTTGAATTAACCATGTTCTGGATGTCTGCATCATCTGCCGTCATAGTGATGACAGATGGCAGGCATATGGTTAATGTAGGACCAACGTAAGTGTCAGATGTTACTCTAAAATCAGTTAAAGTGAAAACATTTCCTTTCATCTGTGTGCTTCAACTAAAATGCTTTCTCCCATTTGTGTTTTCTTTTTGCTTGCCATGTGTCAAAGTCCAATATGAAATCAGCAGCCTCTTCTCTCTGTTTCTCTGCAGCAGATGAAAACTGCTCTTCAAGAACGCGTCAGCATCTGTACAAGAAACACTTTACCAGTGGCTCTCCGAGCCAGGGCGAACCTTATTACCACCCCTCCTCGTACCCCCCTCCTCCACCCGGCTTATCCAACAACCCTCCTCTGGCTCTGTCTGACTCCCCCTACAGCTCAGACATGGGCCAGCGTCAGGCATGCATGTATGCGGGGTCTGAGCACAGACTGGATGAACTCAGCTGTGCATCCTGGTCATACTCCTGCCCTCTCCCGACGGCCATGACCCCCATGGAACCCTACCCACCTTATACCCCTCACCCCCCGTACAGCTCCAGCCCTCAGGGCTCCCGGCTCAGCGCCATAGCCCACCAGAGCTCTCCGCCTCTACCGGAACATGTCGCCCATGACCCCTACCAGAGCCACAGCTCCGGACCATCTCAGAACTCCCAAAATCTTCACGGCAGGCAACTCGGCTCTCCGCTCAGAGAGTACCCTCGCTACAATCTGTCCCCGCCTCTTTACCACACTCTGGACACTACCACACACATCAGGTGTGGAGTCCCAGAATGGAGCGCAGCTTCCTAACTGACCCAGAAAACAAACTTTACCTCAACAGTTCCCACTCCTCCTGCTCTACTGAGGGATTCTGCACTGTGTACAGACTAAAAATGATGATACATTTGTAGAAGTATTGTGAAAAGTGTAATCTAGTGCTGTGTGAAGAGGTCTCCTCGTTAGTTATGCTTCTCCCCTCTCCTGGAAGGAGTAGTGAACTGTTAAGGACTGGAACTGGACAATTACAAAGCATTTCATGTACAAAAAAAAAATTGCTCCTTCCAAGCAGCACAATGGACATTAAAGGTGTATTTTCTTGTTTTTGCTTAACTCAGTGACTGGTGTCATCCAAATATTCGAACTGTGAGCCCTTTTAAGGCCAGACCATTAACAACACTAGGCTGTTTTCCTCTCAGTGTCTTCCTCTTTATTCTTTGTGAAGGATGTAAATTGTGAACACTGTCAGACAGGCAGTAACATTTACTGGCTTAAATGATCTCAGCTCTCCCAAAAGAGCCTTCAGGAGTTGCTATTTCACTAGTGGAGCAAAGCGTAGCTCCATATTCAGTCTTGATGAAGGAGGAAAGGCATGTGTTGGCTAAAAGTGTGTGTGTGCGTGTGTGTTGGTCTGTGTATATGCAAAACCTGTGTCAGCTCAGCTCAGCTCAAGGATGCTTTGAGTTAATTTCCAATGAGACAGGCAGTAGTAGCTGCAGGCGCTGCACCACAGAGATAAATAGTTTGTTTAGACCTCGCTACAGGCTGAGGGACCTGTAAACACTGTTTCCAGTGCATTCTGGGTAACTGCACAAATCGGTGTCACACAGCTGTCACCGCTGTCCTCTCAGTCACCCCAACCTGACCAATCGGCTTCCTCTGCTCACCGAGAGGTGGCCAATGCGCATGCAGCTCTCTTTTATTTTATGCCTAGCAGACTAGTCAGGGCTTGAGCGCTCTCTCTATGTTTGCTGGCCCATTTTTGTTTGTTTGTGAATTATTCATGAGTTGAGTGTGGATCCTTGATGTGAGGATTGCTCAGCAAAAGAAACATCTCTGAATGTGATAATGTTGATGCACCGACTTCCATCAGTCTCTTTGTCTCAGATCTTAATTGGTCTCTGACCTAAGTAACGATTTGGGTGACTGTAAAAAAAAAAAAAAGCATTTGTAGCTCTTTTGTGTGCAAAAGAAAAAATGAAAAGCTGAGATTTTATTTTTGTGCCATCGAGCAATTTTCTATTTCTGCCCAGGTGTTTGAACATGCAGTACCGTCTCTTCAGGCTCTCCAGCATAACAGAAAGAAGACCCTGGTCATTCCTTCATACGATATGTGTGTGTGTTGGTGTGTGTGATAATGACATGTAAGGATTATTTTATAGGTTGTTTTTTTAGCATTGTTCCTGCTAATAGTATTTATTACTCTAGATTTGTAAAGAATAGTTTGTTGTTAACTTGTGGAACAAGGTTGTTGTTCAGAGATATTTGTTTGTTTCCTGTCTCACCCTTCATCCTAAACTGGGGATGCATAGTTGCGATAAACAGACTTTTCTGTTCTGTTAAAATAAATGCAGATTTCTAAACAGAAACTGAATAAATTTTTCAAGTGAGAGCCGAGTGGTTGTTGCCTTCTTCTCTGAAAAAGCAGAGACAAACTATTAACATTCCCAGTGGGCTATTTAAAGTATGTTCACCATGTCTTGAGTGGAAAACCTTTTAAGTGCAGTGTTCTTTATCAGGTTTGCTGCATGTATGAATATAGGGGGCCTGATAACGAGCAAAGCCGCATTCAGCAGTGTTGTAACCGCGTTTACTACTCTGTCTTAAAGAGTCTATAAGATTCCAATGACTCTTAGTCCTCCACTCCGGAGCAAAAAAAAGCCCACAGTGGTGTGGGTTTGCTGTGCATACCTTGTCCTTCTCCTCTTATCACTGACAGGTTGTTTGGGATCTCCAATCTCCACCAGCTGCACCACCTCACTTACAACCTGCTGCCCAGAGAACACAGAGGTTGACTGAGATGGAGGTCAAAGAAAAGCAGAGGTGCACATTGACACGTTTTTGTGTCTTTTACAAAAAATAACTGCTGAGTTGACATGTTTTAGAGGAACAGATTCATACAACTGAAACCTTTATTTTTCAGAGGCTGTGGGATTGTTAAACTTCAAATGCTGTGCGTTTACACATAATGACTTGGTTGTGTGTCCTAGAGGATTTCCACCCTCCCTTTCACTCCGTCTCCCTTCCTGCCTTTCTGTCTCTCTCTCATACACCATAAGGTCAAAGGCTAAGCAGGCAGCTCTTCAGAGGCTCTGTACCTCCTTAACCCTTTGTCTCCAGACAAACTTAGTCCTGGACATGGAGGGGGTACAGACAGCAAAATCGGTGGGGGCTCCAGCTCTAAAAGGTTGTGATGCTTTACTCTGCAGGGAGGGGCACGAGTTGAGAAAATACAGTATTAAGACGGTAAGTTATATGCATGTGAAAAGGGATTCTGGACAGCAGATTGATGAACATTTGTGATCAAAGAGTCTAAGTGGCACTTATCATTAACCCTATCCCCACGGTGCCTTATCAACACACATGCACATCACTATCCCTTCTTTCCTTGCCTTTACAAACATTTTCCAGCCAAATATTCCTGTATGTTGTGATTTCAACAGTGAGACACGTGCAAAAAAAGGTGGATTCACCTTTTCTTGCAAGGCTGACATTTTTAAATGCCACTCATCTGGCCTGCAGATCTAAATTTTTCCTTTTTTTTTAAATTGAAAACGACACTCCTGTGGACAGCTTGTGCCCCTGCCGTTTCTGTTCAGCTCTGCAGCGCAAATTTGTTTACATAGAAGCTTCTTTTTTTTTTTTTTAAGAAAAAAAGGACATCAAAGATTTATAAAAGGTTTTTTTCATTACAGTCTGAACTATTTGTTTGAATGTAAAATTGGAGTCTTGCAAAAGTCTGAGAGGCATTTGTGTGATGTCTGGTATAAGTGCTGCCATTTTCTGCGGAATAAGTGGTCTCAGATTAAGTGTAATTGGAAAAGCTGATTATAGTTCATCTCCATGCATCTGATGGTGTTCTATCGCTGCAGAAACGGCGACAGCTTTGTCTTTTCTGCATGATACAGTCCTCGTAAAACTGCTGCTATACTGGAATGTGATGGAAAATCTATTATATGAGCATTTTTCATTTTCTTAAGGTTTGGAAGAATCAATTATGATTGCACATCTTCAAATGACTTAAGTTCATTTTTCCTTTTCAAAGTTGTTATGCAGAATTTTTAACCTTCCAAAGCCTTTTAAGAATACAGGCAGCCACTTTTGGAGCCTCATCAGAGATAGTTGTATTTAGATAATGACACAACATCATAGCAAAAGGGGTTCATGGATACATTAATATTCTCTTAGCATGTGTGCAGTCAGTTTTTGAATCACTGTGGATCGTGTGGGTCTAAAAGTAGAGCACAATTGCAATACAATAATGTAAAACAATAAATGCTTTGCCATTACATGTGGTGTAACGAAGGATGATGGTGAAGCTTCATTTGAATTGTGCTATCCATCCTTGTTGGTATTTAAAAGCCACAGGAAAGGACTAATGCTGTTAAGGGCAGTATTGTAACAAGACTCCAACCAAAGCTAATTTTCCCCTAAATGAGAGTTTATGGCTGAAACAGCCCTGAAATCACTGAAGTAGATCTTAATATGAGTGTAAGGGCTGTCAAGGGTAATAGGCCATGTAGGAGTGTGTGTTGGTGAGTGAGTGCGTTTGAGCGTTGAATCTGAAGACAAAAGAAGAGGTTAAGGGTCAAACCAACAGCAGATAGGCTGGAGCAGGGTCAGAGGGCTCAGGCTAACCTGATCAGTGATGGCTGTTTATGCAAAGATCTACAAACCGTCATCCTGATGAAGCTGCTGCAGTTTTCCAATTCACTCTCACGGACTCTCACTTTCAAATCAAACAACTCAAGTTTTATGCTCATCCCACACATGTTTAAAAAACAATCTGAAATTTAAACTATTTTTGTCTTTGTTTTCACATGCCACTGAAGGATATAAGCATGCCACTAGATTCTGCTGAATGTGGGTCCAAACGAAGCGTAGGCCGTCCTTTCCCCTCACATGTAAGAGCTTAAAACAAATTGTACGTTCGCAGTGTGACGTGAGCGAGAATAATTGCTTTAACTCCTAACATACCACCAGAGTCCCAGGACCAGCAGCCCAACACACATGACAGGCTGAAAGGGATGGAGGCACTCCGCAGTGGGTGGTGGTGGGGGCTTCAGGCCGTCATGGAGCCAGTGTCCCGTCCGATTACAGCCAGAGGACTGGAGAGGCACGCTAATCCTGCACTCACACACACACACTAATACAGATGCACACATGGGTATCTTGGAGACAAAGACACACAATCAGCATGACAGAGAGACATGTGTACACACACACTGCTTATGGCACACAAACCTAGTCAATCTAAAGATTACACCCTACACATCCTGACCCCACTTGCCTCGTCCAGCCAGAACATAGAACAATCATATCACTTGCAGGGCTTCATATTGCCTCTGTGGTTGTTTGATCTATTTGAAGCCTGCCCACAGCCTAACAATCAGTTATGAACAAACGAGGACAGTCACTGCACAGTTTGTGAACAATGGAAAACAAAAGAGTTTAAAAAATACTTAGTGATTCATATCTAACATTTTTTTCCCAGTGAATCACTTTAAAAGCCAAAGAGTTACTATCTCACAATTTAAAAGTCCTTGTAGTATTATTTTGATATCTTCTTTCATCATCTCTGTTGAAATTGGAAGTGACAGCAGGATCAGGGGGTCCATTCAAACCCCTCAACATTTTCTTAATGTGAAATGCCTGTGTGATGTTATACTAAGCTGGCAGTATTATTTGATCAGATTAACAGATGCTGCAGCTAAAGTCATAAAACAGAATATCACATTTAAGCAGTTATGCATTCTGTTATCATAAAGAATGTACGTTAGCTGCCTGTTTGTAGAAGTGCTATTTGCCTCAGTGTCTCCTGCATTGCTTTCCTCTCTCTGAAATTCAGTCATTCGGGCATTCTTGCAGACTTGCTGCCACTTGTGTACAAACATGTTTTTAACGGGAAGAACATGAACACTTCTGTGAGACAAACACAAACATCAATAAACAAACAAATCCATTCATACACCCCACTACATCCAACCACTGTAGCCACATGCAGCCGAATTTCAAAGTACTCACTCAGCTGCTGTCTAGTCCCATTGTTTTTTCGGGGCCAGCATTGTTTGCATCGTACAAAGTGCCTTTTGGTGATCTTGTCTCATTATTAATAAATGGTGTCAGAGAGTCGCTGGCCTCTCTGTCTGACAATGCATTAGCATAAACACAGTCTTCCTCTCAAAATTTGTTTGGAGCGTAGCTGTTGATCTTTAATAATGAATGTTTAAATGTTTGTTACCTCTCCGCTTGACTGGGTGAGTGCACGTGTAGGTGTGCGAATGCTTGGGTGACACTAAAGGCTTTCCGTTGTCCTGATGATCCAGTTTTGCTAATATATGGCACTAATCTGGATATGGGCTTTAAGAGAAGCAGAACTAACCTTAATGTCTTTTAGCCTGGTTCATAGAAAGCAAATCAACATAATAGAGCACTCTGGAAGCAATGCAGAGCAAAATGTTAAGTAAAAATGTTCTCTAGCCAGTGCAGAGTACAGCTTCGTAATGACCTCGAAGTTTAAAAAGGTTTTTTCGTTCATTTTTCAATGCCACCTTGTCTCCTCAATCCCTATGCCGCTGACCCAGAAATCAATCGCAGCACGCTTCTTGGAGGATATTTTTAATTCCCTAAAATGCATCCTGAAGAGAAATAAGTGAGGACAGAGGAGGCACAAGAAAGACTGAAGAGCTATGGGTGAGGAAGGACATTTGCTTCCTTTACATAAGTGATTTCCACTGTCATTTACGAAGATCATATATTGTGAAATTAGTTTATTTTTACTGGAGGCAAGGATTCCCTCAAATTCAGCCTTTTTTTTCTCACCCCCCCCCCTTGCTGGCTCTGCTAATACCAAAGTTGAAACTGACTGAAACAAAACAAAATAGCAATAGAAAGACCATGGGGAATATCCAAGACAGTAAAGTCCCAGAGGGAGCTGAGAAGGTTTCACTTCCGGTCACAAAGACATTTCTTCTTCAGGGTGCAGGGTGCAATGTTCAAGGTACAGCTCAAATGAGCACACCATGAAAAGAAAGTTCCATCACAAAAGGAAATTTGACGTGACTTCTGCATAATATTACCAGAGTATGTTTGTTTGTTTGTTTGTTTTTCCCGCTTAGGTTGAATTCCAATGTGATATGCTGTACATCATTCTGACACTTTCAGACAGGACAGAAAAAATGGAGAAACATGCAATGAGACCTGTGTAAGAAATGTGTGTTAAAGAGATGATTCAGTATGATGGTTAATCATAGAAAAAGAGCTGGATATAAAAGAAAGAAACTAAGCTAGCACAAGACTGATTCTTAATAGAAGTTTGCCCCATTCAGACAGCATTAGCAGCAGCCTTCCAAGATATAAAACTGTAAAACACCAGCCCAAAGCAGTCTGGC